AATAGATAAAATTGTCATAATTTATTCCTTTTATAGACTGTAATTTGATCGATGGCAGGATAATATCGGCATTACAGAAATGCATTAATTTCATAATAAAAATGAAGAGCTTTATTACACATAAAAGCGTTATTACACATGTACATGTAGCAGTTAGTTATTTATCATTAAGATTGACCTTAATCAATTCAATTATAGCATGAATAGTTTATTTCTTGAATAATTATTTTGTTTCAACCATTGTACCACTCGAGTTTGTAGTAAAAATAGACTTACCCTGCATTGAATTTGGATCAGTCTATTATTTAAGTGCAAGGGAGTGCAGCCTGGATAGCTGACTTCTGTACTGAGTCATTATTGCCATTCTCGTTCAGTGTTTAAAGGAGCTCCACTGAGGTTTAAAACCCTATAATAGTATTAGTATAAACATAAAAATTGAATGTTTTACATATAGGTCAATTAAAGCGCTTTGAATGAAAAAGTTTGCAAAATATGATTAAGGCAATTACACCCAGGATTAAATTGAATACTGATGTTTTTGTGTGTTTCTTTGTCAGATTTGAGCTATAAAAGGGTTGCAACTATTTTTATTTTTGGGTCATTTTGCGCAATAATAAAAATATGAATGATTATTATGGAAAAATGGGGTGAGGTAAGGACATAAAAATGTGCACACAACTTGACAAGTTGTTGGTTCAAACCTTCAACAAATGGAACACAAATAATAGAAAAATAATTCCAGTCCGGTCATGTCAAAACAACTTGAAGTGAGTCCCTTTAAAAGTCACAAATGCATTCATATTTGTGAGTACTTACTGGGTGATTAAAAGTGAAATGTTAAGCTTTATGTGTTTTATATCTTTTAATAAATTCATCAGTTTGAAGAATTCCTAAGTAAAAAATATTTTGGTTTAATTATTGAGGTAAATTACTATTAATCACAAACTCCTCTGAGAAAAAGAGTAGAAAAATTTCCTAATGTTTCTCAACCTCTGACAGTTCATGATTACATCTGACACCCACAACAAAAAAATTCAGAAGGAAATAATAAGAGAAAACTATACGAGTTTATACTTGCCTACATGGAATGAATGAAGACGTAAATGTATACAGGTAGCCTAGGTAAGACAGAAATAAATCTGTTTAATTTTTTACACTTCATAATGCTATAAGGTAACAATGGTTGACTTTTCTCTCAGTGCATAACCTAATTGGCCAAACCTGGGTATTTTCGCTTAGTTCAGAACTTTGTTCTGTAAAATTTGTGGATAAAGTTACAATCAACTTATCCAAGATACATTATGCCCATAAACCTGCTAATTTTATGAAATGGGCTTGTCCTGCTTTGACTTTGGAAGAGTCCATTAACAGTTTAAGGGATTTTTAGCAGCCGCCAGTATTGCATGACAGTCAAGTCAGACTACATGTTTATATGCTATAATTATATGAATGTTATATATAAGGCTAACATGTGAGACAGACACAGATTCAAAAAAAAATTATCAGAGGGTTGTCAGTCAGAAGTTTGACTATGAGTAATGCATATTCAATCCATAGAAGTTTTACATAATTTACAAAGAAATGTAAGTTATCAAGACCATGTTTATGCAAAATAGCCAAATCCCAAAGTGTGTGTGGGGTGGGGGGGGGGGTTGTGGAGCTTAAAATCCCCATCAGGATCTATGCATGGGTGTCACTTTTTGACAAGTTATGATTGTAACTCGACAAGCACAATATAAAATATTTGGTGGTTATAGATTCTGAGTCTCGATTTCTAGAAATAGTCCTTTCCTAATGATTTTAAGTATATATTAAGTAATAAAACATGTTGAAAATGCAATAAAAATAAATACAATTTGTATTAACCCCCCACTCAAATTATAAAAAAAAATTTAAAAAATTGTGTAATAAAACCTGATACATCATTTAGGGAAAAGTTAAAATATGTCAAAACTTGTAATGTAGTTATTATAGACCTGTATTCCATTATGAAGGTAAATTGATCTTCTTTGTAATTGACTAAATGTTACCGCAAAATGTCAAGGTCATTTAGAATAATATAATATATATTTAGCTCCTATATAATTTGAATTGATACTTATAACTCCAGTTGGATGTTCGTGTTAAAACAATTTGTAATATGAGATTCTTACACATATATATTATTCTGTGAAAATTGCATACGACATAGCAGGAAATATATGTCTGTGTATTTTTCGTGGTTGAAAATTCTGTGGGTGTTGCAAACATAAAAGTCATTTAATCTTTCAGTCATGATATAGGATCATTATAGCCAGTGTACACGTCTATTTATACACCCACTTGTTCTCTATGAAGCTTATTTTCTATTCATTTAAAGAAGCACGCCTCCAGATTCATGCAAATTTTTATAAAAAATTTTGAAAAGGTATTAAAAAGTAAATATTGTGATGACGTGAACAAAGATATTAATTTATACATTGCAAACTGCACTTACAGTATCCATGTAAATTAACCAAAAAAAGCTAAATATGCAGAAATAGCCCTTACTGTGTGACTAACACAGTAGAAATATGGAAATATTAAAAAATGCTGCAAAATCAGTCTTAAATAGCTTATAAGATGTTTATTATTTCTTGAATTTTGAACCTTTTCATTATTCTTAAGATCTAGTACATTTTTCTCAAGTTTGATTTCTTGAATTGGCTCATCTGGAGGCATTCAGCTTTAAAGCACCTCGCTAGGAGTCCGGCGGGAATTTTTTTATCACTTATGGTTTAACCGCTAAATTTTTTAATAAAACAGGAAGGATATTTTATTTGAACTTTTACGTCTGAGTTTTTGTAATAAATTTACTCTGCTTCATTTGGAACTGCCCATTGTCATTTTAAGGTGTTTTAAAAGTGGCAACTGATTCTACCCCTGCAACCAGAATAGAGTTGATACATATTTTGAAATTTCCCTAAAAATAATGAATGATTTTGTCCAGATTGAAAGATAGATGAATCCATTTAGAATTTTTAGGGCAGTAGGAGTTTTCATTGTAGGCAGTAGTAAGCCATTTATGAAATAAGGTATTGTTTATTTTCCCTACCATGCAAGCATAATGAAAAAAAAAATTCAATGAAAGCAGAGTTGTTTAATGAGAATCACATTATATCTTGGTCATGTTTTTGCAGTGTTAGTCATTTAATAATTAAATAAAGCTTTGAAACTGGTTCTAAACATTTTTTTTCAGTCCAATATAATTTATATACATGTTGAGATAGCATTCAATAAAATAATTTTAGATTATATGTTTATTCCACCTTACCTATGGTACTTAGCTTACCCAAACTGGCAAGGATGGCAGTAGAAACGAAGACTTTTTCAAGGATTCGAACTAGTTAGGCCAGCCTAATTAACAAAAGTATGGGGTGAATGCCTTTAAATGATCTGTAGGGGGGAAAGATTATTATGTTAATTTTGCGGCTTTTGCGGCTGAATGCAAACTACTACATATTTCATAAGATTGTTCGAGAATTGAGTCAAAATTTGATTATATTCTTCAGAGACTTGTGTGGAAGGAAGTCTTGTGTTGACATGTTACACCCAACCACAATAGTAACCATAATACACCTATCAATATACATGTAGTTTGTTGACATTCAAGTTAATCAGACCAATAAAAACTTCAAGCTTGTACATTTTATTAGTAAATCTAGAGTAAAAAAAAACTTCAAAAGCTGTGTACAAAATACCGGTAATCAATATCTTGATCTTTTCCTTGAGGTTGTAACTAGTAAGTGTTGAAAAAATGTGGCTCATCATGCTATATATCAATATAAAAAAAATGATATGGTTTATAATACAATATACAATATCGTGGATATACATAGTAATGTTTAAACATGATTTTGAACCTTTGTTTCTGTTATATGTTGATTATTGATAATATAAAATGGCACAAAATGTTTATGTCCCCTAAGACTTCTGGCTGCGACAGATTCTACCCACGATCATGGTCTGCTCTCTTTGCTCTTCAGTTTGTAATTATTTTGAAAATTTTCCTAAAAATGGTGAATGGTCGCATCCAGATTGAATGGTGGGCAAGTCCATTGACGATATTTAGGGTGGTAAGGGTTAAATATTAACTCAGTATTAACTTTGCTTGAGTCAAGCAAATATTTTGACAGAGTTATCCTCTTTTTTTTTTTTTGACTGATCGTTACTAAAAGAATAATTTTATGCCTTAAATTTTGATATGGAAGGAAATACCTACCTATCTACCGTTACAACGTTCTAACAAAAGTAAGTGGAAACAGCATACATGGACATAATTTGTAGGATGATTTTTTTTTTTTTTTAAGAATAACCATGTGATATCTATATTTATATGTAATTTCTGCTATACCTGACAATGAAGACTGTCTATAATCTATAATTTGAATAAACAAAGTTCTTAAAGAACTTGTCTATAAAAATAGCAATTTATTTTAGTTTTGAGTATTTCACCTATTATCAAGTTTGTGGATGTGGGTGTGGGGTGGGAGGAGGACACAAATACCTTGATAGCTATAACTCTCCAAAATTTAATGAACTTACTTTAATGTTGAAGCTGAAATTTATTTGTTTAAATAAGGTTGTAGCTGCCTCTTTTTTTCTACCTGCAAACCAGAAATAAATGGCACATTATGGTCATTTGATTGTTGTAATGTGTGATTTTGTGGTAGATTTGATTATTGGTTTTAACTTGGCATTTGGTTTTCTACAGTGAAATAAAGAAGAAATAATGAACCGTTGTGCTAATATGAATTGCACATGTATAAACATGTGTAACTACAATAGATTATAAAATAATAAAGTTGTAAAATAATAAAGGCAAAAAAATAGGGTAGCCTTTGTGCACTACTCTATATTGTACCCACAGTTAGTATATCACTGAAGTTTCAATAAATTTTAGAATTAGAATAATTGTGTGCTAAATTATGGTTGTTTTTTTTAAGTTTTTGACATGCAATGTTTTGTTTTGTTTGTTTCAGACCACAATGAGTACAAGGTCGCGACGTGCTCAGACAGGAGGTACTCTGGCTGCACCTTCTTCTCGACCTACAGGTAAATTTACACATTGACATAGACTTAGTCTTGCTACCTTTTTAAATAAGTCAAACATCTTAGTTTTTGCTAGAAGAAATACTACAAGTGTATTGTTGAATAATCTCCAAATGACAAAACGGTCATCCCTCAACTTTGTAAGTTAATGTCTTGACTTTTCGATCAAGTCATCGAAACAAAAAATAGAGTTTTTGGCCGGATTGCACAGGTGCAGTTGATATTTGGTATACAGCATTATCACGTGGTTCCATATTGTGGGATTCGATTTCAGGTCTTTAGCTCATCCACTTCCTGTTTGCTGACTTAGTTTAATTTTCAAATTAATTAATGATCAATAGTAGGAAATAGTAGGAAATTTTCGTAACAGTTTTCTACTACTTATCACAACCTTTTGATATTTGGTATACAGCATCAACACATGGTCCCATACGGTGGGATTTGATTTCAGGTCTCTCTCTCATCCACTTCCTGTTTGCACACTTAACATTAATAGTCAATTGTAGGAAATTTTCTTAACAGTATTCTCAGCAACTACTTATCACAACCTTTTGATATTTGGTATACAGCATCAACACATGGTCCCATATCGTGGGATTCGATTTCAGGTCTCTCTCTCATCCACTTCCTGTTTGCACACTTAACATTAATAGTCAATTGTAGGAAATTTTCTTAACAGTATTCTCAGCAACTACTTATCACAACCTTTTGATATTTGGTATACAGCATCAACACATGGTCCCATATCGTGGGATTTGATTTCAGGTCTCTCTCTCATCCACTTTCTGTTTGCCGACTTAGTTAAATTTTTGACATTAATGGTCAATGGTAGGAAATTTTCGTAACAGTTTTCCTAGCAACTTCTTATCACAGCCTTTTGATGACATTTATGGTCAATGGTTGGAAATTTTCGTAACAGTTTACTCAGCAACCACTTATCACAGCCTTTTGATATTTGGTATACAGCATTATCACATGGTCCCATACCGTGGGAATCGATTTCAGGTCTCTCTCTCATCCACTTCCTGTTTGCACACTTAACATTAGTAGTCAATTGTAGGAAATTTTCTTAACAGTATTCTCAGCAACTACTTATCACAGCCTCTTGATATTTGGTATACAGCATTATCACATGGTCCCATACTGTGTGATTCAATTTCAGGTCTGTAGCTCTCCCATTTCCTGTTTGCCGACTTAGTTAAATTTTCGACATATTTTTTTTATTTATGATCAATAGTAGGAAATTTTCGTAACAGTTTTCTCAGCAACTTAACTTACCACAGCCTCTTGATATGTGGTTCACAGCAATGACATGTGGTCCCATATTGTGGGATTCCATTTCAGGTCTGTAACATGCTCATCCACTTCTGGTTTACCGACTTTCAACATCAGTGGTCAGAGGTAGAAAATTTAAGTAACATCACAGCCTCATGATATTTTGTATACATACGCAACCCAGCCTTTTCTGTCTTTGACCAATTTTTTTAAACATTCTTTTCCCAGTTGATGAATAATCAATACTTAAGTTTTGATAGTGTTATTTGATAGTACCCCATAAATTTTCTTGTGCACATTGTCATTCTTTGTAATTAAAATCCATGCATTCTTGGGAGGGACTTTGGTTCTTCTTATTTGTGAACATGTGGTTTTTGTAGTGTGAAGTGCGATGTTACACAACTTGTTGCTATTTGCATAACAAACAGTTCCTGTTATAACAACAACAATAATAATGTCAGGTATTGTATCAAGGTATGTCACTGATATCGGAGTGAGGAACTATATGTAACACCTTACACTGAATCAATATCAACTTGTTATGTTCCACCATACATCTGTCTGCATTTTATAACATACTTAATCAGACTTGCTTTCCAGCATGGTTTTTATTAGTTAATTATTTTTCCTCAACATTAGGCAAAGAATTGTTTCTAAAAAATGTAACCGTAAAACCTTCTGGAACCAAACTTTATAAGCCTTTGCGACCAGTGTAGAGATAAGCAAGCCTGCACATCCGTACCGGCAGACCTGGCTCTATACTTGAATTTTTTGGCTAACTTCAAAATTTCATCACTATACCTCCAAAATTTATAATAGAGACTAGTTGAAAGTATAGAGGTGCTTCCATGCTTGAGTGGTTTATGATACTGGCAACTGTTGTCAGTAAATACAGTGATCTCTGTTGTCAGTTAATACAGTGATCTCTGTTGTCAGTAAATACAGTGATCTCTGTTGTCAAAAAATTACAGTGATCTCTGTTGTCAGTAAATACAGTGATCTATGTTGTCAAAAAATTACAGTGATCTCTGTTGTCAGTTAATACAGTGATCTCTGTTGTCAGTAAATACAGTGATCTCTGTTGTCAAAAAATTACAGTGATCTCTGTTGTCAGTAAATACAGTGATCTCTGTTGTCAGTAAATACAGTGATCTCTGTTGTCAGTAAATACAGTGATCTCTGTTGTCAGTAAATACAGTGATCTCTGTTGTCGGTAAATACAGTGATCTCTGTTGTCGGTAAATACAGTGATCTCTGTTGTCAAAAAATTACATTGATCTCCTTTGTCAGTGAATACATTGATCTATGTTGTCAGTATATAACAGTGATCTATGTTAATGTCAGTATATTTCTGTTGTCAGTAAAATACAGTGATCTCTGTTGTCAGTATATTACAGTGATCTCTGCTGCCAGTTAATACAGTGATAACTGTTGTCAGTAAATCACAGTGATCTCTTTCCTCAGACTATTTCTTTCAATTTTTTCACTGCAGACTTCATATTCTAGAGTGGCACTTACATGATACCATTAGCAGTTGTCACTCGGGGAAAACATTAAAACTCTCAAATTGGAAAAAAAAACTGATGATGAAAAACTTGTCGTCTGGCATAAATGTATCACAGTGTGAAATATGAATATTTTCATGTACTAGAAACCTTTCCCTTTTGCACATTGTTATGAATATTATAAATCTAGACTGATGCCTCGACTATCAATAGTTGACTTGTCTTTCAATACATACATGTAACAGTGATTTTTCTCACTTAATTGGGAAGAGGCCTTAGCCTCTTGATTTTGGGAAAAAATATCGCTAAAACTGCTGATTTGGGAATTAAAAAAGCTGGTTTAAGTTCAGATTTTTGGGAAAACTGCATGATTTTAAAGAAAATTTCAATTGGGAAGAGGCCTTTTTACGGAGTCTGTTATATAAATAGGAAAATCACTGTGTAAGTACATGTAATAATAACCAGGGAAAAATTATATACCTGTAATATAGTGCATGTGATGTTTGAAAAACTGAACATTCCCTGGAATTCAGTTTCTTATGCTGGAATTCTGTTTCTTCACACCATATTGTTGCTGATTATAGTAATTGAGAATTATAGTAATCTAGGCCGATCTCATTAAATTACTGGCTGCAGGTTGTTCCATGTCAGATATTTAGAGGTCATTGACCTATTTTCTCAGAATCAAACTTGATTACATTTCCATTTGGATGATATGCAGTGTTGTAGAAGTGGGAATGATTCAGAGATAATCTGTGGGGAAATAAATTTGTTGTGAATTAATTTGGTTAATGAGAATCTGAGAAATAAGCAACAAAAACTAGAAGAAAGGAAATAATTGAAAAGCCTTTCAGAAAGTTTGTAATTTTTGCTGACTTTGTGAAACTAATGGTTTGGTCCTGCTCTGAATTTGGAACAGTCCACTATGAGTTGAGGGATTTCTTACTCAGAATACAAAATGTAATTAAGTTGAATGGCATCTGTTCAGAATGTATGGATATGTGCGTGTAGGTCACAAGTTTGGCTGCGCAGGCTTAAGTATCATTGTCAGCTCATCATAGATTTAGCTATAGCATGTTGCCGGGCCAACATTATAGTGTTCAACAATAGATTAAATGAGCTCCGTCACAACAAAACCAGCATAATGGGTTTGCGACCAGCATGGATCCAGACCAGCCTGCGCATCCACGAAGTCTTTTCAGGATCCATGCCGTTCGCTATCAGTTTCTCTACTTGTTATAGAGTTTGTAAGCGAACAGCATGGATCCTGATCAGACTGCACGGATGGGCAGGCTGGTCTGGATCCATGCTGGTTGCAAACGCACTATGTTGGTTTTGTCGTGACGCGGCTCTTACAAGGAGCTCCACTTCAGTTAAAAACCTAAAAATCATAAAATTTGAAATTCTTGCATACATCAAGTAAAGCATTTAGTTAAAATGGGAAAGTCTTCAAAAGAATAATAAAAAATATGCTAAGAATTAGATTTTAAATTGATAATTTTCTGCAATTCAAAGCACGATTTGAGTAATTTTTGGGTCATTATGCACTTTATAAATGATAACTTTAGAAAAATAGGTTGAAGAAATGATCTGAAATTTGCATACAAGTTATTGGTCCAAACCTACGACAAATCATAGACAAATATCGGTAAAATATTTCCAGTCCTATCATGCCGAAAAACATCAGTGGAATCCCTTTAATTCAAATACAATGCTGACACATGTTTGACTATATAATACATTATGGGAAGCTGTCAGCAAGAAAGCAATTTTATCTCTATTTTTAACAAAATCAATAAGCATGCACAGTTGATTTAAAGACCACTTCCAAACACATTGTAAGATTCTGTCCTTAATTTTCGCTTTTATACTTTTTTATACAACTAAAGCACAATAATTGCACAGTCCTTATCCTGGTTTCTTAATTAACCAGTACCTGTATTATAACATTTAAGAAACATGGTCATAAACATTAAGTGCATTCCCAACAATAAAGTTTACCCGAGTTGTAACTTTTTATGCCTATGAATTAAGACTATATGAGCCACGTCACGACAAAACCAGCATAGTGTGTTTGCGACCAGCATGGATCCAGACCAGCCTGCACATCCGCGCAGTCTGATCAGGATCCATGCTGTTCGCTTACAGACACTATAACAAGTAAAAAACTGATAGCGAACAGCATGGATCCTGATCAGACTGCGCAGATGCTGGTTGCAAACCCATTATGTTGGTTTTGTCATGACACTGCTCATATTTTCATTTCACATACTGAAAAGTTTGACTAAAAATTACAGTGAAACCTCTTTAAGGGCATTTACCTCTGTAAAACAGCACTATCAAGTCAGAGTAAAATTTGTCTGGAAACAAGCAAAATGTTTATTAGTGTAACCATATTTTATTGCCGATATATACATGCAGATATATAAACAAAATAGAACAATAGAATTAAAAGCAAATGAGTAAGGCAACAAGTTCTTACAACATTATATTAAGCGCTTCCAAAAATGTTTGTCTCCCAAAGGGTGGTTGCTGTGCAGAGGTAGCACTGTTAATCATATTGATTATATAACAAGACTCTGACTAAATGCTTCAGCATACTAACAAAAAGAACCAATCATACATCAATGAAGTGGAGTATGAAGGCATACAATTTTCATGTATTCAAAATATATTTTCTTAACATTGTTAGTTTGTAAAACAACTAGTGAAGCATTACACCACAAAAATTTGTAACTTCCTGGTAGGGGCCAACAAGCCAGGCCAAAGTAGCAGCAGAATGTTGTCAGGTCACATAAATTTATTTTACTTTAAATATCTGTTTTGTTAAAAAAACGAACCATTATCAGTTACTCCTCTTTCTGGGCCCTTGGTTTAAACATATTTATTTAAGCTTGATTGCGAAACAAGTTCTTGCAACTTATATTAATCACTTTCGAGTCCGCTTCCTGGAACCAACCAGTACTGGTGTCATATGGAGAAACATGGTCGTGACCCGAGTAGGGCTCGAACCCATGATCTCTGGGTTGAGAGGCAGACACCTTAACCACTAGGCCACCGCTCCCCTTAAAGAGGGGTGTCCGAAATGTTAAACATTTATAAATGACATGTGCTAATGAAAATCTTATTTCTTTTCTGTTTTGACATTTGGTTACCTTAGAAACAAACATTGCTATAATATTTATATGATCTCACGATTCATGTATTACATCTACAGTTATCGTTTTCCTCCAAGTAACCAAAAAACTTCTTCCATTTAAACTTAGTGTGAAATACCAAAATAGATGCTTTTCACATAGCAATTATATCCTCCTCTGGCCATAATTTTGAGGGTCATTCCCAATGTAATATAAATATCTCTCATAATTTTATCATCTTTATGAAACAAAAGACTAGTATAGAACCAGCCCAGCCTGCACATTTGTGACCAGGCTCGATACTTTTGGCAGCTCTTTTGTTTGGTTGGTTTTCTGGCCCACTTAAAAATACACAACTTAGGTCATATGGCGTCAGAACAGGAAAGATGATTTTGGCAAACCTCAGGTGTTACAGACTTAAAGCAATACCAGGGGTCAAAACCATCTCGCCTGCTGGAGCTAAGAGATTCATAGACTCCAATAATTCGAACTTATTTAGTCGCCACTTAAGATCACTCAGGGATAAACGATGGCTGCAGTTCTGATGCCTCAACCCTCAAAGGCAATCCATCAGCTTTTGGAAGCTCAATTTGTATTTTGATATGCAAAACCTTTAAACTGTGAATGGACTGTTCCAAATTCAAAGCAGGGCAAATCCATTACAAAATCGGGGTTCTGATTAGCGATGACTAGGATTTCTGCGAGTTATAAAATTTCCACATAAGATTTATTTCCTTGCCCGAAATAGACATCCAATACATTAGACAATTTCATTTACATGTATCTAAGATTTATAATAAGAAGAAAAAAAGCGCAGTTGCTATACATCAATATTGTGGTTAAAATATGCTTAAAAAATTAATGGAAAGTTAAGGCTTGACACTTTGAATTGTCTTTAAATAGTGGTTAATAATTTCCTTCTAGAGATAATTGTCAATAACTGACAAATGTTGAAGATTAAGTTTAATTGGTTTTCTAGTTTTGTACACAAATAGAAAATGAAAATGATTATATTTGTTTTCTTCTCATAATTATTGTCAATAAAGTATCATATATTGAAATTTAAAACCTTTCGCTACTGACTAACTTGTAAAATGATCAGACTTTATGAACATTTAGTTAGAGTAATTGAAAGTAGAGTATCATAAACATTTATACAACAATGCAAAACAGGCATGTCTTCACCTCATGTAATAAAGCTGTCTTATACAGTGAAACAGGTACTCTATAGGCCGCCCACTGCAGCATATTTGAAAAAAATGTCGGACATCTTTTATAATATGTGCTTTGCTTGATTGAGTCTATTATAGAACCATAGTGAATCATTACAGGCTGACTTTGGAAGTTGGCCATCTAAGGATCTCACAGGATCTAAGGATCTCACAGGATCTTTTTTTAAAGAATTAAAGTAAACTGAAAGAATACAAACAGAATAATCATCTGTCCACACATATACATGTGATTTACCTTTTTTCATGAGAATGAAATGAATTTGCCGAGCAATGAATTTAGAACTTTTTTTGATCGTTCAGTAGAGATTTTTCAGTACGGGTATCAAAGTACTAAATTCAAATTGATACAACCAATAGTTTGAAGATTGAACCACTCGATTGCATGTAATATATGGACTGGTTCATAATCACATTGAGGTAGTAACCACAGGTTATTTGTAATTCTCCATTCATAGATTTGGGGACTGGTTGGGGGGTTTGCAGAGTGTGAGGAAGCCCTTGTGATTTGGATATAAACTTAATTTGTTAGCAAATAAAAATGCAAAAGTTTGTGAAAATCAGCAAAATTTTAATTCATGATACCCTCTGAAAAACTAACAAAATGTTAACCTCCTCTTTGGAATATAAATTAATCCAAAAACAAATTTGTGACTCTTTCTTGAGATAAAATCCTGGATTCAGCCTGTTCTGTATCACTGTTTGCATGAATTCATTCAGTGAAAAGGAAGTTCAACTTGTATATTTTTATCTTTATTTCAGTGAAGACAAGACGTCGTGGGGCATCATCCTCCATTGATGACATAGAGAAGGAAAGTAGTGCCGGGAAACAGGAAGTTCTAGAGAGAGCAGAAGACAGCCCGGTACCGTCTGCTGCTAAACGTCTGAAAACTGAACCAGAGGTTCCAAAACAGCCACCACTGAAACACGGTACCATGAAATTATTTACTTTGTAATATAATTAAGATAAGAAAAACAAAGAAGGTTGGATTATCAGTGTGGCCGTACTATTAGATGTCAGCAGCTTTTTTATGATGCCATAATATGGTCGCCACTTCTTTACGTTGTTCTGTCAGGCTTTCCCACAGTTCCTCTATTAACTTCATTCATGGACCAATATCTTTTAAGTGTTTGGTTGGTAGATACCTTAATGGTCCTCCGACTTTGGGTGTAGTTCTTGGTAAAGGTCACCATGCTAAAAATAGATTTTAACACCATCATTATAATTTTGTTATAACAGCCTTCAATCATTGATCAATATCCCACATATTTGATTGGTACATACTTTCAATGATCCTCTCATATAACTGCTATTATATTTGTTTAATAGTAAGATTAGAACAAGCTGACATCAAGTTTTTATGCAAAAGAGGCAGTGACAAAACTTTTGGATCATTCCTCGAAGATATATGTATGAAATATTAACAGCAAATTTTTTGGAATAAAGGCATAAATCCTGCTGGTTGTCCCTTAAAAATGAAACAATTACGACAATGCAAACCCACATCTGATTAGATAACATTGAAGTTATAAATACACGAAAGGTGTGTAGATGAAAAAAAGGGAAAAATTACAGGGATAAAAAAAAATGAGGAAAAAACCCTTAAAAAATTTTCTATTGAATACGGTAGTAGATTTATGAGGCATTGTTAAGCTGTAGATCTAATTGGTTAATGACAAAAGTTATATTATCTGCACAATGAGTTTGTGATTTATAGAAACACTTTACTACGGATATTGTTTCTTAGTTATAAAATGAGAATTGTTTCATTTTGTCATGTTATAGGCAAACTAACGAGGCAGGATGGGACTGACACTCCTGAGAAAGACCTTGATGATTTGACCCCCAAGTCAACGCCATCAAGCAGTCGTCCAGCATCAAGCTTGAGTCTGAGTACGACACAGTCCAGTTCAGCGACGCCGACACCGCCGCCCCCTCTGCCAACGAACATGCACAGAGCTATGTCACTAGACAGTGTCGAACAAGCACCAGATACAGTGCTAATGAAATCACCAAACGACGATGATGTCATGAGAAACATTGCCAAACCGCCCAAAAAGCGAAAAGCTCCCGATGAAATTGAAACAGATACGTCTAGTTTGTATCCCCCAAATAAACCGCTGATTGACCTTCAGCAGTGGACAAATCAACGTGTGCTAGCCAGGAAAGATTTGATATTTCAATCAGGAATTATTAAGAACATATTTCATAACCAGCGTGTTGGGATTCAGTTTGAGGGTGACAAAGAATTGACGCATTTTTCTGTGTTTGACACAAAGTTGTGTAACATTGTCGGAGATAATCCTCCGCCAGCAGTCATGATCTCAGTTGGTTGTCGTGTTTGTGTCCGAGCAAATCAAGAACAACATGTTTTCTATGAAGGTCAAGTTGTGGAGAAGAAAGTTCAACAACCGGTATTATATAGAGTGCGTTTGATCCACAACTCCCATGCGGCCATGTTTGGTCAGGAGATTTGGATGCCTCGTGCAAACATCAGACTCCTACAGCCACCCTGGCATGATGACCTTGAAGAGGGATTTCCGGAGCAGCCAACTCCGCCCCCTATCACACCTACAGCTACACAACCTACATATCAGTATCAGGTAATAGATTTTAAGGCTCGATTTTCATGACATCTTGTACCACTTTGACATTACTTACTTATCGGAAATGTAGCTTTTTATATTATTTATAAAATAAGCCAATTATGCTTTTCATTTGATAATGATAAATGTGCTTTTCAGCTCACCTGAGCTTGCTCAGGGTGAGCTATTAGGATCGGTGAATGTCCGTCGTCCGTCATCCCTCGTCCGTCGTACGTCCACAATTGCTTGTGAACACACTAGTGGTCACACTTATTACTCAATCATCATCAAACTTTGTCAGGATGCTTGTTTAGTCAATTGCTCGGATGAGTTCGAAACTGGGTCATTTCGGATGGAAAACTAGGTCAAAGGAGCTAAAAATAGAAAAACCTTGTGAACACTCTAGTGGTCACATTTTTGACCCAATCATCAACCTTTGTCAGAATGCTTGTTTAGATTATTGCTTGGATGAGTTCGAACATGGGTCATCTCCGATGAATATCTAGGTCACAGGAGCTATAAATAGAAAAATCTTGTGAACACTCTAGCGGTCACATTTTTGAACCAATCATCATCAAACTTGGTCAGAATGCTTGTCTAGTCAATTGCTTGGATGAGTTCGAACATGGGTCATCTCTGATGAAAAACTAGGTCACAGGAGCTAAAAATAGAAAAACCTTGTGAACACTCTAGTGGTCACATTTTTGCATCAATCATCATCAAACTTGGTCAGGATGCTTATCTAGTTGATAGCTCAGATGAATTTGAACATGGGTCATCTCGGATGAAAAAGTAGGTCACTAGAGCTAAAAATAGAAAAACCTTGTTAACACTCTAGCGGTCACATTTTTGCATCAATCATCATCAAACTTGGTCAAGATGCTTGTCTAGGTGATAGCTCCGATGAGTTTGAACATGGGTCATCTCGGATGAAAAAGTAGGTCACTGGAGTTAAAAATAGAAAAACCTTGTTAACACTCTAGCGGTCACATTTTTGCATCAATCATCATCAAACTTGGTCAGGATGCTTGTCTAGGTTATAGCTCGGTTGAGTTGGAACATGGGTCATCTCGGATGAAAAATTAGGTCACCGGAGCTAAAAATAGAAAAACCATGTTAACACTCTAGAGGTCACAGTTTTGCCTCAATCATCATCAAACTTGATCAGGATGTTTGTCTAGGTGATAGCTCGGATGAGTTCGAACATGGATCATCTTGGATGAAAAAGTAGGTCACCGGAGCTAAAAATAGAAAAACCTTGTTAACACTCTAGCGGTCACATTTTTGCAATGCTTGTCTAGGTAATTGTTTGGATGAGTTTGATAAGTCAGGTGAGCGATCTAGGGCCATCATGGCCCTCTTGTTTAAATTTAACTTGGTAATGAAATAATTATCTACTAACAAATAACAGTAGGTACAGCACGATTATTGAAACCTTTTATAGGCAATGATGTCATGCAAAAAAATGGAAGTGCTCAGTTTGGAAATAAATAAAAAAAATGATCTTGAGAACGGGTATGATCTTTCTGTTTACAGATAATTCCCCAGCCAATGGCACATCCACATCAGCCCCCACATCTTACCCAGCCACATACTCCCATGATGCCACACCAACCACCGTTACCAGGGCAACCAGCTCATCATGCCCACTTCATGGATCATTCTCCACGATATGTCGAACATTCCCCTTCAATTGCCCAAAGTGCTAGTTTTGAGAGAGAGTCCTCAGATGACGAGATGAGGAGTGAGGAGGTGTATTTCGATTCATCGGGACTGAGTACACCAAGGTCAGGTAGCGCCACACCAGGGTCAAGGTGTAGCCATAGTCTGAGTGATGGAAAGAACCGACATCCGCTTAAAAAGCGAGATATGTCAAGAAGCCGAAGTGCCCAGTCATGTGAGAGCAGTCGGTCTAGTACGCCTCGTTCTCCTACAACAAACCAGAAATACAAAAAGGGGGATGTTGTTTCTACTCCTAATGGCATACGTAAGAAGTTTAACGGTAAGCAGTGGAGAAGGTTGTGTTCCAAAGATGGTTGTACAAAAGAATCTCAACGTAGAGGGTACTGCTCAAGACATCTCTCTTCTTCTGGTAAAGTAATTAGGTCAGCTCCAACAATACCTGGAATGAGAAAAGGCGACATGAAGGATGGACATATTGAATGGGCAGATGCACACAGTTCCCGAGACACTGATTACGACCCAAGTACCCATGGTATGGATGAAACAGAAGCAGCCAACATGTTGGTGTCGCTTGGCAACTCTAGGTCAACAACACCAGCATTTTCCCCTACGCCATCTTCTGTGAGCAGTCTGTCACCACGGAAACGTCATCCTTCTTCGCCTCAAAGTGGAGCAGGTCTAAGAGGGATGTCGGCAGCATTTACCCCAATTTCACCCCACCCACAAAATCCTAATCACAGTTATATGCCTTCGCCAACTCGCAGCTGGAGTTCTGGAAACTCAAACAAATCAGGGAGCTCATCGTCAGAGCATATTTCACCTATAACACCAAGATTTCCACAAGGAGGTACAAACTCAGCTTTTCAACATCCATCCATGATCGAGCGAGGTCGTGCTCCAAGTCTTGGGCTACTTAACAAAGAACACATGAAAAGTAACGACTCCGGAATAGATATCAACACTCCGAAAACATTTAAAACAGTGCCATCTTCACCTTCTCCGCAAGGTCATTTCCCGAACAATTCACAAAGCTTGTATGCTTCTACAATACAGCAACACTTGGCTGCACAGTCACATCAAATGAGGACTGGTAGTCTGTCATCAAATATTGACGGTCCTCAACCTATGGAGATCAAACCTCGATCCAGTACGCAAAGTTTGTCAGACTTGAGGCCTAGGGAAACAATTACAATTAATGCACAATTGATACCAGTGGCTCTAATGCCTCAGAATGGAATGAAAGAAGCAGCGCCACCTAGTGGTGGTTCGGAAATGGGGTATCCCACACATCAGCAGAGAGCCAGAGAGGAAGCAAAGCAGCCGACAGCGGCCACCACACTGTTACCTGTGATGACAGACCTCAATGAACACAAACAGGAAGTTTCTGCTCAAGAAGCCGGTAAGTAAAATGTTTTAATATATCTGATAAATCTAGCTGTTTTAAGAATAACATAATCAAGCATACATAGTTTCAAAGAAAAGAAAACAAAATAGAAAAAAACTTATATTTTGATGAACATGTTAGAGCAGAAAATCTGTTTTCTTGATTGTTTATGGTATTTTTCTCTCCGGAAGACCTCCTTGGCCCTTCTTTAATTTATTTGGCTTTGTTTTCTTGTTGAAATGTTACAGATAAATTCAAACATGGGTATTTTTTTCTTTTTCTTCCCTTTTTTGCAATTCCAATAAAAAGTGTATTTCCACCAAAGGAGAGTAGTTTTTTTTTTACATATAAAAAAATCGACTAGTAAATAGGTCTGTTGTTAACAATAAAGACGATAAGTTACATAATAATATTGATATCATGTTTCGCTTTGTCTAGAAATTCCAAAAGAGCCAAAACAACTTCGGGTTTATCAGTGGCACTCACTGGTTCCCTATTTCACAAACACGAAGCCAGTGGACAATGCCAAACCAGCCATGATGCCTGTGGAGACAAAAGCTGCGAAGAAAGTGGTTACCTTACCACCCAAACGTCCCTTTGCCATCCACCAGAGTATCTCCGACAACAGTAAGCTTCATGTTTTAACCTGATAATTATGAAACTTGTTCTTTATTTATATAGACATATATATAGACATATAATATATGTTACCCTCAATTTTAGCAAAATCGAGTTGCTGATCTATTGAATGCAATATGTGACCTATATTTGAGGATCAAAGACTAGCTTTTTTGTACTTTTACATAATGTTTCTTTCTTTTTAGAAACTTTTTACTTTTTATACCTTTCCAGATTTGTCATTAAAAACAATGTCTGTGTTGCTCCATTTTGAATTTGAGGCTTAATCATGTACATGAAAGAGTGTTAAGTTTGCTAAGCAACTCAAAACGCATTTAAGACTGTTAAGACTGCCTCCTAATGATAAGTCTGCATTATGTAAATTAAGTTCATCAGTACAGGCTATATTAGTGTCAAAGGTTCTTTAGAATATATGGTTTGTCTATCCCCTTCTTAACTATGTATTGAGGAGCAACATTCAGTTTTTGTTAAGACAAACTGCAAAATCATTGTCCTAGTTGCCATTTTTATTATGAGAATGATGATGCATGATGTTTTATAAACACGTCAGTGCACGATTATTTAAAAAAAAAAACCTGAGTGGCAAATAAATTTTAGATAGATATGTGTAATAGTTTTACTGTTATATTATGTTGAAAACAAGGGATGTCAAGTTATAGATAATAGATTTTTTTAGTTTTACTAGAATCAGAAACGTTATAATCGTTCTGTTATTCAGTTCCAAAAGATGATGACGATGATTTGCCCGATGCAGATTATGACGACGACGATGTTTTTGATACGAAAGATGAGCAATCAGAAACAGCGAAAAAAATAGTTCCAGCAAAACGAAGATCTCAGTCACTAAGTGCTCTAAAAGACTCTGAAAGAAGTCCAAGAAAGGTTTCAGATTTGTTTAAATATATATTATATTACAAGAACTTTCAAGGATTTATGATGACAAGTCCAAATAGATTATAGTTCTTGTCTTTTAATCTCCCAAAAGAATTGCTTATTCTGTTGTTTAATTATTTTAATGACCTTTTTATTAAGTTGGTTTTTACACAGAATTCATTTAATTCATTCATGTTCATTTAAATAACACAGTTATAATCCCAAAGAAATAATGTATTTGGAATAGCCGATTGGTAATTTCTCTGTGACAACTGATCGTGGACATTGCGTCTAATGGTCATTTGACTTTAGGTGGATTGACTGCCAAGATATAACCAAAAACCAGAAAACAAACATAACGTTAGAACTAAAAACTCAAATGGTTGAATTGATTGATTTACTGATGAATTTCTATGGAGCATTTAAACTTCTCTTTTTGGAGTAGAGCATGATGTCATATTTGTATTACTTACAGGGTAAAGACAAAGACCATATACGAAGACCAATGAATGCCTTCATGATATTCAGCAAACGTCATCGACCGTTGGTGCACCAGAAACATCCGAACCAGGATAATCGGACGGTATCTAAGATACTAGGAGAGTGGTGGTATGCCCTCGGACCTAAAGAGAAACAGAAATATCACGAATTGGCTCATCAGGTAACAGAAAATTTGTTAAACTTCTGCGGGTTAAACCTTTTGATTGCTGAATGTATATTATAAATTTGCCCAGCTTTAAATTTGGAGGAGTTCATATTAAGTTTTTCAGTATTAAAACACAAAAATTGAGCTACGACCTTTATAGAGCCTGGTCAGACTGCATGGATTTGCAGGCTAGCTTTTTACTGGTGGCAAAGGTTTATCACTTTCTGTTGCAGCAGGTTTATGGTTAACAAAAGGTACATGGAATGTATTTGAATGGTTACTAGGTGAAAAGAGGTCCAGCAATGACAAGTGTTGCATCCATGTTTCATTTGATGCAAGTTTGATATTGAGCATTTAGAGTGAAATATTGTTTTTGCAACAATTAGTACTGTTCGTTTGTTATCTAGGTTTCACTGTTAAATCAGAATGCCAATTTTAGCAATTATTTTTGAGAATTTACTTGCATTGTAGTACTGGTATAGAGTCAAGGAGTAGTAATTCCATGATTATGCTTATAACAATGGTATGACAGAAATATTGCTGAATTCTGACTGGGTCTAATCTACACCACCCATAAAAATTTAAATTTGAATTTAACTTCTTACTGTTAAGCTTCTTAAAATAAATTGTGACATTTTCTTAGGATTAATAATTTAATTTATAGGTTAAAGAAGCACATTTTAAGGCCCATCCAGAATGGAAGTGGTGTTCAAGAGATAGGAAAAGATCGACTACCATTGCAGCAACCTTGAAGCAACGATCCAACAGTCAAAGGCTTGGCTCCACTGATTTAAACGAAGGTAAAACGTCTCAACTCGGAAAAAGTAATTTGAAATTCATACTTACACATTTGATTATTTCTTTCTGTGGCATAGTTGTTTTGGTTCCCGAGTTAGAATTACTTTGCCACACATCGTTGAGGATTTTCAAATTCTGCCATGGATTTTGGGAAGGCTATCAAGCTCCTGCTGGTATAAAGGTCTGGGTCATATGAGAGAAGAATTTTATGAGACTTTCTGTGCAAATTGTTTTCTTTCTCGGAACAAGGGAAAGTTCTTTGTGACAACTGATCTCCAACATTGAGTCAAATAGTCATATGTCTCTTACAACTGATACAGAAATCATGTGGGATATGTTGTTTGTTTGTTGCTGAGAAATTATTATTTACTGGTAAGTTATAATTAACTGTGTTAAAAACCTGAAGAACAAATAAACATTATACTCATTGCTCAGTACTGGTTGGTTCCAGGAATGGATTCGAAAGTGTGTCTATAAGCTTATAGCTTTCTACACAATTGAACTAAGATAAATTATTTATAAGCCAAAGAAAAAAAACAAGTGCATGAAAATGAAAAAAAGTTTGAAATGATATCATTATTTGTTTACTGAAATAAAAACATGTTTCATTATTTATGATAAAACTGTGGAAATATATAGTGAATATTACTCATGATTTTTTTTCAGATGAAGTCGTAGATGCCGGAGTTACCTTTGATGATGATGCCTTTGAACCTGAACCAGAACCTAAAGCTGGTCTGACCCTGTTTGAGCTTCAGCGAGGGCGATCTCAGAGCCTGTCGGCTTGTCTTCCGAGGGAGGACGAGTCCCAGGGGTTTAATCAGTATAATCAGAATGAGGAGACAATGGTTCGTAACTGTTTGTAACAGTTCTATAGATAATACAAGAAAACAACAAATCTGTTTTCCCCGTATTTATATTTTGTATTAAGAAGGGGATAAAGTGAATAAAAAACCATCTTCGTATAAAGGTCTCCTTTTTAAATTGGGAACTGACTTTGCTGTTCAATGGTGTTTCTTGAATTCAGGTATTATATGAATAATAGTCATTGAAATGGGGAAAATATATGGTCAGTTCATGATTTGTAAATAGAGAATGGTTTTATCTCATATGCCCTTTTTTACTCAAATGTGAATTTTCCCACAAGTTTGATTAATTTTTTTATTGGGAGAGTTTCTTAAAATAATAATTAGCAGTAAATCTTAGGTTTTCAGGGAAGGTTCTGTAATTCATATTTTCACCATTTTTATGAGGTATAGTTTTTTGAGCATCTGTTATTCATAAATTACATTGGTTTTTCTTGTATAAAGGAATTATGGTTTTCTAATAAAGCAGAAATTTATAATGACAGGATAGTTTTTTCTCACTAATTAATGTTTATTTCACACAGGAGAGACACAATACTGAGAACAGGTATTCTAACAGTAATGTTGCTCAGGGTATGGTTGCCATGGAAATAAATCAACAGAAAAAGGAGGCTGATAATGATAGCAGTGATGAAGAAAAAATGGTGATTTGTGAAACTGAAAAGCCTAGAGAAAGTGGAGGTATTCAATTAGTTGAATTCAAGCAATGATGAATGAATTAATGAACATCTTTAATTGAATGAATGATCTTGTTTTGAATATCTTTCCCAAGAATCTCATTAAATTAAAGAAAAAAATTGTGTAGGAATGCATTTTAAAAATCAACCACAAGAAGTTATATGTGAAGTTTACTAAAAATATCTGATATTACGGGAAAAACATTCTGTTTTTATAATACATATTATTCTAAAGAAAGGTCTCAAAAATTACTTGAATGTTTATTTTAGATAAAGGCTCTGAGGCAGATGGCATAGACCTGAATTGCCGTGAACAGGTTAGTGACAGCGAAACTGACAGTACACCTGAAGATGACATTATTGAGAATAAAGCGTTTCCACAGCAACGATTTTCACCTGTAATGAAACACATTAACTCGTCCGATATAACATATCGTCCCAAACCTATTAAACGTATCCCAGATTCAGGTAAACCTGGCCCAAATAGTCCCGTGGGAGTTCCGCCAGGACATCAAAGCTTTGATAGGCAGATTCCTAGGCCATCCAGTAATGGCTCAAACTTTCAACCTACAGGTGCCGTTTTTAAAGCAAAGGGGAAGCAATCTCGATACTTATCTACAGGAAGTGTACAAGATCTGAGAACGAGTCTATATGATCACATGCCCAATCACAGAGGTGAGAGTGTATCCTCTATGCGTGGTTTAAATCAACAACAGATGAAAATACATAATATCACTATGGCAACAGGAAGTGAACAAAAAATAATAATGAGTTCAAATATGGAAACAACTCTTGGTAATCAAAATGGCAGAGGTGGTCCAATTATAGGAAAATTTTCTCAGCGTGGACCAATCAAACAACAGCAGCCGCAAAGGCAGACAACTCCAGTGTCGACAACCCAGTCAATATTGCAGCAGACGCTACAAACAGGTGCCCAGAACACGCGCCCTGTAACTACAACAGCTATACATATTGTCCCTTCACCCCAACAGGCTTTGCTGAATCAGCAGTATGCCAACAAAAATAGTGTGATACCAACATTTACTACAATTGGAAAGCCAATTTCGGCTTCAGTCCCATCAGTTTCATTGCAACAAAATCCTGTGCATGGAAGTTTTAATACATCTATAGCCACTGCTAATATGCAGCCACAGACTATTCTTCCAAACGCGTCTTCAGCAGGTCTGAAGAATGTGGGCGGAACAATAGTTCTTCAAGGAATACCTGCATCTCAATATGGCATGATAATTGGATCGCAAGCTTTGGCATCGCCAACGGTTACCAAACCACCAACACTGTCTGTAGCTGGCTCGACGCAGTATATTGGAAATTCCCTACAGAATTACATACCTCTGACAGCAGGACAAAATCAAGGTCAGGCAACTCCTACACAGACAATGGCGCCACCTACAGTCCTGACCAACTTTATTATTAAACCTGGTCAAGGTGGGCAAACTATCCAGCCAGCGTTGAATTCACCATCACCAGGGCAGCCTTTAACACCAAATTTCAATCAACCAACACATGTTCAATATATTTTACCCTCCATTCGGATGCAGGCCCCTCAGCCTGGTGGTAAAGTTCAGAATCATGTCATTCAGATGGCATTGCCTGGTACCCATTTACCACAAGGCAGTATTCAACTAACATTTGCTGGGAACCAAAATGGTACCCAAGCCCAGTCAATGCAACAAGTTCAACAAGTGAAAGTGTCGCCACAGCAAGTTCAAACTGGAAAAATCCAGATAACACCCGGGTATAAGGTTGTTCAGAGTCCTGTGAAGCAACAGCCATCCCCAGCTGCCTCGCCTCAGCTGAACACAGCACCACAAACTATACAGGTAAGTACATTCAAGTATTTGTCAGAGGTCTGACAACTAAATTGATAAAGATGATCATCTCGTATATAGAGTCATGTAAATCTGCTATGGCTTTCTCATGTGAGAAAAATCCATAAGTCCTTGGGTGGTTTTTGAACGCACACAGTCTTGAGGGGCAAATGAATTGAGTTTGGCAACCATAACCACCCAGCCAAGAAATCTTTCCCCCTCTTCAAGATTGGGGCATAGCCCTCTTACTGTCTTAATATTTTTTGAAACCATGGAGGCCTGCCTTCTCTAAGAATTGGCATATCCCTTTAAATAATTTATGAAATATTACTTCCATTCATCTTTCAAAGACATATTTTTTTATTGATGTTTAGATCTTGCTAAAATGTTTTGTGACCTAATCTTAATTGAAAATATGTTTTGTTTACCAACTTTAAATAAATTTTCTGTATTACGTTTTTACATACATTTTGTATTTATCATTAAAGAAAGTTGATCTTGATAATTATCACATGTCATTCTTTTATTACTCAGGTGATAAGCCAGAATGTTGGAAATAAACAGCAGACTGTGACACAGTATGTAGCTGTAAGCCAGTCTCCTGGTATGCTAGCATCACCACAACAAATACAGATACAGTCTGCACAGCAACCTGTTGTTTCCAGGCAACAACAAAATCAACAGTTACAGGTATGTTGAAAGGAAGAGATAAAAATATCTTATTTATAATCCGACTTTAGAAATATGAGTATTTAGTTATTTATTAATTATATGTTGTATTAATGATATATCATTGATGAAACTCTTGAATGTTCCCTCAAGATTAAAATATGGACAAATATGTGAAAGTGTTCTCCCAATCCCTGGGTTGGTGATTTATTTTTGATGCAAACTCATGCATGAAAAATGAAATCTGAGGTTTTCTCTTACCTGTATAGTTAGAAAGCTGCCATTATGACCCATACAGTGTTGATTAAAAACCAACCCTCTCTCTCCCCCCCCCCCCCAAAAAAAAACAACAAAAAACAACAAAGAACAGATGGTCTACAGAAAAATGTCTAAAGATATGTTGTTCCTTTTATCATATCAACTAATACTGTCTGAAGGTGATGAATATTTCTCAACATCACTGATAAATTATAAATGTGTTTGAGTGGAGATGTGGCCTAGTGTTCGGCATCTCAACCCAGGGATCATGAGTTCAAGCCCTGCTGGGGTCACTACCATATTTCCTCATATGACACAAGTACTCGGACACTAGTACATTAAAATAAGTAACATGTTTTTGTTATAGAGAAAACATATAAATATGATAAAAGTGAACTAAGTGTTTTGTTAAAGCTATGAGATGAAATACTGAATGAAATAATAAATGAAAAAATGATCTTACTGCGTATCTTCAAATAAAATTAATGTTGTTTTCTTTTCTATTTTTAGAATCAGTTGCAGCATCAGTTACAGACTATACAGCCAGTTCAAACATTGAATACACAGGTAAGTTACAGTACTCAGTTACATTAAAATTCCCATCTATCTCGGTTAACCACTTATTCTTGAAATAATGCAAAGAGGAGCACCTGAGGTCTTCCTATACCTTTAAACTTGATTGTTGCCATAGTTATTACTCATACAGTGTGGATATGACTTTAAACCAGAAAAAATCAACTTAATAAAGAGATGTAAGTATCTTTCGTATATGCATTAAGAGTTGATGTATCAATTTGCCTAGACATTCGACTGTAAATATGAAAGAGTGTTAGTACTGGTATGGCAGTGTGGTTAACATGTCAGACTAGTATTCTAAGAATCGTTGACCTTGTAGGTTCAAACCCCCGCAAGGGCGAGCAGTTGTTTCCTTGAGCAAAAAACTTTACACTTATTGCTCAGTACTTGTTGGTTCCAGGAATGGATTTGAGAGAGTGTTCAAAAGCTGTAAGCTTCCTACACAAACTAAAATAAATTCTGTAATAAATAAAATATGAAGAGCTGGATTTAATGATAATTATGTGTGTAAATTCACTTGACATTGTATTACAGCCACTGATCCAGCAAGCTCTTCAGCAACCGGTTCAGCAGCAGACCCTGCAACAGGCATTACAGGCACCGGTACAGTATCAGCAACCACAGTTGCAAGTTAACCCACAACAACAACAACAGCAGCAGCAGCAACGTGTGATATTGCCGTCAACACAAAAGTGAGTAAAATAATAAAAAATATAATATCTGTATGAATAAAGGCTCTGTTTTGATTAAAAATAGTAATTGGGATCAAATAAGAATTGAATTTTCTTTATTTCCATCACACCTTAATTCAGTCTACATATTGTCACATTAGTGAAGTAACGGGTTAACTACTATTAAATTATATTAGGAGTTAACCAGTTACTGCATTAAGGTGAAGATATTTAAGCTGGTTTTGTGAAATGCGTACAGTGTCAATATTGTGATTAACTTGGAGGGTCATTAGAAATCTTTCAAGTTAACATACTGGGTAATGTAACTCAGTATTAATAAAAACATGACTGAGTAAGTGAATATTGAAATCTATACTTAGTCTGTCTCTAGTCAAAACAGCAAATTAAGTAAAGCAATAAGGCAGTCCAAACTTTATACAGCATTCTAAAAAAAGTCATGAAATTCCTTTTAATTTTATGTTTTCTGAGTTGTTAATGTGACTCGTTTTTGTTAAGCAGTAAAGTGGTTTTGACTTAAAACACAGTTCCCATGAAGCTTAAAATTATGAAATCGTATAGTTATTTTTCATCTTTATGTATTTATAGGTTACAATTTATGCAGCCTACCAGTAGTGTAGCTGCGCCACCTATAGCGTCTCCAGGGGTCAAGGTCGTGTCATCAGCAGCTTCACCAGCCTACATACAGTATGTCGGGTCAGTCCAAGGTACGTTCCAGATACGTTACAACTTTCAACTACTTTCAATGCTTTATTTCTTATAATGTCCGACATTTTAATCCTCTCCCTGCTAAATTTGTATAATGGACTTGACCTGCTTTGAATTTGGAACATTACGTTGTGAATAAGAGGGGTGTTAATTTTAAAATGCAAAAATAAAGCAGACGGCAGTATGGAGTCTGGTCATTTATGTATATTCACAGACATGGAGGCTTTACTGGCTCTATATTGGTGTCATAAGCTTGTTATTATTTGATTCAGATGGTTATAGAGTATTCGGTCATTACTTTAAACATATTTGGAGATACTAAGTTAGACCTTGAAAATATTTGAAGATATTAGGTTAGACTTTCCTTAATTTGCAAAATTGCGGAAAATATTTTCATCCTTAATTCTGTAAAATTTGAATGACTGTTACCATATGACTCTTTTTTTTATTTTGGCAAGTTACAAGTTGAAAACTCTTGGCAAGTTACAAGTTGAAAACTCTTTGGCATAGAATTTTGATTGACACATTGACTATCCCAGAATTGATTGTGTGTGTGACCAAAAGATTTTTTCATTGATACTTTGTTTATAAAGCATAAAAGATTCATTCAAATGATATCTTGTCTCAAACCTCGCCAAAATAAATTAAAAGATATGCATTTGCGTATTATAAATAATTCTAATATATTTTTCACGTTTCCAGGACAACAGGGTACGGTTCAGCAGGTTCTGATACAACCCCAGAATGTACAGAGACCTTCCTCCACCGGAAATGTCTCCATGGCGTCCTCTCAACCGTCTACTCAACCGAACATTGCACCGAAACCTACTCCGGTACTGAGTAAAACTGGAACTCCACCGGATAACCAGAGTCCAATGTTTTACCAAGGTATGTAAATTGGAAATTTCAATATTTTGTTTACTGTTTAATAGTACAAATGTTTTTGCCCTTCTGGACTGTTTTGTTAAAACAAGCATGTTTTTGTAACATATATTTAATATTGAAAATTATGTCACAAAAATGAAGAAAAATAGAAGTTAAAAGGTGCAGCTAAAGGCAATGAAGATAAAAATTAATTATTGTGTTTCCAGGTGTAATGAATCTGAAGAATCAAAGTTATATCACCATGGCATCTGAAATGAAAGGAGAAATTGGATATATAACTAGCCAAAACCTTCAACCTAAACCTCAGAAGGTGAAGGCCACGATTGCTAATATACCCGTAGGTACAGAGAGTCTTCAGAAGTTCAACACTTTACCTGGTAAGTTACTAGGTTAAATTAGGTCATATTCAACTGAGCCTCGGAAATAGTCAGTACTCTTAAGACTTTACAAAGACATTATATCCACCTGTGTTATGGGGGGGGGGGGGGGGGTCTGTGGCCAAGTGGTTCAGGTTGTTGACTTCAAACCACTTGCCTCTAACAGTTATGGTTTCAAAACCTGCCAGGTACTTAGAATTCTCTCATGTGAGTAACCTATGCAGCTAGCTTACGGAATATCAGCTGTTCTAATCAGATGCCTGCTTGTGCCTGAAATAATGCACTGAGGTGCAACTGAGTTCTTCCTCCAGTAGTAGAGCTGGTAAGTTGTCATATAACCGTAACAGTTTTGGTGTGACTTAAAACCTATGCCCTTCCAGCCCTCTCTGTTATTATGTGTGATTGTTTCATCTCTATTTGCGTAAAATAGACTGTAGCAAATAAGGTATTAGATGCATTGCCTCTACATTTCTATATTAAATACATTCTTACTGCATTTCATTACAACTGATTTGATTTACCATTGTTGTATTTTAATGGATTGGTTTGTTTAGGGTCTGCTATAGAATATGACTTGTTATGCATAATAGGCACATCATGCTCTGATTTGCATGTGTTGAAAGATATATTTGTCTCAAAAACATGTTGGAATCTGTCACCACTCACTGTAATGGAAACAAATGTAACATTGATATTGTTGGGAGAAAAGGATTTCTCTTTAGGTTAAGAAAACAAATATAAACCTCAAAATAGCTTGGGATACGTGGCATTTTCACCATATCACCAGGGACCAAAATCAGGCCCTATTTCCAATCCAAAATAGCCCCATTTTTCCCAATTTCAAAGAAAAAAAATCCCCAACAGCAGTTCAAAAAATTTAAACTGTTTCAACGATTGAAAAAAAAAAAACGTTTCAACTTGTTACTTAAAAGAGGTGCAAAAGGATATACTGTATGATCATAGACATGTTAAAAAAACTAAAAGGTATAAAGTGAATACATGTACTTTTGCCAGGGACCTTTTCCCAAAATACCTTTAAAGGCCCTATTCTATAATTCATTTAAAAGCTGCAGGTTTGGCTAATTCTATTGATTTTCGTGTTCTATTTTTAGCACAGAAACAGTATGGTAGTGCTTCAACACCTAAAGGTTTCCCAATGTCTCCGAACTTATCCTCTGCTCTCGCATCGCCAGCAGGACTCTTATCCCCTGCTAGGACCTCTCCGTCCCAGTATGGGAGGGACCAGGTATTGGATCATCGACCCCAGAGGCCCTCACCGCTTGTACTGTCACCGTCACCTGTCAGCAAACCGATGGAGGTTTCAGAAGGTCAAAAAGGTCAAGATGGACAAAATCAGGAGGCCCAAGAAGTGGATGCTAATGGTAAACCTCAGAGGCCCGGCAAAGGAAAAAGATATAAAGATTTTATAGCAGAAAATGGGATAAAGCCTTTTAAAAAGGATAGAAAGGTTAGAGTTTTATGTTTGTAGTAACCTCAGTATAAGTTTTCTGTAGCAACTGTTAAGTCCTTTCTATAACATAAGCTTTGAAAAAAATGAATGACATAAATATAATGGATGTATTTAATCTTAGATGTTTAGTTGTGAAGTTTAGATAAATAAAAAAGTGTGTAACCCCATTGAACTACAAGTATCTTTTAATTTTACCCTTAATGGCAAACCTTTCAGTTTGTGAGAATATTTGTGTGAAAATATACTTATTTTGTAAATGCATTGTTTTATCCTCTTATATTTTCACTATTGCTATCTCTATTCAGGTTTACAGCAGTAAGTCTGGTACCCAGGAAAATCTCCCTGAGGAGAGGAACCAGCCAGTATCACAGGACCAGACACCAACCACCTCAGTGACCCAGATCACAGTGACTGGTCCAGAGGAGTCTGATTCACAGAGCAGCTCTATACAGATGTTGTCTCCTCCACCATCGGTTAGTTAATCATTGAATCATGAAATTAATTCCATTAGTATATGCAGTTATGTCAAGCATTTAAAGGCACATTAATTCTCTGAAGGTGGTGCATCCGTGGCTGAGTGGTTAAGGTCTTTGACTTCAAACCACTCAACTCTCACTGTTGTAGGTTCGTGCTGCGTCTTCAGATTCTTACATGTGAGGAAGCTAACATGGTTATTTACGGAATGTTGGTGGTTCTACTTAAGTGCCTTACGGAACTTCGATGGTTCTACTCAGGTGCACGTTTGTGCCTTGAATAATTGCACGGAAGGGCACCTGAGGTCTTTCTCCACCAGTAAAGCTGTAATGTCGCCAAATGACCTATACTTTGTCGATGTGACGTAAAACCCAAACAAACAAACTACTTAAGTGCCTGTTTGTGCCTGAAATAATGCACAAAGAGGAATCTGAAGTCTTCCTACACCTTTAAAGCTGGAAAGTTGCCATATGACCCATACTTTGTTGGTGCAAAAAAAAAAAAAAAATTGAATAAAAGACAAACCTGTTGTGTACAAAAAAAGCTTTTGAGAAATAAAAGATAAAACATTTCTTTAGGCTTAACATTTCGGAATTCATGCTGGTAAATAGTAAAATTTATTTACTGTAGCTTTCCACCACCGATGAAGTTTGAAAAATGTCTATTTGTATATACTATATGCTAAAATGTGATAATATTTCAGGCGGGTGAAAAGGTAAAGAGAAAACCACCACCGTTACCGAGCCCGACTTCACTAAATGTTCCCTCGCCAATGCCTTCTCCGGGACTCACTAGCCCAAGGAAAACTATATTGAAGAAAAATATCGAAGATGGCATGGATAAGTAAGTGAAGTTATTGAATAAATGAGCCGTGTCACGACAAAACCAACATAATGGGTTTGCGACCAGCATGGATCCAGACCAGCCTGCGCAGGCGTGCAGTCTGATCAGGATCCATGCTGTTCGCTTACAAACCCTATAACAAGTAGAGAAACTGACAGCGAACAGCATGGATCCTGATCAGACTGCGCGAATGCGCAGGCTGGTCTGGATCCATGCTGGTCGCAAAACCATTATGTTGGTTTTGTCGTGACACGGCTCAAATCAATAAATAGGGGATATTGAATGAGTGTAGATTCAGTACTAAGTTAATTGAACAAGTTGAATAAAAATATATTTGCCAGAGGCACACATAATATTATTTCAATAAATTTAGTAATGAAGCTACATGAATATTATCCTCTTTTTATCACACATCCAAAAAGAACTGTTTACTGTAAAAAATCATTTTTTCATTGACATGTTTTTTTTTTTCTGAGTTGCAAATACATGGGTATGTGATAGATAAGAATATCTTTGTTTATTTTATTCATCAAAATGAATCCTGAATGAATATTAGAAATTATATATTATAGTAAAGTGTACAAGTTAAATTAACAAGAATAAATATGTTATATTGAACAGAGTAAAATATAGAAATGAATTATGAACAAATTAGAGTAATTATCTTTGATAAAAAAGTTTTAAAAGAGTGAACATTGAAATAAATTCTGAACATATAAAATTACCTTTGTCAAAAGATTCAACATGTTAATTAAATATGTTTAAGTTAGTTATCTGTGACAAAAAAGTGAATAAGTTTGAAAAAAAAGGTCCTGAGAATGAAGCTGAATCTGAAAAAGAAAGAAAATAAATATGTACATTTTTACAATATGATGGTCTGTTTTGTAATTTTATGGGTATTTTCATATCACAATTATTTTTGCTTCAGGGTATTGGAGCGTGTGAATTTTGATCAGAGATTTGAGCAACTACCGCAGTTTAACCCAGAGACATCAGAAGTTGGTACCCCTCTACCACAGAGCCCGCGGGGAATAATTGTCAGCTACAAGAAACGGAGGAAAATATCTTCTTTAGGTATATTAATTTTCTTTTCTTTAAAGGCTCAGAACAAATATATTTTTACTTCTTTAGAAAGGGCTAATATAAATTTTATACTGTTTGAATAATCGTTTTAGTTTTAGAGAATGTTAAATAAATGTGAAATAATTTGTCATGAATGTAGCAAACCAGAAACAAAGTAGTATTTTGACTGCCATACAAAATACTCATTTACTATAATTGTACTTATTGCCAAAAAAGCATCGGATGAAAAAGTTGGTTATGGTAACTGGCCAATGAGTAACGTTTTGGATACTGTTAAAGTACACCAATATTAAAAACTTTTTGAGAAATAAAATTATAAGCATTTCTGAGGCATAATGCACATTTAATGTGACATGAAATTTTTCAATATCTCGAATAGATAAATTTTGGAGATGAAAGTTGTTATGAAGTGTATCAAAAGCCTATTTAATTGATTTTTATCTTCATTCAAGAGTTTATATACTTGGTTTATTTCTTTCAGCCAAGCCGGACAATAATGACAGTTCAGACCATACCTCAGACACGCCCCAGACTCCCCACACCCCATCATTGCCCCATACACCACTGGCCTCACTACCACAGACGCCTAAGACACCAAGAAGTGCCAGGTTTGATGATGGTCAGTTCTTCGGTAAAGATTTCAGTCTGGACACTCTGGCCGATGCTGCCATATCGAGACCAAGTAAGTAGCTTCCTATCAAAATTAAGAGAGATCAAACACTTGTACTTGGACATTTTATTTTATTTAACTTATTTACAAGATTGCACTTTCTAGATATTTCTCAAAAATTGCATCCTGTAACTTATAGTACACTGTAATTCATATGGGAATTGTCACTTACAGAATGAAAGATTTTTGTTTAACATCTGATATATCAATTTGAATAATGAAAAATTATTATCATTGTCATTTAAAAAAACTCAGTGGAGTGAGTCCTTTTAATGACAATTGGATAAAAAAAACTTATTAGCTTATTTAGAAATATATCTTATCCAAAATGATAATTGTAATTCATTGTAAAAACCAGTTGTTTACTAGACTTGTTTATTGTCATGAATAATGACTTGTAATAATAATTTACCAAAAGAGATATATAAAAAAATTATCGAAGCTTTTGTTCTGTTTATACAGATTTGGTAACAGACCCATTTACCGATGGTGACCTTCACTCACCAATGACCCCGAAAACGCCAAGTTCTCCGGGACAGTTTTCCTCGTTACGCAGGATCCTTGACCAAAGACGAAATCTTGTGATGCAGCTGTTTGAAGAGAATGGACTCTTTCCTACAGGTATTTCTTCTATCCAGAACATTTACTGTTAATTCACTGAATTTTGTGGGCAGAAATTTTGAGGTTTGTCACAAAAAACATTCTTTCAGGTTCTTGAACTCTTGGACCGTTTATTTTTCCAAAGGTAAAATGTTAATAATATCGGGCAAAATAATCTTACTACAGAAAAAATGAAATGATTTGATCCTAAAATTCCTAGATTGACCTATCCACAAAAACCAAGAAAATTATTGCCCACGAATAATAATGATTTTGCAGTACCTTGAAATGCTGATATGAAGGTGAATTTTTCAAATTTTTAATGTTTTTGTTTTTCATACGACTATGACAAGTTTTACTGTTAGTTTATACAAATTTATTTTAGTTTGATTGTGTTGCAAGCTGTTGTAGCTTATTAAAACACTGTCAAATCCGTTCCTGGAACCAACCAGTACTAAGCAATAAATTTTAAGTCTCTTGTTCAAGGAAACAACGGCTTGCCCCTGATAGGATTTGAACCTATGCAGTCAGCAATCCTTAGATTACCATTCTGTTATGTGTAACTGATATTATAATGTATTGTACTGTGTTATATTATAGAATATTTTATATCCAGCTTGCTTACTTGAAGGCAGTGTTCTATGGTAACCTACTAATGCCTGATATAATGTGGGTCTTCCATAAGTAAAGATGACCCTTTTACTGCATTGTTGGGACTTGCATCCCAACAAAACAAAGCACATATTAACAATATAAATCTATGGAATATTTTCTTTATCTTTTACAGCCCAAGCTACAGCCACGTTTCAAGCCCGGTACCAGGATATCTTCCCAACAAAAACTTGTCTACAACTGAAGATAAGAGAGGTCAGACAGAAAATGATGGCACAGTCTGCTGCACAGGAAGCTGCTGCACTTGGTGGCCCAGGTGAAGGGGGAGATAATTCTTCACAGTCTGCTGGTGATTTTGAGAACCAGTCCAGTAATCAAGAAAAGGATGATTCTGCAGAGCAGTCATAATTTTTAAAAAAATGAAATTGTAAGCCAGTCAAGTGCTACTTTGAGATTTACTAGTAATTGTTATAGATTAGGGTGTTTGATAGGAATTTGTGCTATTGTTGCAAAATGATATAAAAAAATTTATTAGTGAACCAGTCTATAGAATTGTGAACAGGAAGTGATGAAGCAGTTTTGTGCTAAAGTGATGTCATACTTTGTTAAGATGTCAGAAAGTTAAATATCATGTTTTGAAAGAACAGAAAATAGGAAACGAGTGATAGATTCAAATATTTGTCAACTGATCTGATTGTTTTAGAAGGTTAGTGGAGTGTAATTATAGAAGATTTTGTGTTATGTACTAGTATTTCTTTTCTCGGTGTCAAGTAAGGCAGGATTTTTGTCCAGCCTATTTCTTGTTTAAGGGTGAAATGTTATCTGCATTCAAATTTTGAAATGTAAACAAACTTTAAAAACAAGTTTTGCAAATTGTTCTGAAATTGTTTCTAAAGATGTTACTTTTTAAATCTGTTTCACCATAAAAATAATGAAATAATTTATAACTTTTGAGGAAAACATGTCAGTACTGAAGTGTGATTATAGTTATATTTTCCACTATCATTTTGACATTGACACAAGGTATTTACTCCGTAGTTCTTTTGGTATAAGAATTGCCCTAAAGAATATGTTTTTATTTATATTTCAGATAATAAAGTTATTCGAAATAGAATTGATTAAAGTTAATAGTATTCTGTTGAACAAAATAGACATTTGACCTTTGGTATAATGACCTTTGGCCTTGAGTTTTTTTAAGGTCAGCAACAAACTTCTTTATATCTTACTTTCCAAAATGTTGCAATGACTTATTTGAATTGCAAAATTTCTTATGAAATTAACTTAATGGCTTTTATTACGTAACAATTGAAAACTGAAATATTTTATTTAACAGATAGCATTTAAATTGTGTTAGCTCTTAGAAATTGTTTTCCATTTTTTTGTGTACATAGATACATTCATAAGAGAGCCTATACATGTATATTTCATTGAAATTTTACTATTGTATTCATATTTGGCCACATTTTTTGTGACATAAACTGTGATATTTTTCTGTCATCAACATCGTTTCTTGAAATTGTCTGAAGTCATTATTTTAATACACTGTTAAGATCATATTTTAAAAAAACGTCATGTTTGTTATATATTATATTTTAATCACATTACTTCATATATTCATCATCAGCTATCATCAGTCATCGTCGGACATCATCAAAACAGTTTATCAAATATAAAAGAGTAGTTTTTTATAGCATGTTTGATTATGTTATTACATTTAACTTGTAATAAATGTTTTTTATCCATTTTTGATATTGTTAAGGATTAGAACAGTTACACTATGAAATGAATTTTGATGTTATGGGGATGGGGTTGGGGGACATGGGGTGGGGGATTAAGATTATGGAAGAGGTCTTCATTAAATCTAACAAACTTTGGTTTGAAATGATATTTTGATCACCAAAATGGCGGCGCCCAAGTACTACTCTCACATAATATATATTGACTTAAAACTTGAATTTCTCTCTTATACAGTAAATTTCAACGGAAAAACTTGAATGGTACTTCTTTAATAAAGATAAATATTAATATAAAATGGGCATTAAAATAGCTGTTCCTATTGCTTTAAGGGAGTAGGACAATTCAATTTGTAACAATTAACTTTAGTATGTTTAAAGCTGCATGCCTCCAGATGAGCCAAAATATTTCAAGAAAATAAAACTTGAGAGAAATGTACTTGGATTTTAAGAAATTTTAAAAGATTTAAGTAATAATTTACATGTTATACACGATAAAGGACTGATTTTTATGTGTTTATCACCATATTTCTACTGTGTTACAAACACAGTATGGACTATTTTGCTTCTCTTTTTTTTTGACCTTGTTTTGGTAATTTACGTGGATTGCAAGTGCTGCTTACAGTGTGTCAATTATTTTCTTTCTTCACTTCACAATAATTAACTTTTAAATACATTTTTAAAGTTTTTAATGAAGATAAGCATTAATCTAGAGGCATGCTGTTTTAATATAGATCTAGTCTTGATTGTTAGCTACTGTAAAGTTAGATAATAAATACATCCGTAGATACGTGTATAATATAAATGGCTCGTTAAACGGAACAAAAAGGGTTTATGAAAGGGAACAAAGACTTTTTGTATTTTGAATTTATTGTGGACTGTTATTTGTTAGATTGAATAATTTTATGATTTTTTTCTCTGTTTAGAGAAGTGTCCAAAAAATAATATAACTATCCAGGACCTTGCCTTTATGATTAAATGATAAATAATATGGCACTGATTGTTAAACTTATCGTATAATTTTTCTAATTCAAGGCTTTGTAGGGGCTCAGATTCTTTCATAAGGGAAGATTCCTGGAAAGGTAAAAGGAGTTGTTTTTTACCAGGTTTTATTTTGTGCCTGAAAGAGTACTTTATAAGGCAGCACTATGAGAAATATTGTACACAAATTGTGGTTGGACAGTCCCTTTAAGTTTTGTCTATAGGTTAATATTACTTATTAAGTTGGCACTAAATTTTGTGCCACAAAGGATCGCAGCATTATATTTCAAGAAAGATTTATTGTCAAACAAGTTCATTATGCTAAACGAAAAGCTTTCTTTGGGTTAGTAATATGAAATAAACTGTTATATTCATGGACAATGTGTTGAATGCATTATTTAAGATTATTAGTTGTGTAATGTTAAACATGTTTAATTTGATTATTGAAACATGCTTGTTTGCTGTGATGAGGGGGTTATATTTTAATAATTATTGAATTAAGATAGTATATGATATTGGATCGCAAGCATGAGAAAATGAGCCTTAATGTCATTTCAAATACAATGTCAGAAGACGTTGTTGATAAGTGAATTACCTTGTAATGTTGAATATAGATAGGCTAGGCTAAACAGATTTTGGTAGTTTTTATTATTTTAAGAGCAAGAAAACTGAATATCTTTAACAAAGTAAATATGTCGATTAAAAGAAGAATAACTGGCGTTAAGCGTTGTATTCTCATGTGGGCGGTCTTAAAATATTTCTACGGGAACTTTATACAATGACCTGATCTCAGTGTGTTATTTTCAGTACACACACAACTATACACAAAAATGTTTGCCGTGATTTACTTATTATTCGATTAAACGGAAAAGTAACACAACCTTGCGGTTTGTATTGCGTAAGTTGTATTAATTTTCGGTCTTATCTTGTTTCTATTATAATGGCTGTTTTGAAAAATCACGGGTGTCGGGTATAATGCAAGTTTTAACGAGGTTTTCTCTTTTGCATTTTCACAAAGTTGGCTAGTAGGAGTATGTTGGAAATTGAAAATATTGTTTAGCATGCAATATTGTTATATACATGTATATTACATCATGAGGTTATCGAAATATTTTGTAAGAAATCCTTGTTGCTTTGTCTAACTCAGTTACCTAAAGCAAAATCTGGTAATATCTGGTGAAATTTTTTGTAATGGGCAAGCCCATCTTTAAATTTGGACTGCTCAATGGTTATTTATAGGGGATTCAGTTACAGTATCAAAATACTAAAATTTAGCAGACGACAGTTAAAGAGCATGGCCAGATGTGCAGACTGACCTAGTTGTATACTAGCTTTGGAATTGGCAAAGTAATTTTTGCCACTAACACACTTTTGGTTAGTGATATTACAAAGAAGTTTGATTAATTAACCTTTGCTAATCTTTAACATCTAAAATGGACTTGTCCATCTTACAATCTGGACAAAAACTATTCATCATTTTTAGGGAAAATTTCAAAATGTATACTAACTAAAAAGCAAACAGTGCAGACCAAGATCAGACAGCATGCACTGATGTGCAGGCGGATCTTAGTCTGCGCAAGTCACAAGAGCAGATTTAGGCAGTGCCAGCAGACCAAGGGTTATGTAATGGTTGATTTATGGAATAGACTTCTTGGCATATACATGTATTGACATTTTTGTGAGAAATTGATTGAAATCATGTTGGCCTACAAATCATATAGAAATTGCTGATTAATGCTGTAAAAGAAAAAAAATGAAAAAGAGAATAATGTGTAGGGTGTTTGAATATATTACAGAAATGAATTGCAAATTATTGTTAAATTTATTATTGTTAAACAACATTACAGGTATTGTGTAGGTGTTTTATGAACATGCCTTATGTATTGTTTAGATTTAGTATTTTTTACAAAACTTGCCATAGATAGATTTGATAATGAAATCTTATAAGATTGAATAATTTTAAATGCAAATTGTTATAAAGAAGGAATAATTATATATTTGTTTTTATTCAAACAACTTTTAAAACAACTTTATACAAAGGTAAACTCTGTTTTCAGACTAAACAGTATTGTCTGGTTGGAAGTAAAAAATTATAAATTCGGTTTAAGAGATTTTGATAACATTAAGGGGAAAAAAGTGTAATATTTTGTTAATTGAATAAAGTACTAGGAAATTTGAAGGATAAGTGTATCTGAAATAAAAGACCATAAGAAAGCCACCACAATAACTGATATTAGCATTGAATTGGTTGAAATGTAGACTTTGTATATTATTCACATTGAAAATATACTTTAATATGCCTTGGATTGAATTAAATGTTTACATGATAATAGAATCAAATGTAGACACATTATCTCCACAATATTTGCCTTGAATTAAATTGAATGTAAGCACAATATTTTTGCTTTGAAAGTAAAGCTTATATTAGCTTGGAATTGAATTATTAAATGACCTTGAATTGAATAAAATGTATCTGACATTAATTAAACTGATGTTAAAGAGTTGAATTGAATTAAATGTAGACAGAATAATTTCAGTCTGAAAATAAAACTTTGAATAAAGCGTTGAATTGAATTAAATGGCCTTGAATTGAATTGAATTGAATAAAATGTAGACACTGTGTGACTTCGCTCCAAAAAAAAACTTATAATGGCCTTGAATTTATCAATATCTTCATTTTGTTGGCCTTGAATTGAATTAAATGTAGACACAATATATGTATAAAATTGTTTTTAAGAAAGTATGTATGTGTATATATTATAAGACAAAATGAACATACATGTAGTATATGTAAATATTATTGAACCAACCTAGTGCAATGATATTATGTTTGTTAATGTTTATACTTCTATAAATAGCTTCACATTGTTAAGGTTTTTTTCTTTCTTGACCAGGATGTAATTTGTAATAAATATGTCTCTGGAAACAAAATTATTTTTGTTGTTGTTTGTTTATGTTTTATTCTTTCACCTGCAGATCAGGTGATTTTGTAGACAAAACATTGCTGCTATGGGGGTATTGTCATTTTCTTTTGATATCATCAAAAGAATTTGTATCATCAACAACATGGCCGCCATTGAAGTGGTCCCTACCCTGTGCATATGTATAACAATTCATTTGACAATCTCCATGGACAAATCTGCCTCTTAAGCAAGGGCTAGTGGGTTCGAGCCGTACTCTGGTCACAGCCATGTTTCTAGCCCTACTCATGTCACAGCCATGTTTCTAGCCACTGAACAGTAGACGTTTTTTGTTAGGCAAAATATGGATTGATCTTGTCGGGAATATTGTATTCTCGCACAAAACATCAAAAGGTTATCTGCTTAAAACAACCGGTTTCTGGTTGTACATAAGAAGGTTTTATATCCATATGTTAAGTCTATGTAATAGCTTTGTGTATACCATAAAAAATATTGTACGATTAACTAATATCTCGGTACCCCGAGTTGTCACTTTCTTTAAAATAATAGATCTAAAAAAAACAGGTCGTCATTTTGAATATTTTAATTATAATAACAACTAACAGTACATAGATATTATTTTATATCCCGTAAACATAATTATATAAAATAACTGTTTTATAGCATAAAATAACACATTTACAATCTTAACATAATGTGTCTTAGCCCGTCATACGTTTTTACCGGCACGTGCATTTTGCAACCGATATCGGCATGAAATACACATAACAGGTCAGTAATCACGCGGGCCTATCTGAAGGCACTCTAAACATATACAATGTACATGTACCGTACTGCAGTACAGTTGTAACATTTAAAATTAGAAAAACAGAATCAGGAAGTATACAAACAAATAAAAAACATTTTATGTCATGTTTTTAACAACACTAAAATTAACTTATTAGAACAAAAATGATTTTAACATATTGCAACATAATGAACCAATATCAATTAATTCATATTAACAATAATATTTTGGAATTAAAAACATATGAAATTAACAATACATCACTATGCAATCAAAGGGGTCTGACACACTTGGATGTATTCAGACATAGTGTAATTAACTTACACAAGCAATTTGAAAAAAAATTAGTGGGGCAAATATTTTATATAGTCTCTATATAAAATATTTGTCCCAATATTTTTTTTTCAAATTGCTTGTGTAAGTTAATTACACTATGTCTGAACACACCCAAGTGTGTCGGACCCCGTTGTATGCAATTACCAACACACACAATACAAGTTCCACACTTTACCCTGTTACCACACATATTTTGCGACATACATGTATTTTGCGACATTAAACAAATGGATGCAGTTCTGAACAAAAATGAACACAAATATTAAGAACCTGAATATAGTGTTGCTGGAATTGAAATTATTTCAGATCTCCAGCGCCATTTAAATGCGCGCGCTCTACAACAAGGTCAAAGCACGTTAAAGTGCATGCAAAGTTATAATCTGTTTATTGCATTGCATTTACTTAAACATTGCACAGTCGTTGCCAATGCATATGGTTTTCATAGAAACACAATCAGTTTTGTAATAAAAAAAGCGCATTTTCTACATTTAAAAAGAGTATTTTCGTTATCTAAATAGAGCATATTCGTTATCTAAATAGAGCATTTTTGTTTTCTGAATAGACAATTTTCGTTTTTTTTTAAATAGAGAATTTTCGTTATTGAAATAAGGCATTTTCGTTATTAATAAGTACTGTAGAGCATTTTCGTTATCTAAATTAAACATGGAATGATGGTGTTTACCAAAGCATACTAATTACTGACATAGAACATTGTGATTACTTTTGTGATTACTTAAATAAAGCATTGTGATTTCTTCAATAGAGCATTGTGATTTCTTCAATAGAGCATTGTGATTTCTTCAATAGAGCATTGTGGTTATTTAAAAAGAGCATTGTGGTTATTTAAAAACAGCATTGTGATTACTTAAAGAGAGCATTGTGATTACTGATTTCTTCAATAGAGCATTGTGGTTTCTTCAATAGAGCATTGTGGTTATTTAAATAGAGTATGCACATTCCTTTCATAAAGCATTGTCATTACTTATACTTCAATATTTCATTGATACACCGTTTACGTTACTTTAAATAGAACATTGACGATGAAGATAAAGAACATTGATTAGAACAATATATGAATAGATCATTGGCTTTTTGTTTATCTAAACAAAGAATTAACGTCATCTAAAAAATATTGCAACAAAATATACAGTGAGCTGTTCGACACCCTTTCCTAATGTAAATTAAGTTCTTAAACAATTAGTACTTGTTATTACAAAGATCTATATAAAATAATAAGGCAAAAACATTAACAATAATATTGGGCAACAAAAATGATTTCTGAGGTCAAACATTGACAGACAATTATGGCAAACTAGCATAATTACAGAGGTATTCATTTCAAATAATTTTCATGCATTTTAATAAAGAAAGTTTAAAAGAATGCAAGCTCTCATGTTTCGGTACCCGACACCATCTGATATTGCTGTTGTTGTTGTTTTTTGTTGGTGGTGGTGTTGTTGTTATTGTTGTTAATATTATCACAGATTGTAGTCACCATCACAACTTTTAATTGGTAATAACTGTAAAGAAAATAAAAAATAAGTAAAGTAAATATCAAAGTTCATTTTTAAGAAGAGATAAATGTTTTAAAACTCTGGGGGAAGATGGTAGCTGCAATATCCCAAAATTAATTATCATTTTCAAAAAGATTATCATTTAGGTACCTGGAACAATGTATTAAACGTGTATTTAACAAATTGTTTACAAATATGCAATGTGAATATCGTATTTGAATGTCCAGTCGATATCCGAATACTAAACCCTACTGAGTCAACAGTCATAAGAAGAGTTGACAAAGGAGGTAAAATAAGTATAGAACTTACGGTATGATTCTTTATACAGGGGAAACCGATTTTTCTTCGGATCGGGCAACTGTTATGGCAAATAATATGAAGGCAATCTGAAATGAAGATTTTCCAGGTAATTTCTTATGATAATAGATAAATTAAGTAATAGTAATTTCTTTCCTTACAAAATCAACTTTTTATATTAAGCACAATAGTCGGAAAAAATCGGCATATTATGTTAAGAAACATTAGAAATATTAATATGTATATTTTATTATTTTATTATTATTATTATTATTATTATTATTATTATTATTATTATTATTATAATTATGCCTCTAGTGCAATATTGTTCAATAGATTTCAAAATGGACACTATAAAATGAAAAGTAAAAAAAAAAAAAAAAAAAAAAAAAAAAAAGACGTGGTAAACTTAAAGGCCCATTTATGCCTCAGAAATGATTTTATTTTTATTTCTCAAAAGCTTTTTAATTCTGGTGTACTTTTATAGTATCCAAAAGGTTACTCAATGCCAATTACCTGAATTTGTTGCTTCTTGGCAATAAGAACAGTTCATAGTGAATAAGTATTTTGTATGTAAGTCAAAAATAATACTTTGTTTATATTTTGCTACTTTTATGACAAATTGTTCCACATTTAATGCTACTTTTTTAGGTAACAAGCATCTGATACTCTTTTAACCTATTAATTAAACATCATAAAATTCATGTTTGCTTTTTCTGAAGAACCAAAAATGTATTTGTTTCTGAGGCATAATGTGCCTTTAATTTGTTTATCTGGCACTAGTCCAGTTAACTAATTTCTCTAGTATACTTTTGTAATACTCGTAAGGTTCAATGTACTTAGTGCATGTAAACAAATCTATTTTAACTATAATAAAACAATTTTCTAATTGAAGAGTCTCTGCATTAACAATACGCAGTTTCATGATAAACTTTCCCCCATCAACATTTATGTGATAAGTAATCAAATTAGTGGCCTGAAGACACATACTATAATGCGTTCATATACCTTGGAGAATAGCCAACATAGATAGTGGACACGATGAATACAGTCTCTAATTCAGAAAATATCAAACATAGTTGAACGTAGTGAAAAACTTGTCACTATGATTAAAATTAGCTCCTAAATAATAATGCAAGGTTTCTTGTATAGAAATACTGAACATAGTCAGTATACATGTATAGATGTTTGCTTACCTGGAAAATAGCTAACGCAGGCAGCATATATGTGTTTGTTTACCTACAAAATAGCTAATAGGGTTTTGCTTACCTGTAAAATACCTTACACAGACAGTATGTATGTGTTTGCTTACCTAGAAAATAGCTACTGGGTGTTTTCTTACCTGGAAAATAGCTAACACTGACAGTGTTAAGGTATTTGCTTACCTGGAAAATAGCTAACACAAATAGTATATATGTATTTGCTTACCTAGAAAATAGCTACTGGGTATTTTCTTACCTGGTAAATAACTAACACTGACACTTATAAAGGTATTTGCTTACCTGGAAAATAGCTAACAATGGCAGTATAGAGGTATTTGCTTACCTGGAAAATAGCTAACAATGGCAGTATGTAGGTATTTGCTTACCTGGAAAATAGCTAAGACAGTAAGGATCGGGACCATTAATGCTGTGTTAGCCATAGACAGATCCCATATCGTCTTATAACAACCCTGAAATACAAACACTCATAGATAATACCACACTTTTGGACCTTAAAGAAATTTAACATTCATTTTTTGATAATACAAAACATTTTTCAAACATAGCATATAATGTTTTTTTTTAAATGTGTATATGTTAATTAATGTTGATTTCCGTATTTAGAAACCATCTTGTTAAATTCCTGAAGAAAATGTGACAGGAAAATGAGTAAACTGGTACTTTTCTGAACCAGTAATGGACCAGTTAATTAAAGCATTGCCCAAGAGTCCCACGACGAACTGTGGAGACTAAAATACTGTTGTAGTTCGTAAAAGAGTTTATTTGCAAATAAGGTAAAAGTACTAGATTGTAGTCTATAAAAACCTAAATGAAACGTCTTGATTTATCTGTCGCTACATAAGTTATGACATTTTGCGTATATCATTTCACGTAATTATTTCTATCATGGCCCATATTCAAGACACAATGTCATAGACGAAAAAAACGTTGTCCGACAATTCTTTTAATTAATGAGATATCAAAAATCAACAAATGCGGTCAGAGTTTGTGGTGGTCGTAAGATATTTGAATTAATAAGTTGTTTTTGTCTATAATAAAAGGAATTTTGTACATAAACCACCACTTTGTATTTTTATATGCAACTTTTGTTTTGATATCCAACTTTTGTTTCATCATGATTAGAATATGATGAACATAACACGTCATTTTGATGAATATTTAGATTGTTCTTGACAGTAAAATAATTTTATGACCGATTTAAGAAAAAAAAATTAAAAAAGAACGAAAAACCCAAATCACACAAAAACACAGGAAACAATGCTTTGTGGTATTTGTGGTTGGCCTTTTCAAGAATATTGCGTTACAAGGGTTAGGTCTCTAGTCAATAAATAAATTATCAATACAGTCCTTACTACCAGAGCATCATCTCAACGGAAATTTTCTTCCAAATCATGCAGTTTTCCCAAAATTCTAAACTTAAAACAGCTTTCTTACTTCCCAAATAAGCAACTGTAGCGAAAATTGTTCCAAAAATTAAGATCCCAATTAAGCGAGAAAAATCACTGACTATTCTTTATAGACAATTTGTTAAAATAATCTTGTCATTCTCATTTTCGGAACTACTGGCAAAGAAACAAAGGAACGAATTTTTCCAAGGAAAATAAGAATGTACATGTTAGAATCCCTTTTATGTACAGGTACTTGTTAATAAATGTTTCAATATTACAGCTTTCTTCAAATGATACTTTGTAACGCGGACCAATGATACTTCATAACGCAGAACTGAACACGGAGGAGTCACTTACCGTCATACCAGTATTAGTTAGACTATCGTATTTTATGGCACATTGAAAATGATTGGCATCTTTGGATGAAGGCAATGTTTTACAACAAGCTACTGGTGTTTCCAGTGTAAAAGTCCGGCCTTGAACTTGTAATGTTTTGTTCCACGAGGTTGACTCACTAAAATCTTTATAGTTGTCAACACCGCAACATTTAAACTGAAATAAAGTCATACACAGGCATGTTTCTTACATATTCTTTATTGATCAATACACGTACTTCCTTAAAGAATGTACTTTATTGATTAATACATGTACTTTCTTTTTATAAGACTGCTAAAATATTTATTTGTAAAAATCAAGTTCGATCATGATTTACAACTTCTTTTCCAAGTGGAAACTTGAAGCTAAACTGAAAATCTGAACTCTGACTAAAAGAATATATCACGTTTTCAGTCCAAAGAACTTTCAGTGTTGTATGGCATATACATGTATTTACCTGGATCATTATAATGTTCCATGCCAGTGAGTATACTTGCGCTGACGCAATACCTTCATATTCTGACAAAGAATCCTTCAGCTGGTCCGTTACCTAGGCAACAGAAAACACATCCAGTTTAAGATTCACATTATAAACGTTTAAGTTCTACTTACCTACTCGCCCTCCCAGTTTATTTTTTATTATCATTATGAGCCCCCTCCCCTAGCCCCCTTACCCATTTTCATACGGGCCTGTAAACCATGAATATGATAATTGATTTTATCTATAATTTATCAATGAAAAAGCAATTGTTTGAATTAGTTCACAGATACAGTATCTGAAATCAGCAGCTGATAATTATAAAATCAATTGTGTTCTATTGTTTTATCACCTTGACTTAATATATATCACTTTCTCGAATGTTTCAAAATATTGAGTGTCTCAATTTCTTGCAATGTATATTAACAGTCTTTATTGTAAGAAATGTCAACAGTTATGTTACACGAAAACGCCATCACTTTGCTTGTAAAGTGTAATGTGTACATACAAAAAATATGTGTATTTATTAAAGGAAAAACATTGAAAGCGTAGATATAATTGCACGTGTAAAAAAGATATTGGTCTTTCTAGCTATGTTAATTGTCCGGCATTTTCTAACTTTGTTGTTTTGAACAATAGTATATATAAATGGCAACAAAAAATCTAACAACTATTGGTCTATTTACTCTTAAATAACTAGTGTCTACAGTAAGATATTGTCTGTTTCTAAATTTTCAGTACTTCGATATTGAAATTAACACAATTCAGCATTCGGAACACCGCGCCAAATACCAATTATTTTATCCGAAGTTTTACGGAAATAGCCGAAAAGTTGCGATTGCAAATTCAGCAGAGTAATGGTGCAAGTTCAATTTATAATCTGATATTCGATGACAAAGGGTCATGTTATTATATATAACTAAAGCAAGGATGAAATAATCTATATGGTCTTAAACATCACGAAACGCTTCGACAGACAAGGAAAATCGACCTTCCCAGGTCATAATACATACCAAGTCGGGTTTGCCGTATAATAAACCAATGGCTACCATTTCTCCAACAAATATCGTGACCAGTGCTATGATATACTAAAATATAAAAAAAGAAGTACATTGTTAATATGGAAACTGCAAAACGTTACTTAGAAGTTATGCATATTTGATAATTGTAAACAGATTTTTTTAGACCCGTTTTGTGTGGGAGAGTAGCTTTAACAAATACGTTTTACAATGAAGAAACATGTATGCTTATATATAAAATGTTATAAATGTAGTTTAATTCGAATCACGTGAACATATGACCCATTTTAATTTTTTTTTTCGAACGCAATTTTGTTACTAATACATTTGAATTACGGACTTGTCCTACAACACCCATTGTTTCAGGGGTTCCAGTAACCGGAAGCATTGAGTCTTGACCGACTGTACGGGCGTGTCAACTGGCATGATTATACTATTGCTATGTGTAAGTCATTTTTGCAATTTGCATTAAAAAAAGAGTTAAAACTAATGTCACTTCCGAAACTTAATTTTATACAAAAATATATTACACTAGCATCACTTTTCCTAGATTTAATGTTGATTTAAGTGCTTAACAGTGGGAATACTTGCACATGTATCTTTTCTCCTCGGTTTCATTTTGAACGTGGCCGCACTCCGAACCCATGATCTCCTAAAATGAAAACCAACTTAGAAGCAAGTCATGTGCTACTTGTAGTTAATATAGATATGATTGAAGAAAAAAAAATAAATTGCCATCCCTATATCTTACCAGCCACAGCATAAAGCCCACTTTACAACAAGCACCGCAACATCCTACAAACGAGAAAACAAAAAGTGTCACTCCGCCAATGATTAGACCCGTAGCCAATCCCGTCATCACCTGAAAGAACAATAAAAACCCCAGATAGCTTACTATCTAAAATATCTTTTGAACTGTTCGGTTGTTATAAGGCCAATACGACATGGCGTTGTGCCTACTTTATTTTATCTACAACAATGCACCGCTTATTTCTTATTCATTTTAAATACGGACATGTTTTAAGGAAAGTTATAGATCTGTTTTCAAACAGGGGCAATAACTCTGTAAATAAAGCTGTACAATATTGACCTCGCCTAGGTTGATGTCGTCCACACTAAGGGCAGCTAGTCCTGTATCCTTGGTAACCTTCTCCAGTTCATCTATCCCCGTCTTCAAGAATGGTTCGTATATTGTTTTACCATACCGCAAAATAAACCCAACGACAAATATGGCCAAACCCCCGAGCTGCAGTGAAAAATTGATATTATGTATTTATTAGTATAATAATATAACTGTAAAACATATGGTGATGAATTCTTTATTAGTTATTTTACAGGAAAAGTGTTTGTTATTATACATATAAAAGTAATTAATAAAACATCAACATTATCTAAAGCTGTGAATGTCGCCGTAAATATTACAAATCATAAAAATGAATAACACTGGCCTTTGATGATTATTTCTTGAATTAAAACATAACAGAAGTGCATGACTTTGAACTTTTTATGTACCTGTAGCGGATATACACAGACTAAATCATGTATTCATTCTAAATTTATCTTGTACGTTGCAAAATTTCAAAGTTTTTTATGTGAGTAATTAAGTGACGTATATATTATTATTTAGTCACCCAAACGTGATTATCAAGATGCAAACCATGAATTTAATCAAACCTCTTATAATTGCGAAATTTTTTCGACAATATTAACAACAACATAATCATTTTAATTCGTGTATCTATTTACGAACTTTGTCATGACTCAATATAAGTATATAATGAACTGATTTATTTTAGCTCTGCTTTAAATAAAGTTATATCATTTTCCAGTTCACCAATAGGATTCACTAGTATTGTTGTACTGAAGAAACATGATTTTCTTAGGATCACACTCACTATCCCTGTGTTAAATCGCATACATCTCAATTGCTAAGACACTATTCTATGGTTTAATAATATTGAATATTGAAATGCATCCCTTTTTGGTTAAGTTCGACTGTGGACTGTGTTCTTATATAAAATCTTTTTTTTTTCGTAAAATGCCTGGGTTAATTAATACTAAAAACATAAGGAAAGAAGGCTGTCACGTTTATGAATCGAACATTACCGAGTTGACAAAAAAACTCGAACAGAAACGCTCTTTTTTTAAGTAAACAATGATAAAACAGAGAAAACACATTCGACCTTGCGATTACAAACAAGTTGACTGAAAGCGTTTATCAGTTGATACGGCCACTTTAAATGTCCTATCCACTCATTTCAAAAATAAATCATTTAATCATTTTGTTGTTGACTTAGACTTATTAGATAACACAATCGGCCATTGCCTTCAGGTATCAGCTCGATGAATTTCGGCATATTCCGCCACTTTCCGTGTATTAATGAGCTTACAACAGAAGCGGCATCAAATCTTGCAAAATCACTGCTTTCTAAATATAGTATTTAAAGGCCCATTATGCCTCAGAAATTCTATCATTTTTATTTCTCAAAAAACTTTATTTTTGGTATGCTTTTATAGTTTCTAAAAACATTATCAGTTGCTTTATACATGCATCTTTAGTTCTGTTGGCAATGGGTATAATTATAGTGAAGTATTATTTTGTATTAAGGCCAAAATACTACTTTGTTTACACTTTGCCACCTTTTCTACACATTACTGCATATTCAGCGCTACTTTTTTCAGTTGTAAAACATCTAACATGCACTTAATCAATTACATGAACATTATTTGACACATGTTTGACATTTCTTAAAAAATACAAAAATGGATTTTTGAGGCATAATGTGCCTTTAAGGAACGGAAAGAGACGAAAATTGCCGAATAAACATAAGGTCAGAGGAGTGGCTAGCGGCTTAAACAGTCACGCCCTTTGAAAATAGCCTTTGAGTGCGTTAAAGCGACACGCCTCGTCTAAATCAATGACTTTATTATGTACGATGCAAACCCGTCATATATGGATTATGTGCAAAATTCCCAAACTATTATCAAGCTTTTCTTATGATTCAATTTTTTAAAATCTATATTTATATCGAGGGACACTTAGCTTTTAAGGTTATTTCATATACTTAAATATAAATATATTATGAAAAAATAATCTTAATTTAATCTTTAGTAATTTTGTAAAGTCAAATCACGATCATGTTATACTAATTTAAGGAATGGCGTATTCTGAAATCTTAAACTCCGGGTTAATGATTCCTGGTTTCCTAGTATAATGACTCCTAGTTTCATATATGCTTTTCATAACAAGATATACTAAGACGAACACAAACTTTAATATGTGTTTTTGTTTTAGTTTCTGATCAGTAGGAACGGTTGTATGATTTGTTTCAAAATGTTTATAATTTCCCTTTTCAAATAAATGATCGACCATGTTATCTTATTAATACATGTATAAGACCGATAATGCATTGTATATTTTTTTGAGTCAAAATCAAAGGCCTTTAAGGATATTAAGCACATACATGTTCATTTTTTTTTCATAACCTTGGTATCACTTACAGCGGAACACAGAGTGATCTTAAAGGGCTAAGGCTAGGCACAACTGGTATTTATAACACTTCCAGTTACTCATTGCATCTAAAACTTCAGATCTTAAACAAAACGAGCTTTTATAACATAAGATCGCTTTCATCCCTATTTTGGATAAGGACATAATTTTATATTTAAAGTAAACAAACCTACGAGACAAATGAGTTTTTGATTACTATGTCTCAAAATTCCCCTGTTAAGATAAGTAAGATATATGGCAATCTACAGGGTAGTTTATGTTTATATAACTAGGTCTTTGAAAACGATTTTATTATTACACATAGATAAGGAACTGATCCATGTCATATTAACAGGAAAAACGCATTGGCCCGATACCGAATTGTAAAAGTTTTAATCGTAAGAACCGATACATTTTATATCGGTTGGAAATAAACAGGAGCTTGATAGAAATAGCTAAGAAATTGCCCGGACTATGATTGGTTAATTTACAAATTTGACTAAAGACAGACGATGATATCCGGTCAATAGCAATTGATACACGTGCAGGCACTTTCCCCAGAAATACAAGATATATATCAGATGAAAAGTTACCCAAAGCAAGTCAAGCATAAGGAGATTATAAATATCTTACCATAAACACTATATTTAACACGACCAGCAGCAGACGCGCTAATCCGTCGAAACATCCCATCTTTAGTATCCCCGGCCTATATCCCTATTCTTTTAAACTGTCACCTTGTCAACCGTGTAATCTGTATAACTTCCGGTGCTATGGAATCCTAAGGGCTCACATTTTGTACAAATATCGCACTTTATCTACAGTAAACAAAATGAGTTGACTTGAAAATCTTTGACCTACTTTTTGTAATTCAATAGTGCAGGTGATAAATTTCACAGTATTTTCGATTGTTCACCTGTATTTAAAACGAAACTGTTGTTAAATATCTTAAATTCTTATCGTTTAAATTCTGTATGTATTTTCTTATACACATTAACACATCGTGATATCGTGTTAACACAATATATATGACCCTTATAGGTTTTTTTTTAAAAATAGAGTCTGAGTCATGCTTGTTTAAAATATCAAATCATAAAACATACTGCGTATAAGAACGTGTCATTAACCTTACGTTAAATAATTTACTTTAATTTCAAATTGAAACATAAACACATTCATCATATTGTGTAAAACATTCTTAGCTAATCCGCTTTTAACGAAAACAACTTCGGTACATGATTTAACAAATATATTCTTACCGAATGTAGAACTAAACCTAATTAACGTTACATTCCTTATCTATTATCTTTCACCTTTATTCATGTATGAAACATCATGTATTAAACACCATCACGTCCATTTAAAGGCAGTATGCACCGTATAACAAACATATATATTACCTTAATTGAACTTCTTGTTTACTACTTTATGCTAATTTAGAAACCGTGTCACATGATTTAATACACCACGTAAACGCTCTGTACCTGGCTATTATTTAAATACGCTATATTTAATGAGAGTATCTGGGTGCCTTGAGCACATTAATATATTTCGCATGATGATACCTAAATCTACATCTAATATATCAACAATTAAGAATGATTTTAAAGGTGTTTATATAGCATATGTACGTTTATATAGCATGCGTATATATGTACATGCTTCATCAAAAGCAATATCAAACAAAACGTAGTACGAAAGACGAGTGGGGACATTTCAACTTCCCGATTTTATCTTCGTGAATTCATAATTTTAACTTGAATTCACGTATTCAGCATACGATATTCACGAATTCACGACTTCAACTTCACGAATTCACGATTTCAACTTCACGAATTTACGATTTCAACCTTACGAATTCACTATTTTAACTTCACGAATTCAACTTTGCGATTTCACCTTCTAAACTTTGCGATTTTAACTTCACGAATGCACGATTTCAACTTCATGAATTCAACTTCATGAATTCATGTTGAACTTCACGATTTCAACTTTTTGAATTCATGTTTTGAACTTCACGATTTCAACTTCACGAATTCAATACATTTGTATTTCATCTTCACGAAGTTGAAATCGTGAAGTCATAAAGTTGAAATTGTGAATTCTTGAAGATTAACTCGAGAATCCAAGAAATTAAATGTCACCACCGGTCTTTCGTACAAAACAGCTGCTGTTACTGCTTCTATGGCTTTATAAATCGATACACTGTGTTTACAAGTTGACAAGTGACAGTGTATTTGTTCTAAATATAGATTATTTATTAGTTGATCTGTTTTACAATTATCTTCATTTTGTGGGATTCCACCTAAATGTGTCTGCTGACATTGGTAAAGTCTGGTTCTCATTAATCAATATTGAAAAAGGTGAAAATTCCAGACTCGGTGTAATTGAGTCTGTTAAGGAAAGATACTGTAACGATAAATCACTCACGCCCAATAGCACCGCAATTTCACTTGAAATATTCTTGTTTATTTTCATTTGTCTAAATTTCAGAATGTTTAAGGCTGCCCGTCTCCAGATAAGCCACAATATTTCAAGAATGTTAAACGTGAGAAAATGTATCAAGATTTTAAGAAAAGTAAAAATAGTTAAGACGGGGGTAATGATTTACATGTCATTATAGCGTTTAATGATTGTATAGTATTTATGCCAGATATTGATATTGCGTGACTAACGCATTAAGGACTTTCTTTGCACATTTTGACCTCTTTTTGGTAATTAACGTGGATTGAAGGGGTCATTTGCATTGTTTAAATCACTTTCTTTGTTCACTTAACAATAGTTTACCTTTAAAAAAATTTCATGAAAATAAGGAAGCATCTGGAGGCATGCTGCTTTAAACAGCATGTGTAATTCTGTTAAGAAAGAACGACAAAAACTTGACGCGTTTCATTATAGGGTTGTTACGTTTTGCTGGTCCCTCTATAACTAAATAATGTTGAAGATTCAGTACTCCTTTAGACGGTGCTGGGGGCGTTAGAGTTGTGTTTTCCATTATATCTTATATGCAAATTCAATGAAAGCTCACATATCTATTGTTATTTCATTACTCTTCGAGAATCTCTCCTGTTTTTTAGAAAAAGAGACGAGTTGATATATTTCTGTGACGTCATGAAATACAGTTTTTTTTGTCTGTTATCATGAGTACATGCAGAATCATTTCAAATTATTACGTCATGATTAAATTTTATCTATATTTTATATATCATTTTTATATTGAGGGTTTTATATAACAAAGCAATATTTATTACTAAAAAATCAACATTTATTAAAGCACATTTGTCTGACAATTCTGAATATATATCTCAGTTACACAGTCTTCAATTTGTGCACTTTGGTCCAATTAAATATTCACCGGAAGTAAAGTTTTTACAAACGTTCATAATTGTATCTAATTATAGATTCGCCGGAAGTAATGTTCCTTCAATAATGCTTAATACAGTTTGTTACGAAAGTTTTCTCTGGTACGATATTTTTTTTCCAAGAAGTGTCCGTATGTGATAGAAAGATACTGTATCCAATGGTGATAGAACAAAAAATGACGTCATCACGAGATGTCACGAGTTGTGCACGTTTTGATGATTTGTTCTTATAAATTACAAAACTGACAAAATCATACATTCTCATGATTCTTAACAAAGCAAATTTTAAAAAAATAAAACCGTATTAAAAATAAAAAACGAAAATATGTAATATATATAGCACGAGGTTGTTACTGTAGCAGATGTAAGTGTAAAACAGATCGATTTGACGGGCACACTTTTTAAACAGTTCAGTGTTTAATGTTCATTTACAATGAGAACAATCAAAGCAGAAAAAAACAACATCATAACAAAAATATCTGAATGTCGACAAAAAATATTATTCTATATATTATGCAAAACCATCCGATCTTTTCTTGACAGAGGACTATGTGTATGAAATTTAACCCTTAACTTGCTGAATTGTGCAATAGACTTTCTATGCTTTAAATTTGGAAAATTCCGTCCGAAGTTTAAAATATTGAAATATAAAACATACAAAAATATAAAGTCGCAATAGTATACAGACTGGCAAGCAGCACTGACAAGCAGGCTGGTTAGAAGGGCCAATAACTGTCGGTTCCTGCGAGTTAAGGAAAAATTTGCTCAACATTGAACTGAATACATTTTTAAGACTTGACACCCAACATGCACCCAGCAATTTTAGTGAAGGTATAATAGTTGAAAAACAAAAATAAATGCGCTTATATAGCAAAACGATGTGGCCATGATATAAAATATTCCAGAAATGTCAAATGATGGTCAAATGATCGTCTAAAATATACATTTTGATAGCATTTGCCATTTAAGAAAAATGAAATATCTGGTAAAAATATAAAATAGCTAAAACATATCACAGTAAAATGGACGGAACTCTTTCTGTTGTGTATAACTGAAAATAGAAAAAGAAATAAATTAACGGTCTTAAAATCATATGAACATAACATTTGAAATTGGAACATATTTGGAAAAATATAATTTCAAACTCAAAATATCATTGTATATTTACATTGTAAACTATAACGATCAATTTTTTTACTTTCTTAAGTTATAATGCTAACTTTTAGTGAACTTGATTTTATTTACATGTAGATGCTATATATTTCGGTTCTCAAGAAATGATTCAGTCAAATGGGTTATATATCAACTTCTTAAAAATGTATAATGAACTTGTATATAGCGGACAACTTACTCACAATTTTTCTCTGATTTTCTATCAACCAATCACATGTTGTTATACTGGTCCCACCTTGTCATTCTCCGCCTTTGCCACCATTATGGCAAAAAAGATGAAGAGTATCTTTTTTGGATAAAAGATTGTAAAAATTGTTTCAAAACAAGTAATAGTGATAATTTATTTGAATTAATATATATTGTCAGTTCTTTTAACAACATTATTTTTACTTTCAGATTTGTTAAAATGGTTAAAAACTTATATAATGTAGAACACATATATGAGTCAAAATATGTTGAAAGTACTGAACAACTCGGTTGTAACCACGTATTTTTTGTGAAATTGCTTTAAAACAAATAATGTTGAAATCATATTTGAATCATAACTCTTTTTAAGTCTAGGTATCAAAGTTCAAGCAACTCTTTTGTTTAAAATTTGCAGAATAAACATTTTATTCAGACAGTTTGTAGCACAATGTGCATTACAATGGTACAAAGGCACTTTTTGAGTTGACCAAATAAATTTATCAGAGGATTGATAATCTTACTTATGCCACAATTACATCAAATGCCATGCAATGTCCATTTGGAAATGTGACCATACAATGAATAAAAATAAAAACCTTAAAGGTCGCCAAACACGGCCAATATTAAGATTGTTTTTTTTGGCTCGATTTAGCTGTCCTAGGAGGAAATGAAAATGTCAGCTTCCCCCCCCTCCCCAGCACCGGCATTGACTTAATCAGCCCTTACAGTATTAAAGTTCGAGTAGTTATTAGAAATAAATTCATTTAGATGTTTAAACGACGGTATTTAACAAACATTCAATGTTAAACTTCATATAAAGTAAATTAATTAATGTTATACACGTCAGGTCATTTTTTATGTCAATCAAATGAAGCATTTTGGAAGTAATTGATTTTTGGCGTGCTAAAGTTGACTTAGTCAAATGAATAGTACACAGCTTGTTAACATTTGGCGTAACAATAAAGTTCTTTTTTTATTAACGACTTTGTTGTGAAGTGACAAATGTGTAAGGAAAGTGACAAATAAAAGGAAATTTGAAAGAATAAATGAGTTAGTTGCTTTAACTGTGACGTCAAAAACTAGTTTATACAGTACATGTGGTAGATATCCCATAGATAATACTTTAAGGGTATAATACATGTATATACCATTATCGATTATACCTTTTCGTTCTTATAAATTTTACACTTTTAGGTTATTATTATTATACACACAGTATGATTGCACATTGTTTTGATTGCAACAAAATTCAAAACGCATTTTTAAACCAAAGTAAAGATACATGTGTAAAAATATTGATAACATTTAACCCATAACCTGCTGGAACCAAAAGCGAATTACATTTGCAACAAGTATAGAACCAGGTCAGCCTGCATATCCGGGCACGCTAACCAAGAGCCATACTGACTGTAGCTCATTTTTTTCTTCATATTTTGATAACGGACTCCCTTAAAGTTTGAATGGACTGTTCAAAATTCAAAGCTAGGCAAATCGATTATTGAAAGTCAGCAGGTTAAAGGTTAATTACATGGTTTATGTGAAGAGGAAGAGTTTGTATACCAACCTGTATGATACCACAAATCACCAGCACGGGTACGGCAATGGCTGTGTTGCCAAACGACTGGTCCCAAATTGTCGAGTAACAGCCCTGTCATAAAAATGAGCATGCATTTAATGAATAGCCCTGTCATAATATTTAAAAAAAATATGAACTTAATGATAAAAGTAGTATTATACGAGCGTATGCAATTAGTACAAAATTAACACTCTTGTTTTTGAAGGGCTTGAACTTTACTGCAATACACTAAATTATGAATTATTTCTTTTCAACATTTTTACACCAATAGCAAACATTGTTTACATGCCTTAGCAAACACTGCCACGCCATATAAAATTAAAAATATTCCTTCCTTAAATTTTGAATACAATTTACAATAATTTCTTTTCATATGTTAGACCGATGCTGTACACTTCTTTGAATTCTAATTTATCGGACAGTTGATCAGCTTTCATCCTATTTGTAAAATATTTTCGTCTTGAGCCAATGTAAAAGAATTTTAAAAATAAGCAATTGTGATAACATAGTAAGTTATTGGTACCGAATTGTGGCTTACTAATATAAACACGCATTGATTCTTCAAAACAATCGTGAAAACAAAACAAAAGTGAATAGGTCTATAATGGTCGCATTTTTCATTACTATTATTTCATATATTGATAAAAACAATAGAAATTATAATTTTGCATGTTCATATAAATGCGCCTTGAAAAAAAATGGTGATAAAGTAAAAGTGATTTAGAATTACCATTTATTTGATGAATAATAATATTTTGGTCCAGATAGAATATTTTATTATCTTCTATATAAATATAATTATGTTACATTGGATCAGATATCTCATACTTACCAACAACTTCCATGTTTGATTATTTCTTGGTTTGTTAATATGTATAATACTAAATACTTTCAATGTCTTTTTTTCATTGTGTTACATATCTTTCCTTATAGACCTATTCACTTTAACTTGTATCATCTTTAACTTTTATTAATGATAAGCCTTGTCATCAGCATAGAGTCATGCCATTCTGCACCAGGCTCTTTGAGTTTGATTACAGAATCTTTATAAAGGGAAAAAATTGGTTGTCATCAGCCTCGATTACGAGTGATCTGCCTGTGATTTTGTTTTTTATTAAACAGAAAAAGGAACATAAATATTTAATGGAATTTCATAAAATTTGTATTACTACTGAGGATAAAATGAAAAACATAAATCATTCGTAAAAAAAATTTGTTTCTGCCTTTGAAATGACGTGAAGAAAATCAGCCAAATTTAATGGCAGATAACGAGGTCCTTGGCCCTCATTTATTTCCACTTAAATGTTTTTGTTATCATATTCTAAGATCATGTAAAACAAATTCTAATAAACATAGCACATTCTGCTTAATTTCATAAATGTAACTCTAGCATATAAGCATACGCCTTTAAGGTACGATGGAGATATAAAATAAAACAAGTATTCTACCGAATAGGTACAGATAGCATAATATAGATTTAATCACAGCAATAATATCAAAGTGATTATACATGTACAGTGTATTGTAAAAAGGCACTTACTGTTTCAAAATTACTAAGTGCACTTGTTGGTGTAACAGCGCAATCAAAATCGTTTGTATTCTTTCCTGTAGGTAAAGCCTTGCAACATGCCACTGGAGATTCCAATGTAACGCCGATAGCAGCACTAGTACCAATACCAGGTTTTTCCCAGTTAGCTTTGGATGACTTAAAGTCTGTGTAACTGTCAACACCACAGCATTTGAACTAAAATCATACAGAAATCATCATTGATATTGGAATTCATTACAAAACAGCAAAAAGCAAAAACTATTCTAAAATCAAATACAAAAGCAAGAGAGTTAAAACATTATAATAATGAAATTAAATATAATCCAGTAAAGCTTTGACGAATTTTGGTCCAGTGGTTTTCGGTAGGCAAACTTCGAAGGAGATGCTATTAATTCAATGGCAGATTATAAACATATATACAATAACAAGATGATGTAATTCTAATGATATACCTGAATCATAATAATGTTCCATCCCAGCGAATACACCTCGGATGACGCCAGGCCTTTAAATTCACTCAGTTGGTCTTTTAGTTGGTCCTTTACCTAAATATAACAATAACAAAAAATTCATAAACATTGTTTGAATAAAAATGTATGTCTTGGCATTATCTGTTAGATTTAGATATACGCATTTGACATGTACTTGTGTAAACTTTATTTATACTATATAAGTTAACTAAATGTTTTCCTTATGGTTAAAGGTCCATTATACCCTCGAAATGCATTTATTTTTATTTCTCAGAAACTTTTTATTTTTCGTAACCTGTAATAGTTTCCAAAAAGATACCCATTGACCAGTTACCTGAACTATCTTTTCCTCTGCTGCTTTTTGGAATTAAAGTTACACTTAAATATATGTTACACTTTTTCATTAGCCATCAACGACAGACTCGATCAAACCGAGTCCCCACTTTTCATGTAATTTTGTTGTAAATATTAATGCGTCTGAGGGATCACGTTTTGTCCAAATTGTTGTTTTGTATGGAAGTCAAAATACTACTTTACATTTTGCTACTTTGATGACCAATAATTTCTCATTCAGCGCTAATTTCTTCAAGTCTTAAACATTTAACGCCTTTAAAGCATTATCTTAACGTTATAAAACTAATATGTGCACTTTCTTGAGATTAAAAATATATTTATTTGTGGGGCAGTCTATGTGAGGCTACAATATATACATGTATAGGTGATGAGGAGCGTTGGGGGCAAAGGACATATTCGAAAGGTTTATTAATAACACAGACACAGTGTACGTTTTGAAGGTACATTTGTACTACTGAAAACTTTTGATATTTTCTGTCATTGTAATTCTTACTTGTCTGTGTGTAGTATTTTTGGGTTTTTACCCGAAACTAAGCATTTTGGTAGCTTTGTATGTTTTTATGACTCTCCGAATGGAGGTGAAAATGTTAAAAACCAAGCAATGACATTTGGCGCCAAACAAGTGAGAAACTTAAATTTTGTGAAAACTCTAAATGTATGACTGACAGTTCATTGGACATTTTTGAAAAAGTCATCAACTGCATTGTGTGTTAGTGATACTTTTCAAAGAAATCGGACGAATTTTCGAGTATGAAGGTGGCCCATATTAGTATATTTCATGTGTGATTTTTGTTGGGTGGGGGTAAATATAAAAAGCTGTCAGTCATTATCTTAATGACCAATGCATGCAAACTATTATTTTCTTCAATGTATGTCATATATCCTTGAACAATGCTGTGCAACTGGTTATCTGCCTGTGTAACAGATTTTGAAATATTTGGAATTGTGTTTTTTGCCACGCTGAACTACAAAATTGCTTATTTTTAGGTTCCTTGCCCCATTAACAGATTAAAGTTATCCATTTTAGATTTCACGATGGTTAATATATTTGCATACGATAGATAGATTTAGACACATAATTCTTTTTACTTTACTTCATATTTGTAGCGTCAATTTATAGAAAAAAATTATAACGAATTATATTCAGATTATGTTTACCATGTCTGGTTTTCCGTAGAGTAATCCGATTCCAACAGCCTCAACAACCACAAACACGATTATCACAATGGCATACTGTAAATATATAAATACAACATAAGCATACAAAATAATCTTAAGATATTAACGTATTATTGCTTTCCTATGTTATTGCAGTTTCAATCTGCAACTCCAAAAAAACGCTATTACACGTAAGAAACGAGTTGATCTGAACTTTAAGTCAGATTGTTGCAATTAAGGCCTATCTTACAGACAACAATGAGCCAATGGCAGCTTTTTTGTGCTTAAAGTAGAGGTTCAATTTTAATTAAATATTTTGTTGACATCTTGCATAATTGAATATACATATATAAACTTTATAATTCTGTTATAAAGCGAAAACAATATTCGACATTTTGTAAGTTCCACGTAATTCCTATAATGAAAAGACCAGAAACTAGTGAGAGGTATATGAAACGTATAAACTCACCAGCCATAGCATAAAGCGAACTTTACAACAGGCACCACAACATCCAAGGAACGCAATCCCGAATAAGATCAAGCCACCAATGATCAGACCAATTGCCAAGCTCATCACAACCTTTAAAGACAAAGTTGCAGAATTAAACATTGTGAACTTATCTCATTTACAATCGGTAGAATTGAATATACACGTGTAATAATCAAATTATAACTAAAATTCGTAATTTACGTTCTTTAGAACTACAGATCAATAACAAGAAATAAATTATAGATTTAAACAATTCTAACCTATACCCAAGTTGCGTTTGACATGCACAATAGGATAAAATTTGGCGAACAAGCGTCGTTAATAATTGCAAGCTCTTTTTTTCAATGTGTGATTCAGGACTGGCCTGAGTATGATATATTTCATAATCAAAGCTAACCCGTTAATGGCATCACACTTGTAACTTAGTTATAAGCTTTACAAAGCCTGTTGTAATATAAACATTATTATAACTAATCAAAATCGGAATATCGAAGGGTTGTTTCTGCATAAGTTAATTCAATGTGCAACTCAGAGACATCATTAAATGACAAATAGTTATGTTAAAATGGATTAATTTCATTATAAACTGTTTCTATATTACGTCTTAAGCATAATTTTTGTTCATCGACTTTCAGAAGGAGTATCATTACCTCTCCGATGTCAATGTCTTTTACGTTAAAATCTGCAAGACTGGTGGCCTTCAAAGCATCTTGTAACTGGTTCATACCAGTCTCTAGGAATGGTTCGTATAATGATTTACCATACCGGAGCAAAAATCCGACTGCTGTTATCCCTAGACCCATCAACTGTAATAACAAACAAGACGTATTTCATGCCGGTATCAAAGCACTGAAAGTTCCTGAATCATGGTGAAATGACAAGGTGATGGGATGGTGAGATGAAGGTTGGTCGGAAAGGTTTAAGTGAAGGTACAAATTGTTTTCAATATCGAGAAGGAAAGGGTGTAAAACAGCTAAATACTTTTTCTTGGTTAAAGCACGTGTATGACAAAAGGGGAAATCCAATAGCAGTAAAACGGAAAAAGCCTCGTTTTGGATTGTTATAACGCTGGTAAAATGTCTTGACAGGAAATCGCATTTGCTTGGTATATACATCGTAAATAAAAAGCGTTTTGCTATTTCAAAATTGCAACAGTTATATCACTTAAAATAAACTGAAATTGTCTTCGAACTGTGAATCAAATCAACATTTCACATAAATTGCTTGATTAAAACGTGAACTAGATAGGTGGAAAATTGCCTCGTTTTGACATCTTATTCCGTTTTAAAATACAATTTCTTAAACCACATGCGCTTAGTTTTTTAGGTGTTCATATTGAAATAAGAATGTAGTTGTTTTTAACGTTCAATGAGACAATATCTTTAGACGATACATTAAACGAATTACATGTATAAACTTTTATAATTATCAATACCAAGAACAAATTGAATTTCAAAACCAAAGTACTGAACAATATTAATAGCAGAGGACACAATAGTTCAGGTGTCTTTAAAATGGCTTTAGGTGATTAATGAATAATTATTTTAATGTTTTGGGTATAATGCCATGTGTTTAAATTGAATATACTTCACCACCAAAAATTTTACAAACAGGAAATACCTGGAAAAAATATAAACGGCACGATAACCAAACACTGCAGTTTTAAGTAGTTGTCATAAATTCGCTTTATTTATGATACATATAAACAACACACTTCTAATAGAGTGAACAGCTATAAGATCTGCTGTTTTGTGTGTGTGTGTGTGTGGTGTTTTTTTTCGATAAATAATGCTGACTTACCAGAAATAAAATGTTGACTAAGACCAGAAGCAGTCTTGCTATACCGTCCCAACAACTTCCCATCTTGTTTTATTCGTGTCTCCTCTTTTGTTTTTTTTATATCCTTTTAATAAAAAAATATAATATTACAGTTCGATATAGAAATAAATGTTCATGAAATGCTGGCCATAAGAACATAGAGTTTTTATTTTATGTAATACTTCGATAATAAAAAAGAAAACATGTGATATTGTGTTTGCTTCTTTTAACCAATTTTGAGCAATTTATCATTTGACACTACAAAGTCCAATACATCTAATATTTCATACTACGTTAACGTTTGCGGCCTGAGAACACTATTTTCATTTTCATTCTTTTATTAGTTTTTGTCCGTCCGACTCTTTAAAAACAAGTTTACAATAAAAAAGATTGTTGAATTTTTCGACGAGACATGCATTCCATGTTATTTTGAAACGTCTCAATAACAACAATAAAAAAGACGATCTACATAAAATTTTCTTTATCAGTAAACATTCTTTTTTTTATTTTTTATTTTAAATATGTAATCGCATCACAGGTTAAATCACATCCGGTTATTTTAGTGCATTTTACCTTTTTACCAAAGGCAAATTTTGAATACTGATTGTGCTTAAGTAAATGATATGATTAAACGTCATGTACATGTACTTATTGAATTCTCTTCAAAACCGGAAACGATGTCCTTGTAATGGCTGTCTCAATCAATTTTTATCTTAAAAGATAACACATTCATATCCATGACAACCTTCACGTTATTATTCGAAATAAGGTCGTATTTTTTGCCATTTTGTGTTTTATAGATAATAATAAAATGGCAATAATTTCTAATAGAAGAAATCCTATATAAAAAAGAACTGTTTATGAATTTATAGAAACTCAACCTAAAAAACACGGAGATTTTTTTCTATCGAATAAAATTACATCTTAATATCAAAAGAAAAAAGAAAGAAAAAGAAAAACAAGAAAAAAAAATATGTTTACATTGAATGGGATATCGTTATTACTTATTAGCACAATTTTTATAGAATTAAATTAGGTCCGCCAATCAAAAAGTTGTTTGCATGTAGAATGGTTTTAAATCATTTGAAAATTTAGTTTTATTATATACAAATTTACATGTTCACATTTTGTGTATAAAAAAAATAAAGCAATCCGCTCTTCTACATAGCACCTTTCCAAAAATAACCTTTCCAAATAAATAAAAAAAAATTATTTCTAGATTTATCACTATGCATCATTTATATTGATTTAAGATTATTTATATCATCCAAAGAAAAAAAATAATAACACAAAAGAATTATTTACGCAAATCTTTAAAAGGATGATTACTATTTCAAGTCGTAACTCCTTTTGCCTTTTCGAATATTCCTCCGCCCAGTTTATACGTATCGATTTTAGCGTCCTTATTCCTGGAATATGTACATGAATGTGTCCAACCTCGATCCGCTTAATATTCGCCTTTTCGGAAAACAAATATACAATGTACTCGTATGGTTAACATGGGACAGTGCGCATAATCGGTCTTGTTTTCTGCCCGGCTGATTATCAGTAACTTGTATTTAATGTTTCCAGATTTGATTATTTACTCACGTCAGAACCGTTGATATGTATAAGGGACACTGCAAACAGTGGTTTTATGGAGTTTTCAATCATTCAAAATGGTCGGTGATTAATTTATTCTTGATAAACGTTATAAAGATAACCAATTCTGTTATCAGTCTAAATGTCGGAAAGGGGCAATTATTTCTTTTTAATTTTTTATCGGCACTTAACAACTTTTCGAATGTTTAAAATGCACACAAAGGGCTTATTCAAAAGCTTATTTGGTTAGGTATTTTATTGTTTTGAATTAATTTCACCCGGATCCTTGTATTAACTATAATGATCATTTCGAAATACAGGAAAGCTGAAATAAAAAAAATAATGCACTCAGCTATTTTTTCCCTTATTAAAGGAACTCCACTGAGGTTTAAAAGCTTAAACAAATAAAATATGAATTTCTTACATAGACCAGCTCGGGCACTTAAAAAACGATATGCAAAAGTAAATTAAGAAGTATACTCAGAAATGAATTGATAATCGTATTGTTGCCCAATTCCATTCCAGTTCCATTCTCAGCCCAATGTGGATGAAAGGCGTTGCAACGTTTTTCAATTTCGGATCATTTTTAACAATTACAATGATTACTAGTATTTTGGAAAAACGGAGTTAACGAATGATCTGCACACAAGTTATTGGTCTAGACCTACATTAAATTGTACATTAATCTCAAAAAATATTTCTAGTCCCGTCATGTCAAAAAACCTCAGTGAAGTCGTCCCTTTAAACTGTTTCTTTATTCGAGAAAACATAACATTCTGACGTGCATACCTTTTATTAATATTGATATAGAATGATTAAACGTCGTGTTAAGTTTGATCTAGAAAAGTAAAAATAAATGTTTGTGCGGACTCTGACAAAAGGGACAAAAACTATTTCTTAATTTATCATTGATTTCTCTGATAAGAAACAAAAAATAAAATTAATTTGCATGGAGTTGTAAACGCAGGTGAGATTTTGAATAAATGCGATGGTAGAGAATAACGTGATTCAACATATAATTAAACCATGTCGTGATTGTTCATTTTTATAGTGTTTTTTATTTATTTATTTTGATATGCTGATGACAGTCTTGTATAAAGTTGTTAAAATAAAACAAGATTTTACATGAAAGTAGTCAATGGCAAACATAAGTGTGGGGAGGTGTGACCCTGCATTTAAGGTGTGGCTTTGTGGCCTCTCCACCTAAGGGTGATAGGTAAAACCACAACTGGGTTCAAGACCATATTATCAATTGTAGAACCATTTCAGTGAACTAGAAACCAGGTTCGAGAGTTGTTCAAATACGTTGTAATCTTTCATCACGATCAAAATAAAATTAATACGTTTATAAAATAAATATAAATGTTCCTTTATGAAATAAATATAAATGTCCCTTGTCTGTCAAAGTTTCACGCTAGCTTCTCTTTATCAACATACTGTACTTATGTGGAGACGCAATATCAAGGCATTAATTAAAATAACTTAGAATCAGAACTTGATGTATCTAATACATGAATACAAGAATGGATCAACATTCTAAATTTTAAAGTTCTAAAGTTGATATTTTGTGACAAATGTAGTCATAAGGTATATAAATTTTAGAAAGGAGAGATCTCCTGGGGGCAATGTAAATAAACGCAAATAGTTGAAAATCATAAAATCCCTTTTTCAGTCTGTTCAAAAGTATAATGTGTCTCACACACCCTAGCACCGGCTTGAGCGATATCAGTCCTCAACAGGGTTTATTATAGATGTACATTTTTTGTATCTTTATCTTCAATTTGTATTTGACTGGAGTGAATTTTACAAGGATACGATCTCACTAGACACCTTAGCACCGTGTTTAATCCGTTCGAGATTTAAATACAACCTTTATATGTAATAGAACAAGGTTTCTTTTTAATAATCCTTTTATTATATATTTTGTTAACTATACATGTATACATGTATATTCAATCGTTACGTAATTGATATAAAACCATCTATGTCTTTCCGGACCACATTCAAGCGGGATACAGATTTTATCTTTTGGTCCATATTTATTCATGTCATACATGCATCACGTGTACAAAAATATGGCCAGGATATGAACACTTACTTGTCAATTCTTTTTGAAGTAAATAGAAACAATGGCATTCATATCATAATTCATCGGCACGGCATTAAAGGCACCTTGTGCATCAGAAACAAATAAATTTTTACTTCTTTCATAATGTTTAAATAATAGTTTTAGAGACTGTCAGATGCATGTTACCTGAAAAAAGTAGCAAAATATGTGAAATAATTGTCATAAAAGTAGAAAATTGTAAACAAAGTAGTATTTTCACTTCCATATAAAATTCTTATTCATTTTTATTGTACTTGTTGCCAAAAAGTAATAGATGAAAAGGATGGTTCAGGAAATTGGGCAATGAGTAACGTTTTGGAAACTATTAAAGTACACCAACATTTAAAGCTTTTGAGAAAGAAGAATAAAAGAATTGAGGCATAATGGGCCTTGAAGTAAATTAACCTGAAAAATGAAATAACTACAAGCACCTCCTAATACAATAAAATTTTGACCGATGTATGTATGACTTGTTGCTTGTTGAAATGAGTTCCTACACTATCCTAAACGTCGACACATATATATACAGGAGATGACAACTTGCAGAAGGCTGAAACATGGGGTCTCCGGGAGGTCTTGGATCACTTGTTCCTCACGATGTCTGTCGGTTTATATCTTGCCAGCGAATTTATATTTTAAAATATTTTTACATTTTAGGAAAGTCATTCAGCTAGCTTACGGAAGGTCAGTGGTTTTTGCGAACAAAGATGCAACTTGTGGCTAAAATAAGGAAGGAAGGAAAGTCGCTGTATAGCCATTACAATGCCCTGTGTCATTTAAAGCCCTACCAAGTATACGAATAATGATTAAACATATAGTAGACAATGTAACCAATATCAAAAACATCATTAAAAACAAACAGAGAGACATTGGAAAATTGGTCCAAATCATAATTGGATTCTATAGTCATGATATTTAGTAAGACACTAGGGGATCTATACTTCCGCGTTCTGTGCATTTTGAAATATATAACTATATATTTATTACTGTCATAAACTGATATTTGCATATAAAAGGCGTATAAAGATATCTTGAACAATAAATCTTGAATTAAGTTAACAGTGGGTAAGTATCCGGTAACGTCAACGGGTTAATATTTTGAATTGTCACATGTCTTAAAGATATAATATGATATATTACACAAATGTGATTAAGATGGTTGTTGAAGGTATACGAGGTATAAATAAACAAAACGACAACGGATCTCTTTGTTTGTAAAAGTTTGCGGTTATTTTTACAATGTGTAATATCATAAAATGTTTTTGTACTTATCTTAAATATTTTTTGTATGGCCTTTAAATTAGATTTTAAAAGAAAACGAACCAGTAAAATAAATAGAAAGGTGATGCGGGTGTCCGTGGAAAATCATACAAATTTTATATGGCTTTTATCATCTCAATACAAGGAAGCCATTGGTGAATGACCATTGTATAAGACGGCAGAAAAGACGCGATTTAAAAGCAGTAATGGAACATGACGTCACTTCGGCGTCACTATAACGTCATGAATCCTGGAATCTTTGACACGTTTATGGCACTTTGATTGGTTTCTTTATTTGATAACCTATCAATGACTGAGATCCAAAAGTTAACAAAAATGAGTATACTGACATTATTTACACGGCTTATCTTTTCTATCTCCCATTGTGTTTCAAAATAAACACTTTTTGTCTTGTTGAAATATCATTTATGACCACTTGTTCTGATAAGGAACAAACAAGATCTAAATCTCGACTGTACTTTAAAAAAAAATAAAAATCGATATGTTCTTTTCATCCGCGTCTTATGTCAACAACTACATTGATTAAATTACGACATTTTTGCTGCAGAAAGAGAAAAATATACAGAACAATCCGTTATGTTGGAAGATAACAAAATTTATGAATATACAAATTAACAGTACAGACAAATTAATGTAAATTATAATTAAAAGATAACACAAATGAAATCGAATATCTATACATAAAAGATAAGTAATAATTGTAATGTTATTTTGTGAAAAGTCATTGCTGCACCCGTGTCATTTCCGGTCACGTGATTTGTCGTGAGATTCAGGTCCTTCACCCGTTTCGTTCTTTCGTAAAGTAAAACCTGAAAGAAATTAAAAAACAATCACTGTCTGAAGGTAAAACACTTGAAATAAATATATAAAAATATATACAAAACTGTATTGTTAGTACATTACTGGGATAACATACGCTAAACTGTGTTCATTTCATCCTTAAATTATACATATATGGCGCTGCATGACTGCAAGGTACTAAATGTGCCAGAAATTATACTTTGAAATAGTTTTATAGCAATGTTGACACTACAGTTCTTATTTAGCCAGTCGGTCAGTAATACCTTTTTTTGTATTTGAGAGAAAGAAAAAATTTGTTATATATGGTGTCCTTTTTGGGTCAATAAAAATCTCGTCTGCTGTTTTTTCCGTTTTTTTTTCATTTTTAATCAATAACGTAGCGATATTTGAAACTATAGTGACATGTAACGTTTCAGTTGCCTCATATTTATTTTTTTTTCCTCGCCAGACTCAAACTTTTCTTTTGCGAGTCTGTTATATAAACATTCGCAAAGATAAATCTTAACTTCCGCATTTCTTTTTCGTATTTTTTTTTTCGAATATCGGCGATCATATAAAAATATCACATAAAATGATCTTTGTCTATTGGCATTGGAAGAGAGCGGCCATCAATTTAAATCCTTGCAAAATCAAAATGTGAGCATGCGACATTTTAAGTGACCGAAACAGAACACCATATTTATGGGACACCGTCAAACTTTACATAAAAAGAACAAACAATATCATAAAAGGTAAATCATTATCGAAATATAAGATTAAAAGGGCATATATAGCACCTGTATATCAAACGGTATAAGATAAATATGAATTTAAAGCTAAGTCACGAGTTGAAATTGCAAAATTTTGAAATGATATATTAGCATGTTGATACTTTAAAATGTAGAACTCTTTATCTGATATCAAAGGCATTCCATTAACCTTCAAAATGTATGTAATGGATTTAGCCTGATTTGGATCTGGAACATCATCCATTTGAAGTTCATGGAATACAAAACTACGGCTGCCAACATGGTAGAGAATGACCGGAACGCACGTATGTTCAGAGACCAGCCGGCCTCTACACTGATGGCAAAAGTCAGTCACTTTTCAGACTAAGCAGGTTAAAGCTTAAATTCCATATGGTATTTGTTTTCCGAAAGTAATAAATTGTCAGGGCTCATAAATAATTCCACAATAAGGAGGGCACCATTGGGATATCATACATATATTAAAAAACAAAAAGAAATACGACCACCTCATTACAACGTAAGGACATTAAACTTACTGTTTAATACAGTGGCTTTACTTTGGCTTTGCTTGTAGTCTTTGACAAATATATTGCGCTGATGAAAAATAAAACCTGGAAAAGAAATATATATGAATAATTTTACTAGTAGACATGTACTTGTTTCATTAAATGACAGATAATTTCACGAATTTAGTCAGTCTAAAAGTTCAACATTTCATCTTTAAACACTATGTATTAGAGCCGGGAATTATTTTCGAATACTCGAAATACCACCTAATATTAGAACCTTGAAAAATGAATTCGAATATTCACAGAAATAGACATTTCCCTCTCTCGATTTTTCCTAAGAATTAAAATTGATAAGTATAAATTTTAGCACGATAGGTAAACATTATCAAATAATTTTGTTTGATATTGAACCATAGATGATCGAAGTTTTATTTTCTTTGATGTATATTTAAACCAGCACACCTGCAGATTTATGCTTATTTTCATGAAATTTTTGAAAATGTTTTTAAAAGTAAGATATTATTAAGTAACGGAAAGGAAGCAATATTACACATTACAATCAGTATTCACAAGCTAAATAAATTACAAAAATGGCGTCAAATATCCAAAAATAGCCTTTAAATCGCTGTAAAATATGGTTTTTAATACTGAAAAATCAATCATTAACCGTACATAACATGTAAAAGTGTTACTTAATTCTTGGATCTTCTTACTTTTCCTAAAATCTTAGTACGGTTTTCTCAGGTTTGAATTTATTGAAATAGTTAAGTTTATCAGGAGACATTCAGCTTTAAAGCCCAAAGCGTTCCTTGCATAAGTGATGTAAATCTAACAAAGTACTAGACAAAATGTTAACAACACCTATTTTGCTTTCTCAAAATTACACTAGAAATGTACTGGTATTATAGATAATAAAGAGTTGCTTGAATCGAAATTTCAAGCACAATTCCAAAGTTACGAAATGTGATATAAAAAAGTTGAAATACCTGAATTAATCCACAAACAACAAGTATGGGCACGGTCATTGCCGAGTTTCCCAGGGTATATCCCCACACCGTGTCATAGCAACCCTGAAAATTATTTAATGGTCGATTCATATAATTAACCTTTTCAGAAACATTTGAGAAAATAAAAACAATAAAAATTGTATTAGGAAATGTAAATGTACGGTATTTTGTATGGAATATGAATCGTATTTATAATGCTGAAAGTTGACCTGGCTTTGTGCACCTAACCAGTTAGCAAACAAGGGTTTCTATATATCAAATTAAACGTTTGGAGTCGTACTTAATGAAACTGCACACTGTTCTAACAGGTGTCACAACATTCTTATCCAAGATGGCGTCCAAGATGGCCGCCAGATTTTAAGAGAATTAATATTACAAATGTAAATGCATTTTGATTAATGGTATATCTTGAATAAAACAGTAAACAATTTGACATGACAGGACTAAAAATATTTTTTTTCGAGATCTTTATGTCCTTGATGAAGGTCTATAGCATAAACTATGTGTCAATTTACAGTTTATTCGCCCACTTGTTTTGCTGTTGTTTTTTCCCCTTCAAAATATGAGTAATATTTATTGTGCAAAATGACATAAAAATGAAAACACATTTAAACGTTTTTCACTGAGTTAGGGCAAGAATCGTGCGTATTTTCAAATCAATTTTGAGTATATTTCTTCATTAGCTTATCCCCCATATAATACTATTCCGCTTTAAGTGCAACGGTTCATCTATATATTACGATTTTCAAATTGTATGTTTCATGATTTGGATGTCAACGGAGCTCCTTTAAGAATATGACTAACGGAGCACTTATCAGAACATCAAAAAAAATATTTCAAACCTTGTCACAATTGGTCCTGCTCTTCTCGATCGGAGAAACCGTACAGTTGTTTAAAGTAGTTGATGTGGGGAGTATTTTGCAGCAGGCAATGGGAGATTCTAGTGTGTATGTAGTCCCGCCCACAGTCACTGAGTTCCACCGTGAACTTGCCGAACTGTCAAAATCTTGATAACTATCAACGCCGCAACACTTAAACTGAAATATGAATATGAAAACAAATGAATAATGAAAAAAAATAATATCAGTAATAATTTTCTAATATGGTATTAAATGTCAAGGATATTTTCCCGCCTAGTAGGCTTTCAACTTACATAAGCGTTATTATGATGTTATGATAATTAAAAATGAGATACGTTTTAAATAGAAACAGATTCCAGTTAAAATTATATTACACTGATTTAAGTGCGGTCAGGAGGCGCTCAAACATATGAGATACGCAGATGCACCGACGCTATGTATAATGAAATAACAATTTTGCATAATATTATATTGAAATGTTATACGTGCAGCTTATAATTATATTAATTATCCCAGCTTAAACTGGTGTAAGCTTATGTAATCCAAATGTGTGGGTTATATAGCAAACGGCTGTGTTTACAAGGTGCAAAACACAACGAAATTAACAAATACAGTAAACAAAATCTGGTGTGTTATTGAAAAGATTGAGATATGAAAAAGTGTTTAAGATATATACAGTATTGCTGTATTTTACCTTACCTGAATCATAAAAATGTTCCATCCGACCGAAAAAACTTCTGAGGACCCTAGCCCGGCAAAATCTTTCAGCTCCGTTTTTAGCCTATCTTTAACCTTAAAAAAGACAAATTAGATTTAGTTTGCTGTTTACATTTAACGCTATGCTTTCTTTAGACTCCTTTTAGACATAGACATTATAACTAACACATGACCAAGAAGGTAAATATCAAAATATGGGGGATACTAGAGAGTTCAGCGTCCACAGGAGATCCGCTTTTACGTGCAATGTTGACTATAAACATATTGTAGTTGATTTTTAAGTATTAAAAGACCTTTATATAGCGCCATTCAAATATTTGGCGGTGTAAGGGGGTAGGGAAGTGGATGGGGACGGTCCAGTTGTGGCTCCAATCAACTTTGTCCGACATATGCATTAATGTGAGCGTTACCATCGACATGTTCGTAAGGTTCCCTCACAGATTTAAGATATAGATGAACTTAACGTCTTTTCAATACTCTGGTCCAACAGCAAAAGTGATTGAACGTCAACAGCCTTAGCCACTGATAAGTTATCAACTCCCCCATCCGGAACATAAAAGTAGTAAAAATAAAACCTTTTGAACAGACACACATATACAAAAAAACAACTGTATTGTTTATATCGGGTAAGAGTAGAACATAAAGGGCGAGGCAATACTCACTAAATCAGGTTTTCCATAAAGAACTGCTATAACAATAATTTCACAGACCACGAAGATAAATATCACAGCAGCGTACTGAAAACAAAAATTACACAAACATAGGTAAATCATATTAATGAAACCTTTCAAGAACAAATGTATGACACACAATTGCTGAAAGATCTTTACTCTGAAGGCACTCCTCTTATATGTTACTAAAATCGAATTAATGTATCTAGAGGGGCAAGAAAATATGAAAAAGTAAAAAATAAAAGAATACAATTGAATAAAAAAGAAAAAAAATATTCTTACAATCCACAATAAGGTTTTGCTTTTTGAAAATGCCCCATAACATCCACAAAATGCGATGCCGAAAAGAAATAGTCCGCCAAATATGAAGCCAATAGCGACGGTTGTCAATAGCTGAAATGGAAAATTATTATATTAAAGTCAAGATACATGAGCAATTTAATATGGACATAAAAATGTGCATATAAAAGAATAAAATAAATAAATACAAAATCCAAATATTATGTTCGCCATTAGTCTGCATTATTACTAATTGTCCAAGAAAGCCGGCTAGGTGAACGATCGCCGTGATATAACCAAAAATGTGTTAAAATCGACGTAAAAACCAACCAACCAACCAAACATAATTACATTATATAAATCAATATCAGGCTTTTCAAATTAGTTCACAGGAGAATGTGTGATGCCGGATCTGAGCTCAAGTCTAAATTTATGCACACGATTTTCTTTGACGATTTGATTTTTGGCGGCATGTTTCAAGCTTATTGTCTGATACAGTGATTTCAAAAATTTGTCTATGACTTATCATTTTTGTTTCTTTCGTAGATTAATATATATTGCATGTAAGCTACTCCCTCAAAATGAACCATTTCATTGTGACGAGTCCAAAAAGGTAAAACTTGAGCAAGTCTGTGAAGTTATTACCTCATTTATATTAATACTGTCAACATCAAAGTTGTCCAGGTTTGTGTCTTGGAGTGCCGCCTTCAGTTTGTTAATACCGACATCTAGATAGGACTTGTACAGTGACTCCCCGAACCTCAGTACAAAACCCACTACGCTCAGTGAAAATCCGAGTAGCTGAAATATTTATAGTATAGCCTATGTAAATAATTGATGTTGTCACTTAACATATTTATGTAACCTCTCATTTATCTTATTTATAAACATCTAGCATGCATTACAGAGTCTGCCCAAAATTCTTTAAAACGATTTCAATCTTCATTTCATTGTTTAAGTTGTGAAATCATGTATAAATCAAGTAATATTAAGTTTTAACATTTTCAACACAAAGGCATTATAATTTGATAGTAATAACTTCTTATTCGTATCCCAGATAGAAATAAGGAGTGTATTCACGAGTATATTTGTGAATCTGAATGTACCATATATATGAAATGATTTACGTATTGTCATCTATGTTAATCAACATCCGCTCTTTAACTTTGTTTTGCTATTTGAATGATAAAACATGATGATTGAAATTGTGATGATGGCGATGATAATGATGATGAGAAGATGACGATTTTGTTTTGTTGTTGTTATTGTTTATGATGATTTGACGATTTTGTTGTTATTGTTATTAATGATGATGATGGTGATGTTGTTGTTGTTGTTGATGATGATGATAAAGATGATAAGATGACGTTGATGTTGTTGTTGTTTTTGATGATGATGATGATGATGATTATGATGATTATGACGATGATGATTATGATGATGATGATGATGATGATGATGATGACGATGACGATAACGATGATGATGATGATGATGATGATGAAACCCTTATTGTAAATAAAAGTTTGAATTCAGCATGTTAAGGTTCACCAGTTAAAAATTGCTCTTACCAAAAACAGTACGTTCACCACAATCAAGACAGTACGAGCCACATTCTCAATAAGTCCCATCTTTATTGTCAAACTTATTCCAGTGTTCTCTCTTCGTATGCTGTATATCTGTGTGCTTCCTGTTTGTTCGTCGATTCCTATATTTTCGTCTGCTTCATATATGTTCGTCTGTTGTTGTTTTTTTTTGTTGTTGTTTTATTTCTATCTTTTAGCCTATTTTTTTGCTCCGTATTTCTTTGTCTGCTATCTACCTCGTCTGCAAATTGTGTGTTTCTTATTGTTTAACTGCTTTCTGCTATCTTTTTCTTCGTCTGCTTCTGAAATTTGCCGCTTTGATATATTCGTCCGTGTTCTATTTATTCTTCTGCTTCCGATGAATTTGTTGCTTCCTCCGTTCTAAAAAAAATGAAGATACAAAAAAGTTTTTCTAGATTTATATATCTAGTTAAAAACAGTGTCGTTTTTATTAAATCGAAAATATTATTTCATGCTTTCCAGTGTTTTATTGTAATATATCAGATGATTATATTCTGATAAACCACTAGTGAAATTTATAAAATATAATTTTCACTGTAGCCAGACTATATCTGAATGCGGATGAAAAGAAAATCATAACTAAATGGAATAACAGGCAGAAATTAATGCCGTCGTGCGTAAATTTTGCTTCTTTAGGAAAAGAAAGTCTATGTCATCATACATCATGTTAAAAACGTAACAAAATTAAAGAAATTTAACAAACCTATATTTCAAAATTGATTATGTGACGTCATGATGTGATGACGTCACAAAGGAGAATGCGTGACGTTACGCGGCAAAACCAGTAAAAATACTTACAATCACTTAAAAAGCATGAAATAAAAAGAAAATTTATTTGTTTTACATATAAGATTGAAAAATATTTCATTCGTGAACACCAGCTATTATATTTTCACTCGTGGCTACGCCACTCGTGAAAATATTGCATCTGGTGTTCACTCAGTGAAATTATATTTCAATCTTACATGCAAAACAAACAAATATCCTCTATATATTGTCGCTTCGAACTATAAAGTTCACCATTAAATAATGCGCTTCGAATTTCGAAGCGCATTCTTTTCTAGTGAACTTTATTTGTACGCTGTCATCAGAATTCATTTCAATGAATTTCTATGGTAGTTGGATATATTGTTTTGACACAATATACATGTATTGACCTTCATTTATGAAATATGTTTTCTTGCTTGTGGCAAACGAAAAGTTATCTTAAGGTTACAAGAATATTCCTTAAAATACTTTCGAAAATAGAAATAATACTATATAGATATACTATTGGTTCTTAACATAGATGTATCGAAATTCTAAGTTTATTAAAAATAAATACAGACCAACATTTATATCCACAGAATCATTTATTATATCTGAACATTGTAAAATACACATATTTACTGTTGGTAGTAAAAGCATATATTATTCTCAATTCCATTAGTTTTGGAAAACAAAATTCAAAAGATACCACATACCTTATAAAGAATATTTAAGCAAATCCACTTCTGAATAAATATCCGTTTTAAATGCACCAAAAATAGTATTTGTTTTCAAATTTACGCCGTTTCTATAGCATTTTTAATTCAACTACCCCGATTTGTTTTGTGCTCCTATAAATAGATTTATGAACACGCATATTTTTCTCAAAGTTATTTTAATCTATTTTTGACCAATGAAATTACGTGTTGTTTCTACAGTTTTGTTTGTGTTACAAATAATTTAAGATAACATGACACAACACGGTATATACATGTACAATAAATTCTTTTGTTAACTATAATCCGTCAAAGAATCGAGGTATGAACAACAATTTGAAAAGGCAGACATGAAAATAACTGTTGTGCACTGTTATTGACGTCATTCTAAAATGCTTTATAAATGCTTTACGTCAGGAGGAATAAAACGTAAAATTATGATTAAATATTGGTTAAAAGATTTGGGCTAAAAAAATAACTAATTAATAAAAAAGAAAATGTCTAATGTACTGAAATATTAAAACACCTTATTTCAGCAAACTATCTGGACATTTCAAATGTCTTGAGTGGTTTAGCCGTTCTCAAAATTTGAGAGTTTAGGTGTCTGGGGATGAAGTGTCTTATTCCTTCCGAAAAATTGCGATTTGCGAAACATCAGCAGACGTTCTTGCATACGTATAAGGACATACTATAAATTATGTCCTAGCTAAAGCAATGTTTGTTATTACAAATTCCATTGTATTTCAGTCAGTATAACTAGTCTAAAACGTAATAATGCAGAATCTGTATAATATCTGAAGAGAATAGCATTTTATAGTTCGTTTTTTTTGTTTTTGTTTCGGCATTAGGATCTATTTTACTGCACAACAATAAATCAGATTTTTAGAATTTTTGTTATTTTCTTTCAAAATCATCGCTGTCCAGGAACAAAAACAGACTGGCGCAAAAAATTATTTTAATATAAAACATTTAAAAGGTATGATGGCGATTACGTATGTATCGTCAAATAATGAATATATATCTATTCACATCAAACAGTGCGATGTTCTATCAACTAAATTCAATTAACGCGTACATGAATATATTTAGTATTGAGAATTAAAAACAATGTTTTATGTTTTTATATATGGTTTTATATTTATTTAGGATTCTTTTTCTTTTGTTTATATATTTGTATGCATACTGAAATAATCAAATATACTTGAAACTTGCATGGGCCGGTGCTGGGGTGTGAGAGATTAATCACACTATAACTTCTCATGACCAAACTCAATCACACCGAATCTGCAATTTTCATTCCTTTACTATTGATGTAAATTCTCACGAGGGATCTCCCGTTTCCAAGATTTTATCAATGGCAGAAACATTGTTTCACCTCTAAGACTATATTTGAACGTTATGTATAACAAACGTATATAACTAAATTTTAATGCGGCACAAACTATCACATTTTATGTCATACCTTTTATACAATTGTAAATATAAGTTCGTAAATTCTGTTCCAAGCTATATTTTGTGTCGTCGCATTTAAAATTTGTACAATTCTCATTTTTTTTTTATTTTTAAAGAGGATATCAAGAGGCTGTACATGTTTATGAATCAGCAACTTATTTCTGTCACGCTTGCAATTCTGAACGATTTGGTGATAACCTTATGTGTTGTTTTCAGGGTCTTTCAAATTTAAAAGACCCTGTTTTTTTTTAAAGACCTAGTTGACCTTATTAATGAGCCGTGCCACGACAAAACCAGCATAGTGGGTTTGCGACCAGCATGGATCCAGACCAGCCTGCGCATTCGCGCAGTCTGATCAGGATCCATGCTGTTCGCTATCAGTTTCTCTACTTGTAATAGAGTTGGTTAGCGAACAGCATGAATCCTGATCAGACTGCGCGGACGCGCAGGCTGGTCTGGATCCATGCTGGTCGCAAACCCATTATGTTGGTTTTGTCGTGGCACGACTCAATTATTCAAGTACGTTACTAAGGTTGACAACGCACGAATGTTATCATAAGAACTTGGTTTGAAGTGGGGAAGGAAAAAAATGAAATATGTAAAAAGAAAAAAAAAACGACAAAATTTAATCAAATAAGTTTTGACATTACAAATAACTCATTAGCACGTGTCATGGAAAACGCTGCAAGATGATTTTCTCATTTCAAGAAAATATGTAACATGGTTCAAGAGCCTAGGTTGTTGTAAATATTTTTTATGCTAACCCTATTGAATCGGTATTGTTTGTGTTAGTATTGGCAAAACTATTATTTGTGTTAGTTTCAGGTTTAGTATTGTTTGTGTTATCATTGGTATTGGTATTGTTTTCTTACATTCGTCTTCTTATACTTTACAAATACCAAAGTTTTAGTTTATGGAATTTGTACATTACGTATTTCTAATACGGTGTTATTAGGTCAATGTATAGTGTGGACTTACTGCTCCCTGATACTGTAGGCCGTAAATACATGACAGAAACAAGCGTCTGTGGAGTGCTAGAATATATGGTTACTAATTTTGAACGCTTTGGGCGTCGTGTTGGCGCAAGGGACAACACGACAAAGCGCCAAATGGCGCGTTGTCGGACTTTCGTGTTTTAGTCCTATCGCTAACGATGCAGCCAAACGGTGCATTGTCGTGCGACGTGTTTTTGCGATGTCACATTGTCGCTCGGTTCAAATCAAAGGATTGGCTTTTAAGCCAAGCGACAGGGCGACATTGCAACAACGCGGCGTACGACAACGCGCCGTTTGACGTGCCTCGCTAGAGACAGGACGACAAGACTACAGTGAGACAACGCGCCGTTTGGCGCTTTGTCGTGTTGTCGCTATCGACAAGACGAAAAGGCGATAACGATAAAGGTTATGATGTCGCTATCGACAATGCAACTTGCAGTGTACCAAATCAGCTATCTTAGGAATACGCCCAAGCAAAAGTTGAAATCTTGTCCAAGATCAGCAAAAAATCAGCGAAAAATCATTCTGATGTACAATTTATCTAGGCAACTACAGATTCCACTTGAAGTTTTAGGTTAATTTAACAACCTTCCTGTAATTTGTTTTAAATATCAAAACGTGAAAAAAATCTCAACGTCTCATCAAATGCTAGCAGGGGTTTCGAGAATATCATTATCTCTCTGTCAATATAAAGGAAAACATGGCGGACAAACATCCAAAAGAGTAACTGATAAGAAAATGAGCCAAAAGCAAACATAAACTTAGCAATTTAGTAACGATTGAATCTTTTTATGAAAGAAACCGTTTATTTGTTATGTAATCATACGGGATTGTGATTGTCAGTCCGTTTGTTTAATTTATTTAAACGTTTGTCTGCACCTCGACACTGATCCCCATTTGGCTATGTCAGAGTGACAATTACAGATAGTTATTCTTACGATTTTAAATTGGTTTGTCCGATTAGTTAACGAAAACAAGAAAATACTCTGGGATAAGATATGTAAAAACATAACCGAATATTGTATACAAATCTAAGCTACATTACTTTTCTTGTCATTCATACTTAAAGGTATATTCAGTATAAAAACAAATCAACCGATATTACACAAAAGAATGTACGCCTTCCACCAATTGAAGGTTCTTTTTCTCAATGAACTTCCACACTCGCACCAAGCTTAAGGGTACCATTTCTATGAACTTAGTTTAATTTTGTTGTTTCGTTATGATGTTTAGATGTTAATTGTATGCAAAACAAGATAGTGGATGGCCTTCATTAAAAAAAATGAAAATTTATTATCAACAACGTCAGCTAAAGAATTAATTGGCAATTATGTTCATTTTGCATTTTGCAATAGGAATAAAATTTAATTTGATCGTCATGCTTCCCGTGCTTACTTAAAAAAAGATTTTTGTATTTGACTTAAACCACTATTTACATTATTTCACATATATCAGTTATAATGGTGTGTAACATTTATGCAAACAAAATGTTGTTGTCAACGTATGGACGTTGTGATTTGGCCAAGGTCGACCTGACTGATGTTGGCAATTAGATTAAAGGAATATTAGAAACCTGTCGGTACATGGCTGATATACTCTTAAACTAACAAGAACAGAAAGAAGAAAAAGAAGAGAACAACAGCTCCACCAACAAAAAAAACAACAAAAAAAACAAACAAAAAAAACAAAACAACAACAATATAACAAGACCAAAAATGAATAAATGATATGGACTAATGGATGGATGGATGGATGTGTGGATGGATGGATGGATGGACGGACGGACGGACGGACGGACGGACTGACTGGATGGATGGATGGATAACTGGAGCAATAAAGACAAGTCCATGTTGTAAAATAATTTGTAATAGTGCTTGCAAGTGAATTCGTATGAATAGACATGCTAATTGCATAAAAAACACGAAGAAATTAATACATTTATTAAATTTTAAAACAATCAGTTTTAATCGTAACAAAATCAATGTCTGGTCAGCTACTTTTCAATATCTTTTCCGTTCATGATAAACGAAGTGTTCGCGCTTGCCGGACACTCATTTTCCACAATTTCGTCAATTTATTTACTTTTATAATCCGCCATTTCTCTGAAACTAACGCGGTCATACATTGCCGGTCGGATTATTTTTGTGTCTTTGGGAGGCTTGGGTTTAACCACTGGTCTGACCTTATTTCTGTATTCAGTTGTGTCCGAGCACAATATTGCAGCAGATAGAATGATCAGCAGCAACTAAAATAAATAAATAAATAAATTTTGGTAAAAACAAGCAATGCTTATAAAGGGAGACTACACAATGGTAAACCAATGCAGATGACTTACTAGTAGTAAGAGTTACATTTCTTGTTTATTATTGATACATGTACATCTCATATAACTGTTCAGAAAAGCTGACAGGTATGATCGAACAAAAAGACAAACCGTCATAATCATGTCGTGTTTTGACCTTATGTTGTCTGTCACCTTCCCCTAAATATTTGCATTTAACCACCACAGGGTTAGTAGGGGTAATGTTTTTTCCTATGTCCAGACCTGCCTGCCAATCGCATTGTTATATGTTTAACTCATTGTATGCCAAATGTTTTAATGATATTTTAGGACTTTAATGGTTTTGAAGAGTAAACTTATCATAAACTTTTACAATTTTTGAAAAATGCATCTCTCAACATATACTTAGTATTGTAATATGTAAATGTGTGTGCTGAGTAGCAATAACCACTTGTTTACAACTATCATTGACGCATGCAACAAGGCTGTCAACTCTTACCTAGCTTGTTTTAAAAAATAAAGGTTTCATTAAATTAACAAACCTGTAATCCGCAGATGGAACAAAATACCGCGATTCCAGTAGTTTTATTACCAAATAAGAAGTCCCAAACTTCATCAAAACAACCCTACAACAAACAAACAAACATCAATTACAAATCTGTCATAATTAACCCTTGCCCTGCTGGCCGCAACCAATTCCATATTTGTTGCAGTTCCAAGATATAAACAGGTGCCTGTTTGTGCTTGAAATAATGTATGAAGAGGCATCTGATGTCTTCCTGCACTGGTTAAGCTGCAAAGTCGCTATATGACTTCGGTATTGTCGGTGCGACTTCAAAAAAAAAAATGACAACAAACACAATGATACCATCATTTACACTGCGGTCAAACATATGTAGACTATAAATCAATTTCAGGGGAAAAGTTCATACGTCAAGGTGGACCCTTTGTTCATCCATATTTCTTTATTTTTGTACATTTAAAACATTTAAATTTAACACTAAATTAAATTAGATAATTGACTCAAAATGATATACTGATGTTGTCAGACGTTTATATTAGTATTGGTCATGATTCAACAATAGATCCTTTGTTTGAGTCAAGTTACTGATATTTCGAAACAAATTCCAAGATTAACTTCAGTAGTCTATAAAATAGTTTGCTATTTTTTGCGAGCTTTAAGCCATTTTCAGGACGAGTATAAGTTAGGTCTGAATGTAAATAAACTAAAATATACCCCACATCATCATAAAACTTTGATGTAATATACCAACTGTGTTTAAATAATTGTCGGTACTAGAAGCGGATGACCCAGCACACGTAAAGTCTTCACTTGTAGGTAGTGTCTTACAACACGCTAATGGTGTTTTCAGAGTAACTGAAGGCGTGTTAGACGTGTAGTCGGTGATCCAATTTGAAGCTCCCGTAAAATCTTCATAACTGTCAACACCGCAACATTTCATCTGAAATCAAACAATATGTAACTATATTATTCTCTACGCCATAACATAGAATGTTGGTCTATTTAGTATGATTTTTACGAAAGATTCTATGCACTTTTGTAAGAATTTAGCTGGTATAAGATGAGAAATTGTTGTAATTTGGAATTCTTTAATTGTCCGTTTTTAAGATAGGTAACCTATCTTAAAAACGGACAATTAAAGAATTTCAAATTAAATTTGTTGTCATTAAAAGTTGCCAAAATGTTTTAGAAATTCAGGAGGTATTGCTGGAAACAGGGAAATAAGATATTTCATATATAACGTGTTGCCTGCTGACTGATGATTTTTAAGTTTGATTACCTGTAGCATAACAATGTTCCATGCTTGTGTCACAAGATTAGTTCCATTGAGACCACCATAATCAGACTGTATACCTTTCTTTAAATCGTCTTTCATTGAGTCTTGTATCTGAATCCAAACACAAAAGATTATAAAAATACATGTAATATTAATAGAAATATACTAAATAAATCAAATGGACGAAGAATAAGCATAATGTCTTAATCTTGTTGAACTTCTTAAATAGAAATGTCCGGCCTCCACTTTTTGAACTGTTCATTATTAATTTTGGCCTTAGTTTAAACATATATTTTTGCGTTTTTCTCTTCTTTACGAAACAGATACAATTTTACATGTTTAAATCTTAAATTCTGCTTAAACCGGTGCTAGGGTGCATGGACGGTAACTTGCAATTTCCAGTACCGTACACAAACATGCAGGCTGAATCAAACCGAGTCTGCAACATTTTCAATTTTGCCGTTTTGGGCGTTATTTAGGGATTCTGTTTTATTCTTTTACATGCATACATAAGAAAAACAATTAAAGAATACGTTTACAGAATTTACATGGATGCTGTAGTTGTTTATAAAAAGTAAAAGGTTTGGACCGCAAGTTATTTTAATATTCCTATGGCCACTGAGAGGATCAACCTTTCAACGAAATATATCTTTTGAAGAAAAGACATTACTTATGTGCCATCCGTATTTTGGGAAATAAATAAATAATGTCCCTTCAATTAACGCAGTTAGGTTAGGTATGATTTCTATGATAATACATTCTCACAAAAACTTTAATTGATACATTTCAAATTCAACCTTGATTTAACAATTGTGTAAATGTGTTAATGTAATCTTTCTACTTAGCTGCATGGCGATTGTGTTACATGCTTACATTTTCATAAAGTTCATGCTAAGATGCTTACATCTAAAAAGCCCGAGAAAATGACAAAAATTTGAAAATGACTCACCGTTTTTGGCGAACCATAAATTAATCCTACCGTGACTGCTTGCCCGACCAACAAAAGAGAACACACAACGACATACTGTAATAAATTTATCTATATCACCATGTTTATTTTAAAAAAAGCTAAAATAACAGTTTTGTTCAGTCAATCAATACTCAATATCATCCGAATATGCCACATTGCTATGATAGAACACATAAATAAATAAAATAAATAAATGTGCAATTAGGTGCCATTTATTTAAATAGACATCAAAATGTACCTTTTTACGAAAATGAAAATTCTGAACAAGCTCAAAAGACACTTAACTGTTATGTTACATACATCGAAAACGAAACAAGAATCAAAGTGTTACAGAAGTTAAAATGTCAAAAAAGTACACCAACACTATTTTCTATCCATAAGAAAAACTTGTATGAATGTTTCCTGAAGATAATGTTTAAATCTGGAAATGCTACTTACAGATATGATCATGCATTTGATGACGTAACACGCTCCACAGCACCCCAGCACCGTAACAATGATAATTGCCAATCCACAGAATGTGAATATTAAAGCCGTTTCAAACAGCACTGAGGACCAGTTGACGTCAAGTTCAACAAGACCAAATCCAGAACTGTTGAGGGAACGTTCAATATGTGACGCCTTGCCATCGACAATACGGTCTCCTGCTGAATCACCGAATCTTAGGAACAGTCCACCAGCAAATACTGATAAGCCAACAATCTGTTGATGAAAACATGATCATTCTGACAGCAATATGCTTGAATAACTCAGGTGTTTGAACAGTTAAAATCAGCAGTATTTATTTCCAACATATGTTTTGCAATGTAAATTAGTTCTTGTACTTGTGTAAGTATATCTACTATAGATGGAATTAAAAGTCATTTATAAAAAAACAATTTAATAACTTAAGTTGACTTAACTTGCCTTGCATATGTTGTAGCACTTAATTCTCTATTCAAAAGCGGATGTTTTAATTAAGGCGGTTAAATATTGTATTAATCATGTAAGAATCTAGAAAACAAACTGACACGGTTTGTTTGGTATTTATATATTAATATACTATGCTCATCCTTGAGTAAAATATTTTAATCACAAATTTTTTTATTTAAATCTATAAATTCTTACTGAATATGTCTAATTTGATAAAAGAATGAATAAACTTTGTACGGGAAGCTACGTTCGCTATTACAGGTCAAGTAAATTTGATCTTTTCTTTAAAAAATGCCAGTTTTAAAAATATATTTTCATAATTATGGTGACCACACATAGTGTCACACATAGTGTGTAGAATTTAAAACATAACAAATCTACTTCATGTGACGTCAAAACATGTTTATTTTATATTCACAAAGAGGCTGTGTAGCAATTATCAATCTTTTCTAATATCAATATTTGAGCATAGTTTATTTTTAAAAAAAATACTGTTATTCATATTTCTCAAAATGATATATCAATACATTTATAATTAACAACATAAAATACGAAAGTATTGAAATGTCTTTTGACAAAGTTTATTTTCAAATCTCACTGCCTATTATTTTTTATAATATTATATTTTGTTCTAATTAAAAATCTGATTTTACAAATGCATGTACAAATGTATTACGTTTATATATACATAAGTTGTATAATTACATTGATGATTCAACATCGACTTTTTTCCGCTTATTATTATGTAAAACATCAAATAATTTTTGTTCCATATGATCGATATTTGTGAGTGTCAAAGCGGTTATAAAGAATTTTGACAGGTTATTTACGGCCTTGTATAATAAAGCACGTTTGTAACCTTACTTTTCATTGGATACTCGTGACGTCTATATAGTTTTATATCCACGGCTGCTGTCAATTTTATAAGACATCTCACTTTTTTCTCAAAAAGTAAAGTTTGCTGTATTATAAATTCGTTATAAATACTCCTTACAGTTTACCGTATATAAACAGTTGTTTGCAATATAACCCTCGCCTAGCGGTTCGGGTTATATTTCCAAACAGCCGTTTATATAGGGTCATATAACCTGTCAAAAAATATTTATAACTAATAATATACGCGGCTGCTGTCAATTTATGAAGAAATCTCACTTTTGTTCCTAAAAATGGAGGTTTGCTGTTATAAATATTTCTGACACGTTGTATGACCGTATATAAACGGTAGTTTGCAATATAACCGTTTATACAGGGCCATATAAACTGTCAAAATCTTTATAACTTATATTATAAACGGTTGATTGCATATATAACCCCAGCTAGGCGACGGTTATATTGCTCACAACCGTTTATATAGACATAAAGATTTTTGACAGGTTACATGGTCATATATAAACGGTTATATTACAAATAACCGTTTTTATACGACCATATAACCTGTCAGGAATATTTATAACGAATTTATAATACAGCAAACTTCTATTATTAGAGAGGGAATAAAAGAAATAATTTCATAAAATTGACAGCAGCCGTGTGTATAGCTTATCCAATGAAAGCGGCTCGGGTTATATATGCAAATACCCGTTTATATAGGGCTAAATGACTGTTCATAAATCTTTATAACTAATATTATAATAGTTTGTTGAAATAACTTACCATTAATAAACAGTTCCACACAATGACGACAATCCGTAAACAACTAGCTAGTCTACCCATTATCTTTGCGGGTCAACTTTCTTAATATAATACAAAAAAAATCCGATTTTTTTTCAATTTGTAACAATTCTACACTTTGAAATAAAGTTAAACAAATTATTTAATTTTGTGTGAAAGTTCAAACAGAAACAAAAAAAAACTTAGATTATACGACTTTGATCTCATTATCTGTCGATACACCCTATCAATTACAATGTGTTCATTGTTTTCAAGCATTGAGCGTTTAAAGTTTAAATACTGTTTTACATTGCGCATTGTTTTTTGAAAATAGGAAACAAAAAGTGTTTCTGTATCTATTTATAGAAGTATTACTGTATCAACAAGTAGATCATTTGTGCCGAAGTAATTAATATCAAATAAGTATGGAAGAAAAAACAACAACAATGAGAGGCTCATAAACAGTAACTTACGATAAAATTAATTAGACAATGCCAATTGGACGTACATACAATAAATTAGGTATTGCAAATGTGCTATTTAAACTTTGAAAACGTTACAAACCCACTTCTTTGATTTGTATAAAGTTAAAAGGCTTGATAAAAGCAGAACTTTCTTAGTGGTATAATGCGTACACTTATTGTTATACTTCAGTTAAGATAATTCATTTGTATATTAGCTGTAAAACTATATTGGAATGAGGCGCTATCCGAACCTTATATAGGATTTGCAGCTGTGTACGAGTCCAATAGAAACAATAACACAATGTATAATTATCTCTTTATTTTACACCAAAATTTTTTTATAAAGATATGAAGAAAAGATTTTTCCTTACCCTGTACGGAGCCACATTTTTAGTATTACTCAGGAAAACCGCTATATACATGTATGTGGAATAATCAGACGTCTCAGTGCATTATCTCAGGAATTACTTAAGGCATTATTTCAGGCGCGTTTGGGATTCCACTAGAGCTGTAAGGGCCAAGTGCTTCATATCAATGGCCATTTGGTTCATTATTACCCTTGTACACATCTTTTTTTCCCGTATAAATAGATACAACAAAAGCATATGGAATTCTAATAATAAACAGGCATATTACTAAAATGATATTAACATGCATTGTAGAAGATATGAAAGTGTAAGAAAAGATGGTAGGAAATTATTGAATTATTAACTGTTAGGGCATTCCTGGTTCCTTCTGAACAGTTTATTTGTTAAACAAAATTTTATTGTTTAAAATCATAGAAAACATTATCCAGTGTTATTTGAAACTACGTAAAATACAATTTATAAGCAACAACAACAATAACAACAACAACACCACAACAAAAAACAACAACAACACAACAACAACAAAACCGCCGCCAAGCAAAGATACATTCTGTTCTATTCTTTACATGATTAAATGTGTCCATCCGTTTCCCTTCTTATTTTTTGAAGTAAAATACATCAATAACATTTGCACAGCAATGTCCTGTATATATTAAAATATGTAATAAAAACCTATGTTTTTACAAAAACAGAAAATAAAACATTTTTGAGAAAATAACACATTGACATTTAAATCAAGTAACTATATTTAGAAAACAGCAGCAGCAACAACAAGAAAACAATCATGTCCGAAACATAGAGAAACTGGGCATCTCATTTGCTCATTTTAAGATATTTGATTGATGATCATTGTCTAAAAAGACAAACTCTCCACAGGAGTCCACGTTTTAAATGTTGCACTCTCATACTTTACATTTTAATACACCTTTAGAATTTTCTCCATGCCGTCTCGCGAAACATCAATTCAGGTCTCTTAATTTCTGACCTTTTATCTCCTGTATCAGTTACATCGCCCGGTGCTACTTTATTCTCTTTAGTTTCCTGGTCTGAACATAATATAACAATAGCGAAGACAATCAGTAGCAACTGCAAAATAATAGAGAAAGAAAATCGTGGGTAGAATCCGTAAAATATAAAGAATACATTCAACGTATTTCACCATAATTGTAATATGTTTTCATAAATGTTTCTATATTCACGTGACATGCTTCTATGAATATTAATTTCGATATTTTCAAAATATCTGTACCGATGCCATTGGGCTCAAATACTATTTTGGAGAAACGTTTGATTCTCTACAGACGTAAAAAATAAAAATATGATTTTTGTTTTCAGTCAGATATCCACTTACGACGGAACGTCGGTGATTCTGCTCAGGTGCCCGTTTGTGTCTGATATAATGCATGGAAGGATATCTGAGGTCTTCTTTCACCAGTAAAGCTGGCAAAGTCGCCATGCGACTGAATTGGTGCGACGTAAAAACCAATCAAACAAAACAAAACAAACAAACAAGTACCATAATGATTCATTGAAATAAAATTTAATTTTTTTATCTGACAAAAAAATCCCTTGTCAATCATTTTGATTATATACTACGACACTTTCTACTGTCGCCCGCCCACCTTTCTTCACTTCAATCCCTCGCCCCCCCCCCCCCCCGTAAAGGCCTATCCCCTTAACTGTCACATTTTAAGTTCCTTTGTGGTTTGGGATAATTGAGTACAGCCCTACGTTTTGGTCCCATGTCTGTCTCCACTCGCTGTCTCACTACGTGAGTGTGAGGGTCTGCGTTCTGTGAACGTACCTGTCTCTTTACTCTCATAATTTTACTTTGAAAAGTAAAGACTATACCTGTAGTGTACCAAGAGCTCCCAGAAGAATGGCTGTTAAATCTCCAAATATCATGCTCCAAATTTTGTCAAAACAACCCTGTAGCAATATATAATCATTATGTCTTCACATGGTATTTGATTGACGCAAGAATATAAGCACAACAAACGCCCTACCAAAGATGCATCGCTAGAATTTTTTTATAATGTTAACTTAAACCGAATGGTTAAAACTGAATTTTAGGCATCAAAGTTTAGATACCCTAATACATTGATACCGTATTTTCTTTTCGCTTTGTATTGTTATGTTTAAAGTAATGTATATTACACTTTTTAAACAACATATGCATACAAAATATCCAAATGTTCACACAACGAAAAGTAGCAACTTGATATTTTCGTTATTGTTGCTATGACAATCAATATATGTAGACCTGTCAAAGGGAAGAAAGAAAGTAATTTGCGAACTTATTTTACTTCAACGACGCACAAAACCATGCTTACTTTGTCTAAGTAGTTGTCCGAATCAGAGGCGTTGCTTCCGGCACACGTGAAGTCTTCACTGGATGGCAGTGTTTTACAACAAGCTAATGGTGTGGTCAGGTTTATTGAAGGAGTATTAGATGTGTAGTCGATGATCCAGTTGGATGCTCCCTTAAAATCCGCATAACTGTCAACACCGCAACATTTCATCTGAAAGTAAATGTCCGAAACAATATAAATCACATACTCGTGTCGCTTTTGCGTCTCCGGTATTGCTCGTACGTGCATTTATTTTGACGTAACGGTATGTGATTAAAAATTATTTTATGCTTTTCAGATTTATCCGTGAAAATTATATTTGATAATTTCGGAGAAAAGACACACAGGGTTGATATTTTCCATTCGTAATCTTAGTGATGATTGCATGAATGAAATTTGTAAAACTGTAATTTGCTTTTAGCAAAATAACAACGCATTCAGTATAATAACTTTAATACCAATGAAACCGACAAAATTAAAAAGAATTCTGATCTGAGATTAAATATTAATTGAATATTTCTGGAATAAACTTCTCGGTTTGTCAGATCCAACTCAAGCAGATGTCGTAGCTCGAATTTACGACATTAGGGTTGCAAATAAAAACGTATACACATGTGTTTTACCACCAATGTGATTTTAGCATAAGTTGTGGTCGTCAATATCGACTAAGATGACTTCAATTTCAATAAATTACTTTATACATTACAAACCCGTTTTTATCTGATACCCAGTCCACAACGTTAATAGTGCCATAATACCAGCTGTTTAACATGAATTTATTGCGTCATTTAACAATAGTGTTATGACATTTTAAAAGGTAAATATTTTGAGACGGTTGCGACATTAAGCGGCAGTTGCAACATTTAGCGGCAATAGTTCGACATTTAGCGACCAGCGCGACATTTAGGGTCGTAGCGATATATAACGGCGCCACAATAGGTAAATATGGCCGACTGGTATCTATATGTGTATGTTCGCATAATTTGATTAGAACCCCATTTAAGACTTCAAAATTTGTTTTCTCAGCTTTCGAATTCCACATATGAAAGCTGAGAAGTTGACGACAGCAACAAGTTAGATACAAGTCAAATTGCTTATTATAGAAGTCGGGAAACTGTTTTTACGTTTGTTAACTAGTTTCCTCATAATAATCACGGCGTTGTTTTGGAAACCTGGCGTTTGATAATACTAAAAAAAGTGAAATATGCATACCAACATTTACTGCTTGGGACTGCGTTTCGTGAATGTCGCTTACCTTTGTTCCTTTATATTGCTCAATGAATGTTTTCCGTTTATCTTACACTAAATAGTACATTTGCTAAATTTACTATATTTGGTATAATTATGTGTATTCAGCCTAATAATATCAATGTTACCAAAAAGGCATATCAACTACAAAGTACAATACCTTTTGCATGACAACATTCCAGCCTTGAGAAACCAGGTTTGTTCCATTCAGACCTGCATATTGCGACTGAATACCATCCTTTAGCTTTATCTTGAAAGGTTCTTGTATCTGTAAGGAATAGCAAAATAGCATTCGAAAACATTTACAAAAATTTGTCCAAGAATATTTCTGATCGCAGATAGAACTTGATATTAACATTAATATATATCTACCGGACCTTAAGAAAAAGGTGAAAGAAATACGTGGTCCTTGTTTCAGCACCTCTCATGTGAAACTACAGGAATTACCAATATATGAATGTTTCAGTTTTCGTGTGCTGTGTCTTTTAAGCTTCATTTTCTTCTTGTTTTTCTTCTCACTTATCTCTACCATCCACATACAAGGTACAACCGTCAATCATTTCTAATTTAGTCGGTTTCCATTTTACTTATATCCTATGTTGTGTGCATAAACAAGACTAGATTTGTTTATCTACTTAATTCAAATATTCAAAAGATAAAAGAGATAATTCTACATATCTAAGTGCAAAGAAATCCAATCTACTAAACACATTACAAATTTAAAGATCATATTAACATACATAATCAAGACAAGAGTTTCGTCTATTTATTTATTTCAAATATTCAAGATATAAAAGAAATAATTCTACGGACGTATCTCGCTACGTGCAAAGGAATCCCAACTAATAATCAAATTAAACACGATTACGAAGAAATTTAACTAAGACTTACTGTATCTGGGGAGCCGTAGATCATACCAACAATCACCGTCTGACCTACCCACAAGATGGTGCAAATCACGGTATACTGAAAAAGATTCATTTAATATAAAGCCCTTAAAATACTAGATAATTTGGTCAATTTGCTAAATAATTAAATAGCTGACGTTGAATAACTTGCCCCTACCCCCCTTGCTGTGAGTTCAAATCCTATTTGGTACTTTTGATTATTGCATTTGGTTGGTAGAACTGTCTGCCAAATGGTAGAATGTCGTTGCTCTTACTCAAGTAACCGCTCGCACCTATATTAATGCTCAGACGGGCACCTGAGTTTTTTCCACGATAATTACGAATTATTTACGAATAAAGGTTTATTAATGTTTCAATGTTTATTTGCACATTTACCGGGTAGTTCTCATTTTTGAAAATCCTCAAGAGATTATTTGATATACAATATTGAGACTGTCGCTTTATCTACCAACAAACCAATGGGTAAACAAATATTCATACAACCTAAAATCCAATAAGTAGGCAAATATTCATAAAACAAATGATTTCCAAGGACAAAAAATAACCAATTTAAAATCCGCTATAGATTTTTTGCTAATCTTTGAAAAAGGTATATAAACAAGCGCGTTCGAAATTTACTGATAAGTCTTAATGTACTGAAAGTACATGTATTTTGAAAAAATACAATGCATATTTTTTCTTCTCGTTTTTTGCCTTTGCACCCAAGATAAATTTCTGATACACTGCCAATGATTCTAATGATTTAAAACTGCGTGACTCTAGATGCACAAAATCATTTAAAGCAAATCAAACTTTAGAAAAATGTACTTAAATTCAAAGAACAATAAAATGATTCAAGATTCAAATAATAATTTACATGTTAATAATTTATATGTTATGTGTGATTAATGATTGATTTTGCATTATTTATCACAATATTTCCACTGCGTGACGGACGCAGTAACCTTTTTGTAAATTACGTGGCTTGTAAGTGCCGCTTGCAGTGTGTAAATTACCTTCTTTGCTCCCTTTACAATACTTTACTTTTAAATACATTTTTTAAATTTTCATGAACATTTAAATTAAAATGGAGGCATGTTGCTATGAATAAATTATTTAAAACTGTTATAAAATACACTTGTAACTTACGGAAATGAGAAAACACTTTATCTTGTAGCAAGCACCGCAACATCCAAAAATAGTGATGGCAACAATTGCCAGTCCTATGAATATGAACGACAATGCTATTTCAAAGAAGATAGATGACCAATCAACATCAATATTAACGTCTCCAAACCCAGAATCCGACAGTGTCTTCTCGAGAGAGGATTTCACACCGTCCAATGACGACTCAATTACAGCCTCTCCAAACCGTAAAAATAGTCCAACGCCGAATAAAATAATCCCTGTGATCTGGGGAAAATAGTACGATTTCAATTATTATTTAGTTGTTAATATTGCAGACTTGTTATTTTTGTAACATGATGTCCTATTTTTTGAATATAATTTTTGAAACATAATGTCCAATTTTGAATATATTTTTTGTAACACAACCTCCTGTTTTTGAACGTATTTATGAAACGTAATGTCCTATTATTTAATGTGGTTTTGTGAAACAATATCTTATTTTTGAATATACTCTTGTAAAATAAAGTGTTTTTTCCTGAAGGATTTTTTTCCAATAATTCCTTCTTTTGAATGTATTTTTGTAGCATGATGTCCCGTTTTAATGTATTTTTGTAACATCATATCCTATTTCTGAATGCATTTCATTTGTATTGCAATATCTGTTCGTGTCAGTATAAATATTTTTGTTACTCAATTTTTTTCGCCAGCATTTATATCATCTTGAGTTTCTTAAAATTCATAATATGAGTAGTACTAATACATGTATGACTATAAATAATGTAAGGACATGTGCTTTTTTAGCGTTTATCATTCCGTTTTGTTCGTGCATATATCTAAAGCAGAAGCAAAATGTTCCATTTCTTTCTGTATAAAGTATTAATAATTTATATAAAGAAATCCATAATTGTGAATATTTTAAATATATTACTCATGTCACCCGAATTCAAACATTTTTTGCATGACATAAAATCAAATAATGTTTAAGAATCTCTGTTTAAGTAACAAATAATCAAAAAGTAGGCAAAACGTATTATAACAAATAAAAAAATTAAAAGAAGCAATAAGTAAAAGTTCTTATTTTCAAAAGTAATCGTTGAAATAAAATTATAATATTGACAAGGAAAGCAACAATTTGAAACCAAGGAATAATTGAAGAAACATCTTACCAGAAACAATATGTTCCAAACAACGACAACAACCCGAAATAAATTTACAAGAGCCGCCATGTTGTTAAACAGTCAAAACATTTCAATTACTCAAGCGACAAAGAAACCCGAAACATTTTTATTTAAAGAACGCATACAATTTTAAGACTAATTAAAGTAAAAATCGTGTGGTTATAACAAAGCGAAAATTGTAATTTTTATCTTAGTTTATGTTCGTTGGTTTTACTGTTTTATCGGAAATTTCTATTGTTATAAACTTTTGACACTTCATATTTAAATCTCGTTGATCATCTTTTCTAATTATGCGTAACTGATTGTAACAAAAAAGAAAATAGAAATTGTCCCTCTAACCATACAGATTGTTCTGGTATCATATCCTTGATATATATTTTTTTATATTTGTCGGGTATAAGTCACTCCTGCAGTGTTAAAGTAGTACGGCGACTGTCCAGCTTTAATGTTAGAAGGAGACCCCAGGCTCCCCTTCCATACAACATTTTAGTTTCAGTCACCGACCTTTTGTTAGCTAGCTGGATAGCTATCTCACATGAATATATTCATGGTCCATGACAGGAAACAGAAACAAGGCAATTGATCTAAAGATGGTCAACCACTCGACAACCGTCACTCTCAGACCACGTGACATTCTGGGGGTTGGGCTTTACGTCGCACGGTCATATAGTGACGTAATGTACCCCTCTGTGCATTACTTCAGGATTAAGATATAAATTAAAAGCAATGTTGTACAGTAATTTGTAATTACATCTTGTAGATAAAGAAGCACTTGTAACAGGTTTCCAATAATTTTAACGGCAATTATAAGCAACCTAATATTGGAAATAATTTACACTATATATAGACCTTATGCGTTTGTGCACGAGATTGCTTTGAAAACCTTAAAAATGAAACTCGGTGACTTAAGAAATTTCAATAATTTGAAAACGCAGAAGACAGAAACGTGTTTGGCCAGACTTGACATATGTTAACTCTGGCCTAACTATTCACCAGCGGCATAGGTCTGTTACTATCGTCGATAACCAGTCTATGAGTACATACAAATATATACAAACATAAGGTTATTATTTCTAAGTCTTAATCACGTACTGCCAATGAGTATTATAACAGTTTTGCAAATATATCTTAATATTACAAAATATTCTGTTGGTCAATTTATTAAATTATGAGCTGTGAAAAGGGTTTGTACAGAACACGATTGCTTGTATGTGTACATGTACACAGAACAAATACGTATTTAAATACAAGAAGAAAAAAACACTCCGATATATCTATGAATTGGCGGGAAAGTGACTTATTTGGTAAAAGAAATGCTTTTCAGTTGTGCCATTTAATGCAGGGAAACGAAACAGAAATATAACGTCGTGACGGAGAATATATGTTTGTTCTTTCAGTATGGTACTAGAAAGTCTTCTGTTTCCCATTTTATATGGTGGTGATGCTGTTATAATTTGAGCCGCGTCATGACAAAACCAACATAATGGGTTTGCTACCAGCATGGATCCAGACTAGCCTGCGCAGGATCCATGCTGTTCGGTATCAGTTTCTTTACTTGTTATAGGGTCTGTAAGCGAACAGCATGGATCCTGATCAGACTGCGCAGGCTGTTCTGGATCCATGCTGATCGCACACCCATTATGTTGGTTTTGTCATGGCGCGGCTCATATGTTGATGAGTGGGATATAAAGACTGTGTGCAATAAAGCATTAAAAAATCAACAACAAAAACAAGCATGACTAATATTCTTTGTAAGACTTTTAAATAATTATTCATTTCAATGTTTTTTTCATCAAACATTTTTTTCTTCTTGTTTAGACTCTAAAATATCAACAACCAAAATAACAGAAGTAATATAATATAACACATAAATGTGTTTAATGTTTTCTTTCCCATTTTCGACCGGCGAAAAGAGTATTAAAGTGTTAAAGTAGAGTGTTTAAGTGACATTCAGTGTGCGGTGATTACGTGTTACGTGTATTGTGCGCCAACTGTACAATGATACAATGTCACTGTTTAGTGTACAGTGACACAGTGTCAGTGTTTAGTGAAAAGTGATATAGTGTCAGCGGTTTGTTAACTGTGATATACTGTGTAAAGTGTACAGTGATATAGTGTCAATGTTTTGTGTACAGTAATTATGGGTCAGTGTTAAGTAAATGGTGTATTGTAAACCGTATCAGTGCTGTATGAACAGTGATGAAGTGTCTGTGTTAAGTGTATGGTGATATATTTTGAGTGTAAAGCGTACAATGATATAGTACCAGTGTAAAGCGTACAATGATATAGTACCAGTGTTAAGTGTACAGTGATATAGTGCCAGTGTTAAGCGTACATTGATGTAGTGTCTGTGTTAAGCGTACATTGATGTAGTGTCTGTGTTAAGTGTACAGTGATATAGTGCCAGTGTTAAGCGTACATTGATGTAGTGTCTGTGTTAAGCGTATTGCGATAAAGAGCTTGTGTTAAGTGTACATTGATGTAGTGTCTGTGTTAAGCGTATTGCGATAAAGAGCTTGTGTTAAGCGTACATTGATGTAGTGTCTGTGTTAAGCGTATTGCGATAAAGAGCTTGTGTTAAGTGTACATTGATGTAGTGTCTGTGTTAAGCGTATTGCGATAAAGAGCTTGTGTTAAGCGTACATTGATGTAGTGTCTGTGTTAAGCGTATTGTGATAAAGTGCTAGTGTTAAGTGTACAGTGATATAGTGTCTGTGTTAAGCGTATTGTGATAAAGTGCTAGTGTTAAGCGTACAGTGTGAAGTGTTCGTGTAAAGTGTACAGTGATATAGTGTCTGTGTTAAGTGTACAGTGAATAAGTGCCAGTGTTAAGCGTACAGTTATATATCATCACGGTTTTGCGTAAAATGTTACTATGTCAATGTTTCATATACTTTGTTGCCACAAGAAAGATTGTTTTCAAAATCGCAGTGCTTCTTTTCTTTTGTAAGAGACTGGGTCTCTTGGCGATACAGCATCTCTGTCATCTGGTCTTACTTTGTTGCCCTTTGTATTTTTCTTCTGTTTCTTTTTCTTTCCGCCGGAGCACAAAATTATGAGAGCAAATACCACTAGTAAAAGCTAAAATAAATCATATTTTACTTTAATTGATGTAATACAAAGACATATTCTATGAAATGTGTTTGTTTCTTATAAAATGTCAGATTATGTTTGTTATTTATTGACTGTCCAATTTTGATTATTTTATGTCAAAATACAATGAAATATCTATAGAAAAAGTAAAATTAAGCTTAAATACTCTAAACTAATAACACATTGTTGTCATGTATTTCAGTTGTTTGATTTTATTTTTGTACGCATAAAAATAAAACATTTCATTGTTTATATATATCTAAGCATCATAATCAGTGATGGTATAGTTCACATTAAGCTTTAATACCTGAATCACACAAAGTCCGGCCAACGCTCCTAACACCAGTGACATGTTTCCCAGAGTGTCGTCCCAGATCTTGTCATAGCAGCCCTATAATTCAACGAAAAAAGTTTTTTGAAAACAATAGAACCGAAAATAATCGAGATATTTGTACTTGAGAAGGATTGGGACAGGAACAAGACAAATACATATCACATTGACAAAAACATTGACAAGGATATTGACAAGAACATTGACCAGGATATTGACAAGGATAGTGACAAGGATATTGACAGGGACAGGGACAAGGACACGGGCAAGGACGGGGAAAATGACAGGGACCAACACAGGGACAGGGACAAGAACAGAGACAGGGGCAAGGACAGGGAAAATGACAGGGACAAGGACAATGACAGAAACAAAGACAAGAACAATGACAAGGACAAGTACAGGGACAAGGACAAGAACAAGCACATGGACAAGGACAAGAACAAGCACATGGACAAGGACAGGTAAAATGGCATGGGCAAGGGTAAGGACAGGGACAAGGACAAGAACAAGAACAGAGACATTGACAAGGACAGGGACAATGACACGGACAAGGGTAAGGAAAGGGACAAGGACAAGGACAGGGACAAATACAAGGACAAGAACAGGGACATGGACAAGAAAAGAAACAAAGACAAGGACAGGGACAAAGACATGGACAAGGACAGGGACAAGGACAAGGACATGGACAAGGACAGGGACAAGGACATGGACAGGGACAAAGACAAGGACAAGGACAGGGACAAGGACATGGACAGGGACAAAGACAAGGACAAGGACAGGGAACAGGGACATGGACAAGGACAGGGACAAAGACAAGGACAGGGACAAAGGACAAGGACAGGACAAGAAAGGACAAAGACAGGGACAAAGACAAGGACAGGGACAAAGACAAGGACAAGGACAGGGACAAGGAAGGACAAGGACAGGGACAAGGACAAGGACAGGGACAAGGACAGGGACAAAGACAAGGACAAGGACAGGGACAGGGACAAGGACAAGGACAAGGACAAGGACAAGGACAGGGACAAAGACAAGGACAGGGACAAAGACAAGGACAGGACAAGGACAAGGACAGAAACAAAGACAAGGATAGGGACAAAGACAAGGACAAGGACAGGGACAAGGACAGGGACAAGGACAAGGACAGGGACAAAGACAAGGACAAGGACAGGGACAGGGACAAGGACAAGGACAGGGACAAAGACAAGGACAGGGACAAAGACAAGGACAGGGACAAAGACAAGGACAAGGACAGGGACAAAGACAAGGACAGGGACAAAGACAAGGACAAGGACAGGGACAAGGACAGGGACAAAGACAGGACAAGGACATGGACAAGGACATGGACAAGGACAGGGACAAAGACAGGACAAGGACAGGACAAGGACAGGGACAAAGACAAGGATAGGGACAAAGACAAGGACAAGGACAGGGACAAGGACATGGACAGGGACAAAGACAAGGACAAGGACAAGAACAGGGACATGGACAAGGACAGGGACAAAGACAAGGACAGGGACAAAGACAAGGACAGGGACAAAGACAAGGACAAAGACAGGGACAAGGACAAGGACAGAAACAAAGACAAGGACAGGGACAAGGATAAGGACAAGACAAGGATAGGGACAAAGACAAGGACAATGACAGGGACAATGACAAGGACAGAAACAAAGACAAGGACAGGGACAAGGACAAGGAAAGGGACAAAGACAAGGACAAGGACAGGGACAACGACAAGGACAGAAATAAAGACAAGAACAATGACATGGAAAAGGACATGGACAATTGCAAGGACAGAAACAAGGACAATAACAGGACATTGATAAGGACAAGGACAGGGACAAGGACAAGGACAGGGACGAGGGTAGGGACAGGGACGAGGATAGGAACAAGGACAGGACAAGTACAAGAACGGGGAAAAGAACAAGGACAGGACAAGAACAAGGACAGGACAGGAACAAGAACAGACACTTGGAAAAAAAACACAAAAAACCTTATATAAGATTCAATGTATATCGGATCATGCAACGTACAATTGGACGGTCATTACTAGATGCACATAATCGGTATAAAATAAATGCATGTACTTAAATCACATAAGCTGTATATAATAAGTACTAAAATCACATGATCGGTATAGAATAAACTCTAAAATAATATAATACGTATTTAATGAATACTTTAATCACATATTAGGTATAGAATAAAGACTTAAATAACATATCAATATAGAATAGATATTAAAATCAAATAATCGATATAAATAAATACTTATTTTAGCATAATCGGTATATAATAAATACTAAAATTACATACCGTGTTCAGATAATTGATTGATTCCGTAGTTGCTGTACCAGCGCAAGACAGATCATCTGATGTTGGTAGCGTCTTGCAGCATGCGAGCGGAGTTTTCAGCGTGACAGAAGGGGATAGTGCGGTATAGTCTATAACCCATTTTGTGGCCCCGGTAAAATCGCTGTAATCGTCAACACCACAACAACCAACCTACAATACCCAACATATTATTTGTTCGAACCCTAGTAAATTTATGCAAATGATATGTATATATTTAATTTCTAATGAATATAAAAGTATTGTGTAAACAATCGCGAGCATATTTATGTTTATACAAAAGATATATATAAAAACATGGTGTTGTGTTTTTAAGGTCTTAAATATTTAACATTTGCAAATACTTTTGTCTATGTTTTTTGTTTATTTTTGAAATACTTTATCATTCTGATAGTATTCTGGCGCGTTTGCTTTGCTGTGTTATGTCTGTTACTTTCGCCAATTTCAACACAATTTTCCGTCCTACCACGTCATTTGGTTCATCTAATCGGCTTTCCTGGATATCTTACCAGTATTTACCTATTTCTCAACAAATGACCGACAACTTGTCCCATATGTACAGGGAACGCAACTATTCAATAATTACAAAACATTAATATTTCTATAAAATGATTAATTACCTGAATCATCACAACGTTCCAACCTATGGATACAATGTCTGTACCATTGAGACCGGCATAATCCGACTTTATAGATGACTTCAGAGGCTTCTTTACTGGGTCATGAATCTGCAGTAAATAGGGGATATACAATTCTCTGGTCCGGTCACTTCCGGTCTCCGGTCTCTCCCGTTCTTTTTAAAATACTTTCTTTAAAAAAAAAATATCTAGTAAATCCCGGTCAAAACAGACCGGGAGAGACCGGGAATTACCAAAAGGGGACCGGCGAATAATACAACTAGATTTACAACCAACCGATGCGTTTTGCGTGACAACGGCTACAATGGATTATATACTAGACTCATCTTTTGGTAAAATACTATTATTTTAGAAATTTATTGATATACAGTAAATTCGTCTTGAATATTTCTAATTTGAATAAATAAATGTATGAACAGTTTGCAAAGCTGTATTTCCATTCCTTGTCAAATTATTTTGGTCTATTCTTAGAAAAAATTATAGTTTTTTTTAAATGACACTATGTAATATTACTGAGATTGCCTGAAGTTTGTAGAGTTTAAAACGCAAAATATTTTATGTAAGTATTCAAAAGATGTTTATTTTATGTTTTAAAAGAGACTGTATAGAAGTAAACGATGTTTTTTTTTCTCTTCATCAAATTGTAACATAGTATATTTAAATTGGAGCATAGTATATATAATCTTTAAAAGAACACCATAGGCCAATTAATGTTATATTTTAAGACAGGCAAAAAAACCCACTTTTGTTTTTATGATTGACGACTGAAATATACTTTGTTAAAACAACTATGCTTCGTCGTTAAATCTATCTAAGTCTGAATTTAACTCTATTTTCTTTCTGTCATTAACTTTATTTTGTCCACTTCCGTCTTTCAAATACCTGTTCTAAAAGTTATTGTGATTTAAGTACGTCATCAAAACCGATAGTTTTTTTCAATACTTTAAATGTAAAACCTTGCTTTCTTTAGAATATACGACAAGCAATGAAAGAACACGCAATTATCTTGCGTTGATTTAAAGATTAATGCAATTTGTTCAAATAATTTGTTACCTTAAGTTGAACGCACGCACTACTAGTAATAAATGGGACGTATATGTTACTTAATCTGTAAAAATGCTTATTAAAATATTTGTCCGCGTTTATTTCTAGATTATACTTTAAATATAACCTAGGACATCTACTTGTATCACAGATCAAATAAAAGTTGTATGTAATCGAATATTGTTAAATAAAGAGGACACTTGAAATCCATCCAGTAGAGGTGATTTAGTCGCAAAAAAAGTAATCAATATAAAGCCATTGTGTTTGGGGATGAGCAAAGTTGATTTTGTTTCAATTTTTGCGCATGGTCTTTCAAATGTGCAATTCTAGATAGTTATTATTTAATGGTATAATTATTGTTTTGTTTTGTTATGAAATTGTAACGTAAATATTATATCAACTGTTTAATATGCATAAAGTCATACACAAATAGAATGGACACCCCAACTACCGCCACCACCACCAAGGGACATCCTTCGTCATTAAAGTTCATTTTAAAGACTTAAATTTTTGAAAATTTTGTTATGTTATAAAGGTTTCGATAGATGGGTTTACAATTAAACTAGAGTAGGAAATATTACCGTGTCTGGCGAACCATACAAGATCCCGATGAATATAACTTGTCCAACCAACAGTCCGCAACATGTTATAATGTACTGAAATAACAATTAAATAATAATTTAATAACAATTAGATAACGTTGAAAAAAGCAGAGCGAATCATTTATAGTAGATAATTGAGTATCATTTATAAAATTGTTACTATCATTATACAATAATTTCCTCATCGGCCCTAAATAAAATTATTCAGTTTTGCATCAACATTTACACCGTATCTAAAACATATTGATGCAGTTGATAAGGTAAGTCGATTATTTTGACAGATCTATGAATAGAAATGCAATACTAAGTTCAATATCATTTTCATTATTGTAAAGTGCAAAACTTTCAAGACTTGTTTTATAATGAAATATAAAATACCCGAGTCATTAAGAGTTCTTAATTATAAAGTCTGATTAAACACAATTAGTTTATTAAATCAGCTTAATTCAAAATTTCACAATTTTCATGCTTAACTCTTGAATTCTGCTTAAGTAGGTGCTAGGGGGCGTGGACGGTAGCTTGCAATTTCCAGTACCGTCCATGAACAGGCTCAATCAAACCGAGCCTGCAACATTTTCAATTTTGCCTTTTTGGGCGTTCTTTAGGGAGTCTGTTTCTTCGTATCATTACTCCAAATTACCTTTCTCTTACTCAGCTTGATAATGCACACTCAATAAAGTGTTGCTGTAGCAGAATAAGTTGCTGGCAACCACCTGAATTTCTTTTTCTCGGTTACTTTACAAAACATACTTTTTATATGCAAAACAGGCACAATAATTCTTCTAAAAGTACTTTACCGCTAACAGCATAAATTTGATGTTACAGCAACTTCCACAGCAGCCGAGGAAAGTGAGGATCGACAGTAACAGACCAGCAACAATCAGCCCGATAGCCAGATTACGTAGGATCTCGGTAACATCAAAGCTCGACAAATCTATGGTGCCAAATGTTGAAACACTACTGACCGAAGCCTCCAACGATTTCTTAGCGGAGTCAACATAACCATTGATGATACTGGAGCCGAATCTGATAAAAAGGCCGAGAGCAAGGAGTACGAGCCCAATAACCTGTATGACAAAGATATTACAAAGGAAAGAGAAGACATTTCATAAGCTCAGTGTGAAATTGTTATGTTATTATGTACTAATGATTTGTTTTCTCAAAAACAGTGTAGTTTCAAAAAAATACTTGTAAGACGTTTTTAATAATAGAAATCTAGAATATATACGTGAGAAGTTATTTAATGATAGAAGTTATTTAATAATAGAAATCTAGTTCAAAACGTTGGAGGTTGATTAGATAGTTATTTAATGATAAAGATGATCCTTTTTCAGAATTTGCATGTTTCGACACAGTTTTTACAATATAACTGTAGCCCCTTTAACATTATCTTTTTGTTGTGGCGAAAAACAAATACTTTTAAAAAATGACTGAAGAAAGAGCTTTATATCTGCTACAGAATTTAAAAGATATCAAACTAAATGTGAAAAAAAACCCAACGTCTAGATAATGTAACAATCAAATGTAAGAAATAGAAAATAAATAATAAATAACTAGGGAAAATTTTAATAATACTAAAAATATATAGGATCTAAACACGTATTCAATAAAATACATTTAAAACAATCATTTTATTATATAATCATTAATGATGACAATGATATCTCAAATTTACGGGCTGATAAATTGTTTCACGAGGCAGAAAAAAAAATGTTTATACAATCATAATAAAAAGAATATAAATATATCTTTATTATAGAAATATTTTCACATACTTACCAGAAAAATGATGTTAACAACAACTAAAAACACTTTAGCAACAGTGGAAAATCCACCCATTTTTTGTTATTTTTTTTAATATTATTTTAGTCCGTCCGCATGCACTTTTCGGCGTATTAATATAAGTCCAAATAGGAATATAAGTAAATAATCAGACACGACCAACAGATTTCACGTTAATAAACTCTTCTTCAATATTTGAAGACTATATTTCTTTTTATCCCTTTCTCTTAATCCGAAGTGTCAATTTCACGGGGCATTGAAAGTGCGCCTGTTTTCTTAAGTTTAAACCAAAGTATAATGGTACGTTACAATATTAGTAAAAATATTGTATGTAATCTATTCAAATTTGAAAAAAGGACAATTCGCTTAAGGGTTAAAATGTGTATAAATCCTATATATAACCTTAGAGTTTTATTTTTATAGATCTATACGATTTGATAATTCTGCCACTTAAGTATATTGTATGACGTTTGATTTCTGTTTTAAAGGTTTTTAAAAGATACCATTTAAAAATACATAAGTTTTCTTCAGTAAGATAGTCTATTTCTCGTTAATGTCCCCTTTTTGTATAGGTCCCTTTCTCGTTATGGTCTACGTCTTATTATGATTACCATCTCGTTATGGTCTACGTCTTATTAATGTCCCCGATCTCGTTATGGTCTACGTTTTATCAATGCCCTCATCTTGTTATGGTCTTCGTCTTATTAATGCCCTAATCTTGTTATGGTCTACGTCTTATTAATGCCCTCATCTTGTTATGGTCTACGTCTTATTAATGCCCTCATCTCGTTATGGTCTATGTCTTATTAATGTATTAATGCCCCCATCTCGTTATGGCCTACGTCTTATTAATGCCCTCATCTTGTCATGGTCTGAGTCTTATTAATGCCCTCATCTCGTTATGGTCTTCGTCTTATTAATGCCCTCATCTTGTTATGGTCTACGTGTTATTAATGCCCTCATCTTGTTATGGTCTACGTCTTATTAATGCCCTCATCTTGTTATGATCTACGTCTAATTAATGCCCCATCTCGTTATGATCTACGTCTTATTGTGATGCCTATCTCCTTATGGTCTACGTCTTATTAAGATCCTTATCTCGTTATGGATAACGTCTTATTAATGTCCCCTTCTCGATATGGTCTACGTCTTATTAAGATCCCATCCCCATCTTGTTATCGTTTACGTCTTATTTCTGTCCCAATCTCGTAATGGTCTATGTCTTATTAAGGTCTCAATCTCATTATAGTCTACATCTTAATAAAGTCCCAATATTGTTATTGGTTACGTCTTATTGATGTCACCATCTCGTCATGGTCTACGTCTAACTAAGAAGCCCATCTTGTTATGGTCTACGTCTTATTAAGGTCCCTATCTCGTTATGGTTTATTTCTTATTGTGATCCCCATTTCGTTATGGTCTGCGTCTTCTTAAGATCCCCATCTTGTTATTGACTACGTCTTATTAGGGTCCCTATCTTGTTATGGTCTAAGTATTATTATAATTCCTATCTTGTAATGTCCACGTGTCATCAAGGTCCCCATGTCGTTATGGTCTATGTCATGTTAAGGTCCCAATCTCGTTATGGTCTACGTCTTATTTATGCCCCAATCTCGTAATGATCTACCTCTTATTAATGTCCCCATCTCGTTATGGTCTATGTCATGTTAAGGTCCCAATCTCGCTATGGTCTACGTCTTATTAATTAATGCTTTCATCTCGTTATGGTCTACGTCTTATTGATGTCCCCGATCTCGTTATGGTCAACGTCGTATTAATGCCCTCATTTCGTTATGGTCTACGTCTTATTAATGCCCTCATCTCGTTATGGTCTACGTCGTATTAATAGCTTCATCTCGTTATGGTCTACGTCTTATTAATGTCCCCATCTCATTATGGTCTACGACTTATTAAGTTTACCATCTCGTTATGGCCTATGTCATGTTATGGTCCCCATCTCGTTATGGTCTACGTCTTATTAAGATTACCATCTCGTTATGGTCTACGTCCTATTAATGTCCCGATCTCGTTATGGTTTACGTCTTACTGAGATCTCCATCTCGTTGTTGTATACGTCTTATTGAAATTTCTTGTCTTGGTCCAGGTCTCATTAAGTTGATATATCGTTTTGGTCTACGTCTTATTTATGTGCCCATCTCGTTATGGTCCACCTCTTATTTAGGTCCCCGTCTCGTTATGGTCTACGTCTTATTAAAATCCTCATCTCGTTGTGCTTTCACGTCTTATTAAGGTCCCTGTCATGTTATGGTCTACGTCTTATTAAGGTGTCCATCTCGTTATGGACTACCTCTTTTTAAGGTGTCTATCTTTTTTGGTCTACGTTTTATTAAGGTTTAAGATAAGTTTTAGAAATAAGCTTTATTTAAATGATGTTAGGTATTGTGAACTCTCGAAACATGAGAATAAGATCAATAATAGAGAGATAAACTTTACCGACAATAGCTATCATCAAAGGGTCACTGGAACGGCCCCCAGTAGGAGCACCAAACATGATAAAAACTGTTTCCTTGTTAAAACAGTTTGTAAAACAATGCGAAGCGTATAAGAACATGCATGTATTTTTAGTGGCTCGGTATTTGTTCAAATTATAACTTTTTGTCGACCTTAAGTGTCAAATATTGAGAACTGTTTAGTATACAGGTAATGGGTTTGTAGATTTTGGATATGATATTGAATCAACAAGAAAGGTGGACTTGATCTCTTTGTCTAAGTGTCAGAATTTCATACACAGTAACTTTTTACTGAAAAATTTTATTTTTCGGATGACGATTGATTGTTAAATTGTAGTCAATCAACAAATTTTGTTTTTTGTAATGGATTAGTTTTTGGCCTTTTAAACTAAATGAAATGCTTGCTTAACTAAATGAAACACATTTAGTTTCAATATGCAGCTTTGTGAATAATGAGGAGGTGGAAAAGTGTGTTTTCATAAGTTTTGAAACATTAATTGAAACATTTTTGAAACATTAATGCTTCATTATAAATTTGAATGACCTACGTTTAGGAATACAATACATCTTATTTTTCACTCTAAATCTTCGTTGTTCAAAGAAATACTTTGCTTTTACAGTAGTACATGTATTTCCAACCCTTCTGGGTTTTTTTTGCCTGATTGCTTAACTCAGGACCTAATTGCCATTTTCGATTTTCTTGTGTCGTCAATGCAATCCCGTACTATTGCACATCCATAATTTGTCAGTCATTTGTAATTTTTGTTTTCCTTCATGTTGAAATCGTAATTGTGTATAATTATGTCAAACGACGATTCAGCTTCAGGAGTTAGGTTGAAATGTGTTTTAGGCCTTACCTTTCTACAGCTTCTTATCCATTAAAAGAAATTGACAATGCAAATGAGCTACAAGTAAAATGGTTTCCTGCGGGGAACGTTTTTAATGATATAGATATATTTCATTTAACTATTTTCAATGGGGGGGGGGGGGGGGGGGGGATAAAAAAACGTTTGTATCAGGAAATATGTTACAGAAGAAGGTCTTTGGAAACTGGTGACCGTTGATGACCGGAGAAGGTCGAACATAAAACAATTATTTCTTTTTTAAGAAAATAATTAAATAGGCCTACCATTTTATGAATAATTCCGAGCAAAAAATAAAAATAAAGTAAACACACAAGTATTTATTATGGCTGATGCCACTACGAATATTTTAATTTTGTAGATTTTCAGTATAAACAATTTATTGTTTGTAACATTTTGAGATACATATTAAAGAAACATTGATAATTTTCAAACACATCATTCAAGTTTTTCCACCTTAAACGGTAACTTAATTATAGAAAATTAAAAATATCACGTAATAGTTTTTTGTTCTTAATTAGGTGTCTTATAGTGTTGCTATTTGACCAATAATATTTGTATCCCAATATCATATAATAATATAAACACTGACGTTAAGTAATTTCTTTTATTTCAACTTATAAACAAATGTCAGAAAAATACATATAAAACGTAACATTTAACATGTTGTTTAGACAAGTTACATCTTAAAGTACGTACCAACCAACTTCTAACGTAACGAAAAAGCAAGCAAAGGCTGATTATCACGTATTCGTATTTAAGTTTAAAGGCCCATTATGCCTCAGAAAATCTTTGAATTTTATTGATTTTTTTGTGTCCTATTTATTGATTTTTGGTGGCCTATAATAGTTTCCAAAAAAGTTACTAACTCTTCGATTGCCTGAACTATCTTTTGATGATTTTTTAGCAATAAGTAAAGAAATATTGATTTAGTATTTTGTCTGGAAGTCAAAACACTTCTTTGTTTACATTTTGTTGTCTTTATGACACACAATTTTATAATAAGCACTTCTTGCTTTAGATAAGAAGCATGAAACATGCTCTAAAACCATTATCTAAACATTATGAAATTAATGTCGGCATTTTCTATAGAAATAAAAAAAATATTTGTTTCTGAGGCAAAATGTGCTTTTAAATGATTATTAATAAAATCATTGCATCACATATATTTTTCAAGCTTTATAAAATATAATAACCGTCATTGGTAGCAACACAAAAAATGACCCATAAAAACAACAACAATTAAGGATAACCATTCTTTAACAAAAACAAAGACAAATGCTGTTAATTTTTTTTATGTATGATTTTTCGATTTTCACCTTTCAGTATTATGTGATGTTTTTGATTATTTTTCAACCGTAATTTATAATTTTTATGCACTCAAAACATTATCTCAATTGCCACTTTATACACACAATTAAAAGCAACTCTATATTAACTTCTTTATGTTATCTGGCAAAGGACGATAGGTGCAATGTCCTTTTATGAATAGTTTCAACACTATAAACACAATTGCCATAAATATTCAATATTTTAATATAACATACTAACTTGATAAATTACTTAAAGGTCCATTAAGCCTCAGACATGCTATTATTTTTATTTCCTAAAAGCTTTTAATTTAAAATGATGTCCTATAATAGTTCCCAAAATGATACACATTGACTATATAAACATATTTTACTTCTTTTGAGTTTTAGCAATGAATATAGTTATAGTGTATGGAAGACAAAATACTACTTTGTTTACATTTTGCTACTTTTATGACAAAAAACAAAACAAAAGACTTTTAGCATTACTTTGCTCAGGTGACAGACATTTATTATTCTCTAAATTCATTTATACCTTTCTAGAGAAGGAAAAAGTATTCATTTCTGAGGCATAATGGTCGTTTAAGTAACCATATTTTTCTATTTAATATACATAAATTTGCATATATTGTGTTATACAAGTATCTTTAATATTTGGTAATCAGATTAAAAAAACAAAGGTCAATATGTCATGGTATTTTTTCTCGTCATGTTAAAGTGACATTATACCCATCCATTGGTAAATAGTCGGTGTCATAATTATGTTCAATTTTAGATTTTTCTATGAAAAAAAAAATCAGTAACGGAAATGTCTATTAATATCCTTTAGAATGTACCGGAAATGTGCAATTCTAAAACAATGTAGGGCAGTCTTTTTATAATTTAGATCGTTTATATATTGTATCATAAACATTTTTCTTTATCAAGTGTTGGTCAATCATCATTTTAATAGTCAATCTTTTGAAATATATTACAAATTCAACACAACTTGACAGTGAAAAAATGAGTATAATGTCACTTCAAACTTACACATAAATTTCATTAATAAATAAACACAATGCGTAGGACAATGTTTGGCAAAAGAAAATATCTGCACTGAAACAAAAAAATAAAATTTGTTCTTGCTGGCCCGCAGCACAATTTTGTGTAGTCATGTGACACTTATTAAAAAGTGTAAAAACAAGAACATAACAAATACAATGAACAAATATGAAGCACAACAAACATTGAAATGAAATTTTAGAATTTGACAGTTCAGTTGAAAAGAGACAAAGATTTGATCATTGCGAGCGAAGAGGAACATACATGTATATTAAAATGTTATTTTGTTATGTTATATGACATTGCTGATAAAGAGAGACAAAAGCCAAAATGTTATTTTTTTATCATGTTATTTGACATTCCGGACGAAGAGAGACAAAGATTAAAATGTAATTTTTGTCATAGCATCTCTTTTACGTGGAACGGTTGATTAATTAACAAAAACATTTACATTTGAAATTGCTTTTATCAGGGAGAAAAGATTTGCTAACATTGCAAAAGAAAACGAATATCATGTACAAGCAGCGTGCGAGCATAGTAGGATTTTATTGTCTGGGACAGGGTCTTGATACTGGTGGGCTATAAAAAAGGTCAATGTCGCATGGAACGGAAGCACCGGGTGTGATCCGGCCTAGCAAAGTTCATAGACCACAAGGTCACGGTTTTCTTTACAATACTCCTTTTATCTTATTACTTTCTATATTGACTCTATTTATTTGACAGACAATTAATGAAATAATACAATTCAGGTAATTTCGTAACAATTTTGCATTGCACACATATGCAGTGTTTTTGTTCCTGCCCAGTCACTTAAATCCAGAAATACAAAAATTGTACTAGATTATACACAAAAAACCATCCAATATAGTTGAATTAACTAGATGGCGCGTAGAATATATGACAAAAATATCTGATAATGCATTACATATAATAAAACGATAAGTCACCACTAAAAATACAAACAAATCCCATAAAAAACATGTAATGAATATAGAAATATCACAGTCAAAGATATAACAGTCTATGTTGGTCAAACATATACACCAGAAAGACCCATTTGTAATGAAGTATTCAAACAATATGTACATGACTTTTTTTAAACATTTACTCTAGCAGATATTTATACTAGTATTAGTTCAACAGAAGGCAAAACATGCCTTTGTTTATTGCTTTGTTGGTTTAGACAATGATATACATGTGCATACATGTGAATTTTAACAGTTCATTCAGGCCTATATCTTTTTTAGTCTTTAACATTTAACCTGCTAAATTTCTTAAATGGACTGGTACAGCTTCCATTTCTGGACCTGTCCATTATCATTTATCATTATATGTATAGATGAAATTTTGTTACCGTCTGACCAGGCTCTAAACTGGTGGCAAAGGCTTACAGTTCCGAATCCAGCAGTTTAAAAGTTAAAAGAAAAAAAAACAATGCTGCTTTTGCATTGGCTAAAAGAATTAAAGCACCGTAATCCGGTATCCCACATCATGATTAAAGCTGTTAAAACCGTTTATTAATATCTCCAGAACACGAATACTCCGTGCAAGGTATAAAAGAAACAACAATTTCTATTATAACTAAATATGTTCGCATAATTATGCTCTTGATTAGGGTGGAACGGTTAATATTGTCAAAGAGTTTTTGAAAGTACAACATGTATAAATTATGTAAAAAATGACATGGTTTATAAGAATGAGTTTGACTTTGAAATACTAATTAATGATTATGTAATTAAAATCTGTTATTTTCCCGGGTTTGTCTTGTTTTTCCTATCTTCAAGAAGTGTTAGTATTCCAAAGCCGAGCAATGCAAGCTGAAAGTGAATAAAAAGATAATGCATAAATGTAAATAATGATCAAAATAAATCTAAACTATATAATAATAATAATAATAATAATAATAATAGTAATAATAATAATAATAATGATAATAATGATAATAATGATAATAATGATAATAATAATAATAACAATAATAACAATAAAAGATCTTATAATAATAATAAAACTATGGTAGGAAAATCTACGGATGTATTCTATGCTACTGTTATATTTAATTTTGCTACAATTTCACTCAAATCTGAAAAATATAGAGACAATATCAATGCCATTGTAAGAAATCTACGCACTAATTTTATGCCAATAAAATATTTCATTTTGCTACAATTTCATTCAAAATTTAATTCAGTGAGAACAAATTGCTGTTAAAAAGTAAAGATAGCAAAGGTTGCATCCCAAAGTCGCTATTATACCAATGTAGTAAAAAACTCAATGTTTATTATGTCATTGCAAATTCTAATCAAATTATACTCTTAAGTGGTCAAGATGAATCTACATGTAAAAGATAACTTTATAAAACATATTGTTTGAAAATTGAACAGTTCTATTTCTCAGAAGATAGAGACATGAGGAAATGAAAAAAAAAATAACAAATGAAACATATATGTATTAGGGTCACTACATAAAGACAATCAATTCTATATTTTAAAAAACTTAAGTTCTACAGAAACGGGAAAGGTGTAAACCACTAAACAATTGCATGGTAAACAAAGAGAGTGTGGGGACTGAATTATAAAATAACTAATGTACCTAAATATCAGATAACTGAATATGAAATAAAATAAAAACAACTAATATAATTCTCTGATTTAAAATCAAGTACTCTTGTAGAAAAGTACATACTCGAATTTGAGATTTTTTTCTTTTGTCTTGTTGAAATATTTAAACATTGCTAGATATACTATGCTCTTCTTTAAGTAAAATATTTTTATTGCAGAAATTTATTAAAATCTATAAAATTCATAATGAATATATTTTTTATTAAAAAAAGAACGTACAAATTATGTATGAGAAATCTGCGTTCCGTAATTTGGGTCAAGTAAAGCTTGACTGCCAGTTTTTTCACGACACTATATATTCATAGTGTGTCCACTTAATAGTGTGTAGGATTTAAAACGTTTCTACTTCAGGGGAAGACAAAACGTGTTTATTCTATATTTACTAAAATGCTGTGTAGCAATTATCAAAATTTTCAAAATTCATTTACAAAAAGTTCTTAAGACTTCACGCTGTCAGAGACAAAACTTAAAATCTATTGTTTTGCTAATGATTAACTAACTAACTAACAATTGTCGGCCTTTATAAATGTTGACATTTAAAGGACATTTTCATTTTACTTACGTGAAACATTCATCAGAGCTTAATATATATATATATAATATATATATATATATATATATATATATATATAATATATATATATATATATATATATATATATATTATATATATATATATATATATATATATATATATATATATATATATAACTTTACGGTGGAACATTTAATGATTAGACACTAAAAACGGTTAAACTTGAGTTGCAAGGTTCAGCAATTAGAAATATAGAGACTCTTAATTAGGGATTTGATTAATATTGATCAACCAATGCTTTGAAATGATATTACAGTCACTTAGGGAGATGAAATTGACATAAATAATATAATATAAATACGCCAGATATTCTACATAGTCACTGACAACATAATTATCATTAACAGAATATTGTAATAAAAATACAGTAAAACTGTTATGCTCGAAATCCCCAAGTACCAGAATATTGAACGTTGCGATTATATTACGGTGAAAACATACTTTTAAAAATCCTTATTGCCCGTCTTGTTCTTCTTCATACTACACAAAATAACTATTCCAAACAAAATCAGTAGCAGCTGGAATGAAAAATAATTATTCGTTCAATAAGATGTCTTTTATATATTTATTCATGCGTTTGTTTACTACAAAAGCGTACATGCTTTGTGAAGCACAAACCAGAGTGGATATTTCGTGAAGCACAAAACGCAATGTATATGTCGTGAAGCACAAAACCAACTTGATGTTTTGCAAAACTAAAACACTAAAACATGCTACGTTTATTATCATGCGAAAAAAAGCATATTATATTTGCTTTCAATACACCGATGTCAAAGCGCGATACACATCATGCTAAAACTACATGCGTAAAAGCCACACTGAATTCCAACAAGTATCAAGCATTTTGAGTACCATGACCTCATATTATGGCCACAATCTTACAAGATGAAATGAACAAAGTTGACGAAATGAATACAAATATAGTCCAAAGACAAGACACATGCACGTTACAAGATGTAATATACGTGGTTAGAAGCAATACTTTTGCCAACGTTTATGACTTAAAAAACCCCAAAAAATTGGAACTTTTATAACCAAGAAATTTAAAAATTTTGTTAAATGTAAAATGTTATAAAACAAAAAACCTTTTTAACATTAATTTAAAAATGAAAAAAAAAAGAATTTTTAAAACAAGCCCTTAATAAAATGTTCAAATTTTTGTATTCTAAAGAAAGATTTACATATGGTATCAAAGGTGCAAGCAAAATGTTAAATGGAGGTGCATCTGAAAACTAATCACAACGTGCAGAAACAGAAAAAGTCTAGGTAAAGGAGCACGCAAAGCAGCTGAATACTGCAATAATAAATATAATCCATCTGCATGTATGATATTAAACGATGCATTGATAAATGTGACCGTAACATGACAATATTAGGTAAAATCAGATTTTGTTAAGAAAATCGATTTAATCTGTTTATAACAAGAACATCTGACAAAATAAAATATGTATGATAAAATCAAGTTTACAGACAATCAATTTCAAATTTACTGTTACCAAAAATGCAGATGGGGTTTAAGGTTTTTTTTTCAGAATTGTTAGTTGTTATTTGTAAATGGATACACGTTTTAGTTTAGTGCACTAAAACATTAGGTAGTGCACTATAAAATACAAGGTATACAAAAAGTGAAAAATATTAACAATGAAAACTAACATCAAACATTTTCTTTAATAAATACTCAATAGAATAATTTTAAAACTGATATTTGTTTAATCCACTTTATACTAACTGTCCGTAAAACTCTAACTGAAATAACTTCTTATCAGAACAAACTCTAACTAAATTAACTTCTTATCAGAACAAAACATTTTATTTATATCAATGTAAATGCTTTAGACTTTAGACTTACCTGGAATACCGCTACCCCAACAAGAGAGCCAACCATTATTGCTGTGTTTCCAAGTGTGTCTTCCCAAATTTTATCATAGCAGCCCTGTAAAATCATTAATATTTTATCACAAGAAATCTTATATTTTATGTTGATAGCAAATTTATAAGTGGTATATTGTAAAACTATTGTTTGACACTACATTTGTCCTATCAAGAAAGTAAAAAGGTCCATATATTATTTAGATGGCTACATTGGTAAGGATGAGAGGATGAGGGTGATGTTGACATTGGTTCTGCGATTGTAAAGTCCTCCACGTGACTTAAAGCAAAAACGATATTTATGCTTGTGAACATCCCTTACTATTGAGAAATCCGACGATTTTGTATAAAAACAATAATAGAACAAAACAAGTATGTAAGCCCTTAATCTACTGAAGACAAAATGCTATCAGCCCTTGCCACAAGTTTGTTTGTTTGTTTGGGCTTTACGTCGCACCAATTAAGAATAGGTCTTATGGCGACTTTTCGGCTTTACTGGTGGAGGAACACCTCAGGTGCCATTGTGTGCATTATTTAAGGCACAATCGGGCACCTTTGCCACAAGTATAGAGCCAAGGTCTAATATACATCCGTCGCGTTTGACCAGGCTATTTAATGTAGGTATCTTAGGATTAGTATTTTGATATTAAAATCCCTTCAAATATTCAGTTCCAAATTAAAAGCAGGAAAAATGCGTTAGGGTTCACCAAAAACCACACATATTCAAACAAGATGGAGTGCATGTCGTAACATTACATGTTGAATGTTAAAGAACTTTGAAAATAATGTACTGACAGACTCGCAAAGTCACAAAGAGCCTTTTATCATTAGAAAACAAGTTTGTCTTTAACATTATCAGATGAGCGTCAATTTTGTAGGCAGCTGGTAGTTGGTAGTTAGATATTCAGATAAACAACTACCTGTGAGCTGGTAGTCGGTAATTCGTGATTCCCAACTATTAAGAAGCTAGTTGCAGGTAATTCGATCCAATAACATTAGAATGCAATGTTCGAAAATCATATACTTTTTAGGAACACAGAATAAAGGAGGTATTATTATGAAAACTGGAACATACCGTCTCTAAATAGTTATTTGCTGTTGTAGCAGTGGAATCTGCGCATGAAAAGTCTGTAGAAGATGGTAAAGTTTTACAACAAGCCAACGGTGTCTTTAACGTGTAAGATGTGTAAACAGATATCCAGTTACTGGCTCCAGTGAAATCAGCATAACTGTCAACACCACAGCATTTTACCTGTTGTATAAATTATCCTTGTTAAGCCGACAGTATCATTGTAAAACAAAAAGAACTAAATCTGATTAAAATCAGCTGTTAATTAACGCTACGCATTAAGAAATAACTTAAGCAGGTCGGAACTTTAGTCAGATTGTAATGGACTCAACCTATTTCCGTGAAAGAATCAGTGGCCTTTTTTCCTTGAGCAAGAACCTTGACACTCATTGCTCAGTACTGGTTGGTTCCAGGATGTAAGCTATTAGCTTCCTACACAATCGAACTAAAATAAAGTATGTATAAACCAAAAGACATTGTATAAAACGATGTGCTTTTGAAGTTCTAACATATATTTAACAAGTTATATGTAAATTTGTGTCATTGTCATACCAAACTAAAAGAATTTTTTTCATAAAGTGGTGCTTCACCAAACAATGTGTATGTAATCTTATTAGTTAAATGCGATTCTTTATTTCTTAAAGTGTATACATGTATATATATCTGATGAAATATTTCATAAAAATTTAAAAATTACGCGTCACGCAACAATAACTAATCAATATATTTCTGCACGCTGTACCATTGCAGTTATCTACCATAAGCGAAATTTCGTAATCAATTTTTATTGTCTTTTTTTTTCTTGATGGTAAATCTTTTGTTTTTCGTTAAATATGAATATATTTACAACATGGTAACATTCTTATATATTTATCATATCTCGTGAAAATATATTCAATATTTCACTCAAAAAAACCCTCTTAATAACCAATTACAAGATCAGCTGCCCTACAATCAACTATATTAATAAAAAAATCACAAAATCACGAAAATGTCACAGTAAATGCAAAAAGTCAAAGCAAACAATAATTTATATCATTTTCACACCAGCAGCAGTGAAAGCTATTATGAAATGTATTGATAAGTGAAATAAACCCGAATGAGACGCTGGTAATTCTATTATTGCCTGATAACATTTATAAATTTGGTCTCCTAGGTGTCGTATGGCATAAAAGTGTGTCTGGTATTATAGTATTCTTATCCAGTAGCATTCATAAAACTCGTTTCCTCTTATAAAACGCTGATAAACATTTCGCAGACGACAGGAAAAAGTTGCCGTTGAACTTTATTATATAAATGTTGAAATTGTAAGAATAATAATATCTCTTATGTGTTGCAGTTCGGATCGGTAAATCTGTCCTGAGGGTACCTGCTCATGGACAGCGGTACGACGAAAACAGTATAACGGTCTACGCATGAACGGACACTAATTATGTTTTCATCGGATACCGCTAAAATTTAGTTTTTAGTAAATTTTGCTTGAAATGTCGTTTTTGAAACGTTAAACTTTAATTATATGTATTATATTCAAGTAAACTATGGTGCATAATATAAGGACAGTGGACGTAATAGCGTTATAGTAATCTCCAAGTCAACTCCAAACATTGAACGGACCTCAGCCTTCGACTTCGATTCGTTTAATGTTTGCGTCATTATATAATGGTATGAGGCCATCGGTGCTGTGTAATATTTCTTAAAAATTGCACACAAAGGCTCTATCTGTTTATTAAGGAAATAGTGATGAGCATGTTAGAATAATACATATTATAACAACACGTTTCAGCGCTTGTCTGATAAAATTTTGTAATATCTGGTATTTTGTAAAGCTATAAGGTCAAATAAACTAACGTAGTACAAATGTTGAATCTACATATCATGTGTAATCATTGACAAGGAACAAGTAAACGGCCGGCTAGAAATCGGACGCGATTTGACACGCGTGCTCGAATTCGGATGTGACATTACACGTGTCGTAGTCTTCAATTGTTGTGCCATTTAGATAATGCATTGGGTGAATTCTTTGAATATTTCTTGTATAGGCTTTAATAACTTTCAACAAGACTGGAAATGTTGTGAGACTTGTGTCTAGTAGGCTTTTGTTAATCGTTGATTCATTTACTTTGAGGATCATTAAAATTGAAAAAAAGAAACATACCTTTTGCATAACGACGTTCCAACCGATTGATACAATGTCGGTCCCGTTTAAACCAGCATAATCTGATTGTATACCGTCTTTAAGTTTCTTCTTTGCCGGATCATGGAACTGTTTAATACAATATAATATAATGATTTATCTAAAGTAAATCTAGCTTTGGTTCGGGTGATACGACATTTCTACGGTGCTTTTGTTCATAAGAAATGCATTTTGCGTGCTATTGAACTGAACAAAACAGATCTTGTAAATTTATACAATAATGTTACTAAAATGTGTGACTAAAATGACACACTTATGAAAATCAAGAAGCATTGGAAACTTCAATTATTTAAGTATTATTGTCTTTAATACCATACTATACTGTATTTACAGGTACATTATGCCTCAGAAATCCATAATTTTTAAATTCATTAAAAATGCCAAACACGTGTTTAACCATTATTTTGACTGTGACAAAATACCAAAGATTAAAAACTTAAATTATAGCATTTCTAAGGCATAATTGGCCTTTAAAGTCAATTATAAAACTGACTTGACTACTTTTGCTAACGTCAGTTATTCTTAGAAAGGAATTAATACGTACCGTGTCTGGGGATCCATACAGAATGCCAATTATAATTATCTGTCCAATTAGTAATACTATACATATTATCACATACTGAAATAGGAAAAAAAACATAACAAAATATAAATAATTAGTTCCATGAGAACAGTAACGGATTTTCTGTTCACAGGTTTAAATTGATGTTTACAGACATAATAATTATATAATATTGAAAGTAACTAAAGTATTAATTTCCAAACAAAACCACAAAAAGCAAATAGAAAAGAAATGGTGAATATCTGTTTGGTTTTTTTGTAATGTAAATATCCTACAAACTTTGTTATAATTTTATAAACACTGACCCCGATGAGCATGAACTTGATTTTGCAGCATCCACCACAACATCCTAACACGCTGATAATTATCAAAAACAAGCCAAAGAAAATCAGTGCAAGGGCGACTCCAAACAACAAATCGCTGATATCGAAATTTGAAAGGTCCACTGTGCCAAACCCAGAACTTCCGGCCGAACTCTCTAACGACTCCTTGACCCCATCGACGTAGTCATTCAGGATGGCCGTTCCGAATCGAACGAACATGCCCAGTGCAAAAAACACCAAGCCGATAATCTATGTGATATTAGAAAACAAGAGCAAAATTTTATCCTTTGAATTATTGATAAGAAATAACTTATTTTGAGTACGAATACAGGAATACGTATGGTAACTGGCGTTAACTGTTTAGAAAAATATACATCAAATCGCCCCATTAAAGCAAAAAGGTACCAAGTGACATTTTCATGTTTTCGAGAAAATCGCGTTTAAAGATTTGAAGTTCAATATCAAATCAAGTTTTTACAGCATGGCAAAGAAACTTCACATATATTTAGATAATGTTTGAATGTACATGCTCAAAAAGTTGGAAAGCTTATATATTACTAATTAGTGATAATTAATCAATTAAACGCAATGGTTCCTTTTTGCACTAATAAATATTTGACCGACAAATGCAAGAAGGTACCATATGATCGCTTGGCCCCTTTTTGCATTGTATGATTTTAAACATTTGCTGTCGAATACATCAATAAAAGGTACCATATGGCAGTTGGCACCTTTTTGTCCTAACAATATTAACATAAAGCATCATTTAGTTACAGTTTTATTCTACAATGATGCAAATAAAAATATGAAATTATTGTGTTTTCAGTAAATGTCTGATACAACTATCACATTGCATGTTTTGAAAGTCTTCCTATGTGATCAATCTCAATACCTATGTCAAAATCTCTTACATTGTAAGAGTCAAAATCAGAATCATTCTCATCCGATTCCATCGTGACATAACCCTTTTCATTCCTGTATGTTTGTTAAGTGGCATTATAATTATGGAACTCTTTAGGGATAATTTTCTTTGCACACAAAGTAATCAAGTTATTTTTCTTTTGAATAGAAACTGGCGGTTTGGTATCATAACTTCATATCTTGTTCACCATTTGTCCACTGATACTTTCTTTCTGTCTAGATTCTGTATTTTGAACTTCTATTTCCATAAAAGCTTCTGCATTGAAGCTGTTATTTACAAAAACTGACTTTGGGCTTTCCTTTGGTACCTGCATCCATTTCACCTGTCGCCAGTTTACTCTTTGTCTGTCAATGGATGTTTTGAGTCTCGGACACTGTTTTTTTTAATGAAGTATTTGAAATCAAAAACATGGTTATATTTCATTGTCACATCAATGTTTGGCTGTGATTTTCTGAGAACACAACTGAATGATACATAATTATACAGAAATTGTTTTCTTTGCCCCTTCAAGAGTCAAGTTGTCACTCCGTCTGTGTGTGACCCGATACAAGAAATTTGTGATGATCAATCTTAAATTTGGAACTTGTGATAATATAAAAGAAGAGACGCAGCTACGAATTAATTTCTGTTTTGTCCCCCGTATGTATCTGAAAAATAATGACTTATTTGACATTACCACTCAGGCAAGTAAAAAAGGGCTTTTATTAAGCAGGAAGCTATTTCACATGCCTCTCTTTGCAGTTTGTTTTATCCCATACATGACATACAACATTTTTGTCTCATAAGGAATATACTGTCAAGTTGTGTAGCAAAAGTTTTCTTGAATAGTAAAGCTTACTCACTAATGAGCAAGGGGTTGTTACAACAGCCTTGAGATCAAAACATGCAACATAAACGCATGTTTCACCTTTTGCTCCAACTTTATTTTTAACCTTTACTTCTTGTGAATTTTCTTTCTGTTTTTGATGTTCAATATATTGTTTCTTGATCGTGCCATCTAGTGTGCCTACTGCCTTCCTATACGTATGTTGCTTAACAGGTTTCATTTCCTTCGTTTCACATTCAATAGTTTACAGTTTCCACATCTTTTTAATGTTTAAGTCATAGTCATGAGATAGGTATTCAGTTATTTTCAGTTTTTTTTCTTGTAGAACGAGATTTCATTTTAGGAAATTACTCTTTATGCTGTTTCACCAATTTAACTATATCATAATCTAGTTTATTTGCAGATGTATGCTTCCCTGTCATGCTTCTCTTTCCATATAACCCATGTAACTTGTTGACACGAGTATAGTCAATTACTTTTCTTTTAACGTCCACGTTTTTGTGAAGAAGTCATTTATACAATATCATTATCTTCACACTGTCATCATTCCTCAATTTAAAACAGAAACAATAATTTGGGATATATTGTTATATTTGATGTCCTTATCAACATCTAAATTGTGTATTCATTAAAAAGCTAAAAGGTACCAAGCAAACAATTTAATATATAAAATAATCTTAAGGGTTGTAAATTCTTTGTGTGCAGAAAGGGACCATATGGCACATGGTTCCTTTTTGCATTAAAATAAGTGCTCAAAACTTATATAGTCATTCAATGCAAAAAGGTACTATGTGACACTTGGTACCTTTTTGCTCAAACTGGTATACATATGGTACCTTTTTGCATTACTAAATGGGAAAATATTGACATTGTACCTTTTTACATAACCTTATATGTCTGTAAATAAACATGATACTACAGAGATATTTCTACAGATTAAAGATAACATTAAAACATAATGGAAAATGGTAAAAAGTCATTTTTGGCCAAAATGTCGCTTGGTACCTTTTTGCTTTAATGGGGCGAAATATTACTATCAAATTCGGTCAAATCCGTTTTTGCTAGCTACATGTATATAAGTTATAATTATTGACCAAGGCGCTTTAAAACATTAAAAAATATACTCACCAGAAAAAATATATTAACAACGACCAGAAATACTCTGCCGAGCGTCGAAATAAATCCCATCTTGTCTATAATCCGTTAGTTTTACAAATAAAATTTATTCACTATATTATATTAATGTTATCGTAGCACTTCCGCCTTATGTTGACCAATCGGAATCCTCTTTCAATTCATCTGTAACGAAATGTAAAAAAAATATAATGTTTTGGTTACATAGGTTGTTCAATGACATGAAATGAATTTATTTAACTTTTCATGATTAGTAAGAAATCTACCGTTATTGAATAGAAGGTGTGGATTTGAATAATTTAAAAATGGCACGCCGCTGTGATTTTTGAACAGAATTCTTGGAATAAAGAATTGACATTTTGAAAAGAATCCATTAAATGGTGTTTGCAGATTTCAGAAAATTGAACTGAATGTTTGCGCAACTACACATTATTTTCTCAAAGGTTTGTCCTAGGATGCCGGTACACAATAATTTCGTACAGTTTTGATTTGGTAAATCAACATAAGATGTCGGTACACAACAATTTTGTACAAAATTTATTTGTTAAATCAACATAAGATTCCGGTACATAATAATTTCGTACAGACATGATTTGGTACATCAACATAAGATGCCGGTACATAATAACTTCGTACAGATTTGATTTGGTAAATACATAAGTCGCCGGTACACAATAATTTTGTACAGTTTTGATTTTGTAAATCAACCTGCGATGCAAGTGCACAATAATTTTGTACAGATTTGATTTTGTAAATCAACATAAGACGCCGTTACACAATAATTTTGTACAGTTTTGATTTTGTAACTCAACATACGATGCAAGTACACAATAATTTTGTACAGATTTGATTTGGTAAATCAACATACGATGCAAGTACACAATAATTTTGTACAGATTTGATTTGGTAAATCAACATACAATGCCGGCACACAATAATTTCGTACAGTTTTGATTTGGTACATCAACATAAGATGTCGGTACACAATAATTTCGTACACTTTTGATTCGGTAAATCAACATACAATGCCGGTACACAATAATTTCGTACAGTTCTGATTTGGTACATCAACATAAGATGTCGGTACACAATAATTTCGTACACTTTTGATTCGGTAAATCAACATACAATGCCGGTACACAATAATTTCGTACAGTTTTGATTTGGTAAATCAACATAAGATGTCGGTACACAATAATTTCGTACACTTTTGAATCGGTAAATCAACATACGATGCCGGCACACACCCTCCTCCCAGATTTTTACACGCATATATTCAAAACTCAATAAAAAATCAGAAAATAACACTCAGAAACAAAATAAAAGCATAGTAACGAAAACGCATACACGCTCATTTAGTTCTTGAGTCCGCTAAACTAGACTCAAACAAATACATATTCTACAACTACAGGCAATGCCAAATAATGAACGAAATCTAATAACGTTTTTCTATTAAATCATTCATATTTCATCCCAAAACTTAGCATAGATTTTTTTGTTGAAAAAAAGCTTTTAAAGCGAGCCTAATGATTCGATACCTGAAAAGAAACATCTAAATAATTTTACATTAAATTAAGAAACTTGTTTGACAAAACCAAGCACTTCATGCTATACAACTTACAAGCAAATTCCCATGTAAATATCATCCAATTTTCCGGACAGATTATTATTTTTATAAAAATACGTAAAACAAGCTAGTACTGATTAAACAAATTAAACAAACCCACTGCAAAGTTTTGAAGTTATTCAATTCAGGTGTCTCTACAAGTTCAAACAAATAATCCGAGGCGGCAAAACCAATAACAAAACGTACAAATGTATGCATTTTCTGACATGTATAATTTGCATTTCGTGACAAATGCAGAGAAACAAAACTCAACGATCTGAAATGCCGCAGAAATTGTATAATTAAATCTAAACCTAAAACAATTTTACGAAATTTCATGAAATTCAATCCGCCCATATTAGACGGCGCTATAAAAAAATCTCGCACGTTTTTGGCGCGTCTTAAAATCACTTGTCAACTGTAAAGTTTTGGTCCGCTTCGGATCATATGCCAAAATCACCCCGCACGTTTTTCAGTAGCTTACGATGTTTTTACCCTTTCAAATTGTATACCTTTTAACCAAAGAGCAAAGAATATGGGAGTAAATCCTACTTAAATTTTAAAAATCTAATTACCTCATCCGTGTGTTTATTACAGATATTTCTATAAATATGCCAACACTTTTTTAACATTGTAAAGTGCCGCCTCCGTGGTCGAGGGGTTAGAGTCGATGACTTCTAATTCAGGTACCTCTCTGGCGTGGGTTCGATCCCCGGGAGATGCTTTGGTAGTTTAGCGCGGAGGAAGGTAGTCTAGTACTGGTGTAACTCTCCAGGAACGATGGTTAGGAAACTACCCGCCTATATGACTGAAATACTGTTGGAAAAAGGCGTAAAATTAAACAAACAAACAAACAAATAACATTGTAAAATACGCTCTCTAAAATCTAAACGCAATACATGTATACAGTAAAGTTACAATGACTATGCACTTTATAAGTAGCTGTGCAATTTGCACAACCAGATTAATTCTGATTTATCTTCAAAGAATCTAATATATGCCTACTGATATTATCTCATTTGGATATTTTTCCTCTCTCTTTATTGTATAGTGCAATTGGGCTTCAATAATCTGTTATTTTAAATATTGACATCATATAACCGCCAGAAATAAACAACGCTTTATTGTTATTGATCTTTTATTGTATTTATTTGAGCTGAAATTTGTCAGTGTTTGAAATATAATCGTAGAAACGAACCAGGAAGTTAAACAATTAATTACAAGCAGGGGGTAATCACAATAGAAATTAACTGACAATAAGAGGTAATCACAATAGTTTTATAATGAAATGCGATCCACCCAATTGTGTGTAGGTACCGTGGTACTGCATAATTCATTAGACAAATAATAGAAAGAGCACCGAAACACGAGGTTATCTGATTTGTACGAGGGGGCGTAGCCCCCCGAGTATTAATCAGATTACCGAGTGTTTTGGTGTTCTTTCTCTTTTGTATCATAGTCAAACATAAAAACACGTTCCCTGTTGTTACAATATGAAACCCCGGCAAAAATGAACCAATTAACGAGCATCTAAATATGACATTTCTGTCGATTTCACTTTCACTGCCGTCACAATATGTAAACCCCAGCAAAAATGAGCCAATCAATGGGCATGCTCTGGAGTGCGGGTAACTAATACACGCACTCCAGTTAACCAAGGGGCAGGACGTGAAGTGGTTGCACACTTGGTTCAAGCGAACGAATTGGTTGCAAACTTGACAAAATGACGAAAACGGCGTGATTTTTTGAAACGGGTGAACGCATTTTTGCCAGGCAAGTGGGTTTGTTTGTTATTTTGAAGTTCATTAGTATGTCTATTCCATAATGCAATATATATGCCACACTCGGTTAAAGGTTTCAGCATCCTAGATTCTGTTTTGACGAAGTTATTGAAGATATAAACTGATCATGTAGATATTTTGAAAATTTACATGTGACTGTTCTGGTCGCCTTTTTTCCTAATTTATTAGAATTTGTAAGTTTTGAACTACATTTAACAATAACAAAATATGTTTCTGTCAATGCTGTACAAATGTTTTAGTTCGCAAGTCCGAAGATAACGTTCAATACACAAAAATATCTTGTTCAAGCACATTTTGGTTGCAGACTTATACTTCAAGCATTTTTGGTTGCAAACTTATTCTTACTCTATTGAAATCCATAGTAAAACTTTGCAAAAGGAGTGTAGAAGGTTATATCTATTAACCTTTTTTCAATGGCAATTATTGACATTCATGTTCTGTTACTTCTTTTTGTTATAAATGTTATTTATACTTTCTTCTTTTACAACAATTATGCACTTTTTGTTTCAAATTACATGGTTCTCAGTTCAATACTATAATCATCAGTAAAAGCCTGCAAACAAAATAATATTATATAGAAAAATATTTATGGATACTTCAATTCTAAAGTATGTCATCATATGTAAAATGCAAATGAAAACTACATACAAAACAAACGTATGTGAGAATACTGTTGTATTTAAGTGAATTATTTTCATCATAAACATAAGGTAAGGACATGTGCACACATAGGATGTTATTCGGCAAAATTTCCAAAGTTTATCAAAACCACAAGAAATTTTAATTTGCTTGTTTCGTATGTAAAGATCAGCAGTTGCTTTAGACATATAGTATGTAAATGTACTTAAAATATTTTTACAAACCAAAAGTTAAAATGACGTATAAGTATGTTTGTTTACAATATTTCGGATTTGATGTACATCATATGTCAATTGGTATTCTAGAGATGATTTTGATCATAATATAAATGAAATACGATTGGTTATTTACATTGACTGATACGTGACAAAACTACTTAAAGTCATTGTTCGAGTTAGGGAATTTGGAAAATGTTTCGATTTGTCAATAATAAGGAACAATTTAAAGAAACATGTGAATGAATGCCCTTGTGTCAATGTTAATATAGTTTTTATCCACTATATAATAAAATTTATTTCAAATCTCAATAAAGAACAATAATGAAAGCTGTTTGTTGCTATTTTTTCTTCTTTTCCTTTACAGTTAGTCATTCCAAAATAAAAATGTCCTAAGACTTTGTAAAAAGAAAAGGAGTATATCGAGGAGAAAAAATGATGAAGATAAACACAACTGAACTTCAATTTAGCATATTGTGTTATATATCTTTTTAAAAGACCCTGTGTTAGGATATATCTGCACGCATGCACAATTTGTATATATATTTCTTATTAGATGAACGGGTATAATTGTCTTAATATTGCTAATTATTTAAAAAAATGATAAGTTATTCCTCGCTAAAAATATGCATGCAACATTATTGACACAAAAGTTTTCAACCAAAAATGCTTGAAGTATAAGTCTGCAACAAAAATGTGCTTGAACAAGATATTTTTGTGTATTGCACGTTATCTTCGGACTTGCGAACTAAACCGTTTGTACAGCATTGACAGAAACATATTTTGTTATTGTTAAATGCAGTTCAAAACTTCCAAATTCTAATAAATTAGGAGAAAAACCGGACAGAACAGTCACATGTCAAATTTCAAAATATCTACATGGTCAGTTTATATCTTCAATAA